GGTTCGGATTGCACCCACAGGCGCGGAATTCGCCATTGATCCTGCCGACGCACCATTGATGCAGATGCAGTCGTCCCTTCTTTCCCATCTGCGGATGGCCTTCTCCTTACCGGACTCAGACCATATATCTCTGTGTATCGCTCTCCTCCGCTGACATATACCCTATTGAGCTGGCTCCGGTTACCTGAGCCTCTGTCAGACACGAACGAATCTCGAGCTCGACGTTCTTCGAGCGCCCGACGAATCAGCAGAACCTGGTTGCATAATACGTACGTCTCCCGATCAGCTGAACGGTTCAGCCTTTAGATATGAGCCCTGTCAGTGTGCAAGACTTCTGGCTATTCGGTTACGGGTAAGTCTTCGATTGGGAACCTAAGTCTTAAGCCGGTTGTTCTCCTACAAGCCCCCTCGTTGACTTGAAACGCTCGAGTATCTCAGGAGTCTAATATGGAAACCTCCACCACACTTTGGTAAGAGATGATGGTTTGCTTTTCCTGCTGTGAAGGCGACTGTGCTTATGCCGTATAGATCAGCGGATTCCGGGCTACATCAAAGGCTACGTTCGTCGGTTCTGGCAGGTAGGAGGTTATCAACGCGACACGCGACACGCGACTAGTTCACCCACCGCTAATATTCCGGATATAGGCAAGGTGAGCAAATATTGAAGGATTCGAAGTCATGTCGTTGAGCAAATCAATTCAGTGAGGACCATCGCGGTACACCGAACGCTCCGGGAAGGGTGGTCACGTTGATTGAAAGATCATTCTGGGCAACGCTTGACGATCCCGTACGACCTGGGCCTCAGCCCTTACCCTATCGCTGCCTTGCAGTATGACTGACATCCACCAGCAACGCCACACGGAACGAGATGTTGTTTGGGGCGTCGCCTATCATATCATACCATCCAAGGTCGAAGAAGTCAAAGAGTACCTCGATATTCGCGAAATGTATGCCACTTGATTCCACCACGGGAATGGTTTGTTGACTTCCGACAGCAATGGGTACAGCATCCAATATACGCCTTTTCACCCCGCAGACTCGTCGCTCGCAAGTATACACTGTCTTGTCTACATTGGTATGCCTGATAATCCCCAGTTTTTGGGTGTCCAGGCACCCCAGGACATTGCCGACACCATCAACGCCAGCGTCGGCCCGAGTGGGGAGAACAGAGAATATCTTCTCCATCTTGAACGAGCCCTGGAAGAACTGTGTCCGGACAGTCACGATGAACATATTACAGATCTTGCTCGAAGAGTGCGAGCACTTACGCCGCCTCTGAGGGAATCCCGTCGACCGCCTGCACACGACAATGCCCTCCGAAAGGTGAGGAGCACTGAAGAACAAGAGGAAATTGAGAAGGAAGGGTGACTGCCTCTACGGCAAGGACATTCTGGACTACCTCTGCTGGCTGGAATCAAGACGATCCGAGACAGCAGGTTGCAACCGCTGCCACCGCGTTAGCTTTGCTTTTCCACATGACAAAGTCGCCGGGTACCATCGCGCAAACATATTCTTGCCCTCTGGCTGCTGCTCTATTGTCGATAAGGTCCTTGCTGGCCATATGGATTGCTGCCTCCTTGCGGCTGGCCCCCTCCGCCTTGTGGTCCACCTGGTTGTTGGTATTGCGCATTGTACTGTCCGTACGGAGCGGGATACGCTGCGCCACGGCCAGGACCTGTGGCACTCGGGTTTCGTGCTTGACTTCCAGGCTGCTGATAGCCTCCGGACGCGGTCATGGGCATTGTGTATCCACCTCTTCCACCAAAGCCACCGCCTCTACCAGTGCCACCTTGTCTGTTGTCCTGGGCATGGTCTACTCGAATCAGGCGGCCGTCGAATCTGTTCGATAGGTCAGCCTCGGGGTGCGAGTGAGATTCACCAGTTCGTCTCACTCGGTGTTGTTCATCCTCTGGAGCGCTTCATCCGCTTCCGCCCTGGTTGAGAACCGAACAAACCCGAACCCTCGACTTCGGTTCGTATCGCGGTCCTTGACAACAACCTAAACGACGTTAGCCACCGTGTATGAGAGCCATTGCCACAATCATTACAGCCTCTTCCACTTTGCCAAACCGCTGGAAGCCTTCATGTAATGTTTCGTCGGTAGTGTGCCAGGCAAGACCTCTGTGGAGCGACCAAGTCAATTTTTGCCTAGAGTTGCATTTGTAAGGACTTCAAGCACATACCCAATGAAGAGCTTCGCCATCGTGCATTCGACAAGCGGCGCCCAAGAATACTAACCGTTGCGAAGGACTGTCCGATCCATCAAAGTAAGCCCCGGTAGCGGTCTGGGACTCCTAGAGCTCACCGCACAAAGTCACAGATACCGAAGGAGACAATAGGCAGATCTCGGTCGCTATAGGGATCTCATTGGTCAAAAATCTGCAGCCGTTCATGCAATCTATCAGTTAGAGCTGGTGCAATTTAGCCCCAATCACCGAACAATATGGCATCAACCAACGCTTCTTGAGCCTGTGGTCGCCTGGCTAAACGGGGGAGGGAGAACGAGTGGGTTGGGCGAAGTGGTCAGGTCGACACAAGTTAAGTTCGGCCCTGTGTCGATTTCCACATGGAAATCCAAGGGGTCCTCTTGCGTCCGCTCTATTGCTCGGAGTATGGCGGCAGGGGACCTTCTGAAGACGCGAAACTTGTTTCCGCGTGAACGGGACTCTGACAGGACGAATGCTTGGTGACGAATGCCGACTACAATACAGCATGTTCGAGGCGAAGATGATCTCTTGCAGGTCGAAGCAGAAGGCATCCGAATGCAAACCCACGGGAGTGGAGCTCGACTCTCCCCTCCGATGCACTATAGGCAATGCTGTGATAGGGTGGTGCTTGGGTGCTAGAGGGTCAAGATCGTTGGTCACCATGGGGGGGTTTTGTCTCGACACTACTTGATACGGTGGACTTGGACGCCTTCGCTGCACGGGTATGGGTGGGCCTCCCTGGCCTACCCAAAGGAGATCTCCCAGCGCAGCGGCAGCCGTTCGGCAGAAGTTATCACTGACATCCTGGTCCTTGCATCACGATATGGCATGTCTCTGTCACTCGTCGCAACGGCGTGCCAGCCTTACAGCAAGGAACACCATGCATTCAACACGTCCTTGAAACCTTCTCGAAGCCACCAAGAAGTCTGAACCTGTAGTGGGTGGAGTGCAAGAGCTGGGTATGCGGCCACACGTGGGTTTGCTGATACCTAGGTTTGACATTCCAGTATCCCTCGAGGTGACCCGCTAGGTGACGTTTCGACACTGTCGGCAACAGTCAGCACTGATGGTGTAATAGGGAATAGTCCCGGGAAGGGCTAGGTGATGGTGAAGCCCAGCGAGCCCTTGACCGCTGCTTGCACCCGGCAAAATATGGCTGCACTGGCACTGATTGGACACGACCATCGGTGAAGCAAATGAAACGAAGATTTCTCTGATGCTGGAGCGTCCCACTTGGAATCGACCTCATGTCCTTATCGGAGCTTTTCACTGGCAAACTCGATCGACGAACACCCCGCCTCTGGCTTGGTGCTCACGTACGAGTATGACGACCGAGGTAAATGGTCCCCATGGTGCCATGGCCGTTTTGCGGCACTGGTGGATGGTCCAGCTCGAGCGTAAAGGGGAGGGCGAAGGAGTGGAAGAAGTGGATGCGAGGATTGTACACTGGGTTGATTCGAGATCAGAATCGAAGGTTGATGCAGGCTCCCGCAGCTAGCAACTCAACTCTTAGAGGAGTCTCGGAGTCTGGTTGGAGGGGAGCAGGAAACAGGTGTGGTCCAACGCTGAATGACTGGCTGCGTGGTTGGGGATCATGTCCTCATCGGTGCTGAGAGCCGGGGCGGGGTGCCAGCTTTTGGTGGTGCAACGCTGGCACACTTCAGTCGAAGAAGAACGCCGCATGCCGCTAAGCTGCAACGATCCTTTAGCGACCTTCACAACGCCTACGACCAAAGTCAAAACGAGCTGGAGCCGACATTAATTGGGCAAGGGGAAACGAAAGCCTCAACGCAGACGTGTCTTGGCTGCTCTCTCCCGAATCTTCAACGTCCTGACCGAAACACTGATCAACAGCTGCTATGCGCACCGCTGCACTATGATGCACAGCGACCACTATTGCCCGCCAGTACAACGCCACGGGGGTCTGGCTCCCTCCACGGTGGGTGGTGCATCGACCGCATGCGGATCAGGATGCGCCCGGTGCCGGAACACCCAGGTATCAGTTCAGGTGACTTGGGAAAGCCTTGCGGATACCCAAGGAGGACGAACACGAGTAAAGACACAAGTGCGGTTTCCCGCGGATTTCATTGCTACTTTTGGGCGTCTCTCATCCATATACGCGGATTACTAGAGCAGAATCTACTCGGGATATTATTTTTACCCTGAACGCCCGACTGTCACGCTTCAAGGCAGCCGTCGAGCTGACATGGAGAGGTTGACCGTCGACAGAGTCTCAGCCGGCTCCCACAATCGCCCAGGTCTTGCTGATTTGCTGGTCGTCGCGGCATCCGGAGTGCCATCTGAGTTGTCCGAACCATTCTCCATCTCCGACCGCCTGTGCGTGTGCATGAACAAATGCAAGATCAGAGGTTATCGCATGTAAGCTTGATGGGGGGCCCTGCAGCGATGATCTGCAGTCAGCCCTACGGGCACCCTTGATCCACACGCTGTCTCCTTTTCGCCCCAGCCTTCCCCTCCACGGAGCCCCAAGGGACACCCCCCTCCCCCTGCAAACTTCAGACGGGGCTCGGGTCACTTCTCCAGGCTGGCCTACAATATGTATCAATTTGCATTCTTGCTCCCGCGGATGGCACCTTCCCTCGGACAGTGCACAGCATGAATCTGTCGCACCTTCCTCGACGCGGCCAATGTTGCCCCGCCTCTTCTGTTGATCGCCTTTCCCTCAGATCTCAGTCATTCGAATTGTTTCGTCTCGTGGTTGCGCAATCAATGTTTCAACTATGCTTGAGTGATTCTTGGAGGTTCAAATGTCCACTCGTTCCATAATTGCAAATGTCTAATTTGCAAGCCCGCGCTTTCGAAACGTCTGAGCTCGTGCAGAAATGGCTGTCAAATCTGGGACGGGACTCGATGGGCCCAAGGTCACTCGGCCTGAACCATGAGGGCACCGGCGAGGGCAAGGAAATGCAAAAAGGGACGTACACGGTTATCTGGGTGTGCGCCATGCAGACCTTGCTAACTTGAGTTTGAACAGAGGAAAGTCAAGCGGGGCACACAGATGCAGGTCCTTTCAGCCCGAGAGATGCCAGACGTACTCATCATCACAAGGATGGCCGGGATCCAGAACAAGGATACAGACATGGCCAGGGCGGCGGGGCTGCACACCCGGATTTTGGACCATCTTCTGGCGAGAAGACTTTATCGCATGGTGCGGTGGTGGAAAAGCTGAATGACATGTCTGGGTCGCACAAAGACACAGTCGAGGATCCGAGTGCAAAATACGCCAGACGCCCGAGGCACAAGACCAAAGAGGACACATACGAATACAAGGATGGTTCGGAGAAGCGTGCAAAGAAGCGACTGTCCAAGGATCTTGTCAAGCAGAAGCCCGGCGCCACCTTGACCAAAGACTTCCAAGCGCCAAACGTGGCCGTCGAGAGATTGACCCTAAGGCGTACTGGGCCAGGTTTCTTACACAAAGGAAAGTCATCCGGTAATGCGGAATGGAAGGGTTTGCCAGACCTCACGTTCTCCGAGATGACGTTTCTGAAGCGAAAGAGAAAGGATGAAATTGCGAAAACAGGAGAATCACAACTGAAGAAGAAACACTGCCGGCCCTCAAGTCAAGAAATATCGGCATTCTTCCATCGGCCAGAAGATCAGCAACATCGAGCGACGCCCCTTCCGAAGCCGTCCTCGATTGGATCGTACTTCTCCTGGTCTGTATCCTCGCCTCAGACACGTTTATTGCCAATGGGGCAGCGATCGAGTTTGTTTGCACAACCTTTGGAGCAAGGGGGATGGCATGGGGCCGTCGGCGACAAGCTGGGTGGTGTTGGCGCGTCTGTTGGTTCTAATAGCACTCTCACCCACCGCTTTCTCGAGAATATGACGACGGACGCGCTGCTATGCGGGGTCGATACATTTGCACACCAGGAGAAAGAATATTACACGTTGGACGATTTGAAAATGCTAGCTGAGGCTCCCACGGCTGGGTCTCCTCACAGCCAGAAGGCTCTGTATGGGCTTGATATCATGCGAAACGTCAAAGGTACAGCCACCTCACCTCGTTCAGCCCAAGACCAAGAGGCAAACTCGGTCCGCAGGGCCAGAGAGCTTTCAGCCCATACCGACAAGCGCCATGTCAGACCTGATACCGAAAGTTCAGAGCCCGGGCCGTTGTTGGCAGAAGATCCGACTGTTGTTGGCCCTTCCAGCCAGCGGAGTGCGGTGCTGGGAGCCATCGCACCGTTACCCAGTGATATGGACGAGTTCGATAGGGACCTCTGGCGGCACTGGATTGGCAGCTCTGCTCGATCGGAAACGAGATTCATGGTTGATGATGATACCTCTTCGTTCAGATTCCGCTTCCAGAGACCCCCTCCTCGGCCGTTGAGCAATTACTGGTCCCAGCCGATCCCGGGCATTGACGAAGATCAACAGGTGGCATATGACTCTATTGGAACAGGTTATTTGCATGAGGCAGTGACTCACAGTAACACCCATCAACACCACCCACGATCCCTTCGAGTACCTCGTCATGTGGTTGACGATCCTGTAGTGGGATTCTCGGGGTTCTCTCGGAGACAGATTCTATATTGACCATACCGTGTTTTCGTCATTGCGGTGGGCAGAGACGCGCCAGATTTCGGTATAGGGCAGATTGAGACAATGTCAAATGTCTGGCACGACGCCATGGATTCATAGTTCTTCCACTCGTGCCGTATTCAGCATTAATTTACACCGCGAGGACCGAGCCTCAGGCCAGACGGTGCTGTACCCCTCGACCGTGGCAGAGCTGCATCCCCCGCAGAGCAGCGAAATGGCCTTTACAGTAAGCTCCGCAGTCCCCATAAGCCCGCGGAGTCCCTTCGGCCGCGGAGACCGCAATGTTGTCGCTTGAGATGTTCTGGTAATGTGAGTAATCACATCCTGATCACCAGATGAGGAAGTCTTCTGACCTTCTGTGGGGTCGCGAGACGCCAGCAGGTTGTCTCCTTCCACGGGTTCTCTGACGATGGCACCAGCGTCGACAGTGACTCGTTAACCTCAGCTCTCCGGGACATCCCAGCAGCGGCCGCATTCGAGTACCGCCTCTTTCAGACCACTGGCTTGTTGACACCGGCCCACGAGGAGGTCAGCGATGAAGAAAGTTTTCAAGTACCTCCAGAACCAAGGTATGTCAATGTGCATGGCTGCAAGTTTTCTGCCGTCGGACAAGGTGCTCTGAACGCCATTACTGAACGCACTTTGCAGCACTGGAAGCTTCACAGCAAAAATACTCCGGGTCGTCATACCTGTCCCCGACCACGAAAGAGCCTCAACAGCACGGCGGCCACCATAGCCCTTCTCCCTACAGAGACCAGCACAACTTACATCATCAATCGCGATCGGCGCATCCTAGCTCGGCAGCACACAGCTTTCCAGCATACAGCGCCACGGGCACTTCCCTCCCGAAGGCCAACGGGCAGCGGGAGATGTCTCCCCCACAGATCCCGGACAAGATCCTCCGGGGTATCACCCGGCACCAGTATGCTCAAGACAACATCCTTCAATCATATGAGCTGTATATCCCCGAGCTTGACCACAGACACCAAGCCGATGCGAATGCGAACAAGTACTGGGTGATCTATGTTCACGGAGGCTATTTTCGGGACCCGTACGTGTCCTCTTCGTCTTTTTATCCTGCCCTTGGGATCCTTGCATCGGAGCACCATCGGCGCCACATCTTCAAGAACAACGGACCTCCGGTGCACCCAGGCGACATCACACCGTACATCGCCGGCTACGCAACGGTCAACTACAGGCTCTCTCCCCATCCCGGGAAAGCACCTCAGGACCCGGACACGACACCGGCATATGAGCTGCGCAACGCCAAATGGCCCGAACACATCTACGACGTGCTGGCCGCCATCGCGCATCTACAGAACAAATACGGTTTCGGGGAGAGATATCTGCTGGTCGGCCATAGCGTCGGCGCGACGATGGGTCTGCTGAGCGTGCTCGCTGCGGAGAAGGCGCCGTTCTCCACGGTAAGCGGCCTTGACATGCCCACGATTGAGCCGCCCATGGCGATCCTAGGCGTTTCGGGCATTTATGATTTCCCGCTTATCCACGAGTCGGTCCCCGACTATGTGGGGTTGACGAGGAACGCGATACATAATGAGGCGGACGTCGCGCTGGCGAGTCCAGCCAAATACACCGCAAAGGACTATGTTGGTTCCTGGACCGGGGGAGGGAAGAAGAAGAGGGCGCTCGTAATTGCGCACTCGAGAGATGACGGCTGGGTCGACTGGAAGCAGCCCGAGGCGATGGAGAATGTACTGAAAAGTGAGTCGGCCATCGACGTGAGGGTGAGCGAGATGCAGGGACAGCATAATGACATCTGGGAGAAGGGGACGGAGCTGGCAAGGGTTGTGGTGGAGGCTGTCGGTGTGATGAGAGGATTGGAATCCTGAATCGAGGAGTCAGCCAGATTGCAAGCTTTTCCTGTTGAAGATACCCTTGTGCGTCGGATATGAATGTATGATATGCATGGAGACCTCCAGTATGAAGCGTTCGAGAAAGCAGGAGGCGATATTGGTCCCGTATTACTCGTTACTGGAAGCATGGAATACACTCCATCCACACCGACACAGTACGTTATGGCAGCCTCGTGGCGCAGCGCACAGCCTCGTCACACGGTGCCGGTACCGGAAGATCTTCGGTTGAGAGTATCAATGACATCGACGTGGGTGAAGCATTTTCTAAAGCTTGACTGCTCTCGCCTTCCACCATCGGTATCCTTCCTGGACCACCCTGGGATCTTGTGCTTGCGTATGAGCCATGCTGCCCGTGTATCCAAACCGCTTATGCGGATCCCGTTTACGGGCCCTCTGCCACCCCCCTTGATCATCCCTCCCTCCGCGGCCACGAGAGAGGGCGCAGTTAGTGCCCTGACACATTTCCTGACAGCTCCGGCCGGGTCAGCTGCTTCTCTGCCCGAACATGCACAGCAGGCCAAGTCCAAGACGGTGCTGCTCACAGGGGCGGGCATCAGCGTGGCGTCGGGCCTCGCCGACTATCGTGGCGTCAACGGCACCTATACCCAGAACAAATCATACCGCCCGATCTACTACCACGAGTTTATCTCGAGTCACGAATCCCGCAAGCGATACTGGGCACGCTCCTTCCTCGGATGGAGGGGCTTGCACCGCTCGAAACCGAACGCTGCGCATTTCGCCATTCGTGATCTGGGCACGCTGGGTTTGGTGGACAACGTGGTGACGCAGAACGTGGACTCCTTCCACGGCCTGGCTCACCCGAATCTCAAGACGGTGGAACTGCACGGGTTCTTGAGAGCGCTGGTCTGTCTGAGCTGCAGGAGGCTCATGGATCGCGATGTCTTTCAGCAGCGGTTGGCTGAGCTGAACCCTGCTTGGGCCGAGTTCCTGCAGCAGCTCCTTGCCTCAGGTGCACTGGATACCGAAAACCCCGTTGAAAGAAGGAGGTTGGGCTTCAGGACGAATCCGGATGGCGATGCGGATGTGCCTGGCGCGCCGTACTATACCTTCCGATATCCAGCTTGTCCGCACTGTCTCCGACGGCCGCCCATTCTCAAGGATGGCAGTAAAGGGCACGTGGATGTAGATGCGGATGGGGCGTGGACCCCGTCACCTCCAGCATCAGCCCCTTCGGATGGGGTCGGCATCCTCAAGCCCAATGTCATCATGTTCGGCGAGTCCATATCTGCCGACGTGAAGACGGCGGCAGAGGAAGCAATCGACTCGGCGGCGAAGATTCTGGTCGTTGGAAGCTCCCTGGCGACTTACTCGGCTTGGAGACTTGTGAAGCGGGCGCACGAACGAGGCATGGGCATAGGCGTTTTGAACATGGGCGGTGTTCGGAAAGAGGAGGTATTCTTCGGTGAACTGCTTTCTGATCGCCACCATCGTCCGAGCGGTGGGGACGGGCACAACCCATGGGCAGCGCTGCGAAGGGAGCTTGTGCGTGCCAGTCTACCTGCTGAGGAAATCCTGCCTCAGGTTGTCGAGGCCATCCGCACCTCCAGCTCCGCGTGATGTGATGACGGGATGCGCGTATCTTGCTTGATAAGAGCAACTGCGCGCGTCTCGACACAGTGATTGCTGAGATGCGGGCATTGCTTGCTGGTCCTCGATGCTACTGTATACTACGAGCCACGGCCTGCTAGATCAATCCTAGATGTATACCGAGATCTAGCATCCACTGTCGCTGTGCCATCTACACAGTACAAAGGACACACAGTCTTCCTCCTGTCCACTCCCGTCCATTAGATAAACAAGCAAGAGCCAAGGGCACTCACCTTCAGCAAGTGTCGATCTCGATGCCAAGCATCAAGCACCACCACCAGCGTCAAGCTTGAACGGATGCTCACGAGCTTCTTAGCGATCGTCATCACCTTCACATCGTCGTGGTAGCAGTGGCAGCACATTCGCCAGCAAGGCGCGCGGCCAAGACCAGCGCGTCAGCCACCGACATCATCGCCATGATGGCGCCTTTATCCCTGCGCTGCCTCGTGAAGCCGTCAAACCCGTTTCTGCAATTCCTCCATCCACTCAACATGGCGATATCGCACGGGAAATCAGATCGCCGCTGCTGGAGTCGTATTCGTGCCCGCAGGCAGCTTCCACCACGGCGGCCGAGCTGGCGCATCCCGGTGCTGGCCCTGCTGGGTACTGGCCATCTTCCCGTTCATTCGGGCCTCACTCCCCACTAACGACAATGATCCTGGCATCGACCCGCCCCCGGCTTTTGGCTCGCTTGACTCGACCACTAGGCTTTGTTCCAAGCTTGCTTGAGTGGTACCCGCGTGCTCAGCATCGAGGGCGAGTGAAGTCATACCCTGCGAGGGGGAGCGACACCAGGCGTAGAACGGACCATCAGAGTGCTGGTGACTGCACGCGCGGTGTGTACGCAGGACACAAGGCACAATAAAACTCCTTTGCTACGTCCCGCAGGATCTGGGCTGTGTGTAGGTCATTTCGTCTTGCCCTTTGGTGGCACTATTTGACCACCTGCCGCGCATTTGTCTTTCCATGACCGTTCTCATTCCCGTTGTTTCCCTGGCTCCTCCTTTCCCTCGAAACCAACCAGAATGTCGGTCTCCGATCAATCAACCATGGCGGGTGCGGAGCCCCAGCAAGAGAAGGACATGGGCCAGATTCACAGCGCAGGACAGACAGAAAAGCGCTTTGGCGTCTCGGGTCCAGAATTGGCAGCCCAGAACCTCGAATCGGGCGATCCCAAACGAGCGGACGGCAAGGTCGAATTGACCGAAGAAGACTGCTACGACAAGCTGGGATACTCGTTCCCGCACTGGAAGAAATGGATGATCCTGGTCATCATCCTGTTCATCCAGACGTCGATGAACCTCAACGCGAGTATCTATGCCAATGGCGTCGATGGCCTGTCCGAGAAATACACAATCTCCAAGCAAAAGGCCCGCGTCGGACAGATGATCTTCCTCGTCTGCTATGGCTTTGGCTGCGAACTGTGGGCTCCATGGTCCGAGGAGCTGGGTCGATGGCCGACTCAGCAGCTCTCCTTGTTCCTCGTCAACCTCTGGCAACTGCCCGCAGCCTTGGCTCCCAACTTTGGGACCATTATCGTCGCGAGAGCGCTTGCCGGCCTCTCAACAGCCGGCGGTTCTATTACCTTGGGTGTCATCGCCGACCTCTACCAGCCAGAAGACTCGGGCTTCCAATACGCCGTTGCCTTTGTCGTGTTGTCTTCTGTTGGCGGCGCCCCTGTCGGAGCTGTCATCGGCGGCTTCGTCGGCCAGTACCTTAGCTTACCGTGGATTTTCTGGATGCAACTCTGCATCGGCGGCGCCGTGCAAGCCATCCACTTCTTCCTCGTGCCCGAAACCCGAGCGACCATCCTTCTGGACCGGGAAGCCAAGAAACGGCGCAAGAACGGCGAGACCAATATCTACGGACCTGACGAGCTCAAGAAGCCCCGATTCCCGATGAAGGAGTTTGTCCGTGTCTGGCTGAGACCGTTCCAGATGTTTGTGACCGAGCCGATCGTGCTGTGCTTGTCGCTACTCAGCGGTTTCAGCGACGCTTTGCTGTTTACCTTTTTGGAGGCATTCACACCAGTGTTCGAGCAGTGGGGGTTCAAGCCGTATCAAATTGGATTGGCCTTCATTTCGTGAGTCGGCTCCTCACCTGTCGAGTCTTCGAATCCGAGGGAATGAACCTTGCAAACTAAGTCATCGACGACTAACTAACTGTACGTCCACAAAGGTCCCTGGTCGGATACATCCTCGCCTACCTGTCCTACCTCCCTGTCATAAGACACCACAACAAGATCCGCGCCGAAGACCCGAACAAGCTATCCCCCGAGTCTCGGCTGTGGTGGTTACTTTTCCGTGAGTGTCGATCGTGCTCTGTACCGCTCACTGCTCCTGTGTCTGCCTTGCTGACCATGCTCTTCTCTCCACCCAGTGGCGCCCCTCGAAACGATAGGCCTGTTTGGCTTTGCCTGGACGTCGCTCGGTCCGGATTACGGCATCCCCTGGATTGCGCCTATGATCTTCACGGTCCTCATCGCCATTGCCAACTACGGAATCTACAAGGTAGGTTGGGCCCTTCGACTGTATTCATGTCTTGACTTGGACTTTCACATCTGAAAAGCTTCGTGTTGACGAATGCGAGGTGAATGCAAATGCTAACGTCGATGTCCCACCGGCAGAGCTCAATCGACTACATGATCGCCGCGTACGGCCCATACGCCGCGTCCTCGACAGGCGGCAACGATCTAGCGAGAGATCTCCTCGCTGGTATCGCCGCCATGTACAGCACGCCATGTAAGTCGTTCCGTCACTCACTCCGAGACTTGGTCTGCACGCGCACTGCACTGTATCCTACATTGCACACTGGCAGTACTTATACACTGCAAATTCAATTCTCCTTATCGGCAATTACCGCCCCGTCACCACTACTTCGGCACCCTACTGACCCATCATCTTACGTGCAGTCTACGAAAACATCGGCCACAAATTCACACTCGAATACCCGTCCACCATCCTGGCGTGCCTGTCGGTCGTAGTCATCATCCCCATCTACATCTTCTACTGGAAGGGCCAGTGGTTCCGCGACCGCAGCAAGTTCGCCCAGGAGTTGAATCTGGGTAGGCAGACCGCCGTCGAGAGGCGGCGGAGTAGTGTGTTGGCCGGGGGTCAGGGCCGACACGACAGTGAGAAGGGGGGTGGTAGGCACGTTCAGCAGGTGTAGGTAGTAGTACTGAGGGTTCTGGCCGTATTTACGTTTTTATGATTTAATTGATTGGGTTAGTGAGTGACGAGTGACCAAGAGGAAGACAGAGACACAGTGAGAGAGAGATAATATTGATCGACAGTATTCCCGTTCCTACAGTACAGCAGCAGCAATATGACGCGACAACTACCGCGGCGTAGACAGGGAGCGCATGATCAAGTGAGGGCACACTTACAGACGCTTCTTCTACCTACAGGACGTACGTATATCGAAGGAACAACTGACAAGGGAGGTCCTCGGAAGTGTTACTCTTGCTTTTACTCTTGCTCTTGCTCTTGCTCTTGCTCTTGCTCTTGCTCTTGCTCTTGCTCTTGCTCTTGCTCTTGCTCTTGATTACTGAAGACTCACTCACTCATTCTCACTCTCACTCCTACAAGCTGGTCTTTCCTTCTCCCTTAGTTCTAGCTCCCCTTTCCCTGTCCCTTCCGGGTTCTTGTTCCGCTTCGTCCCGGGTCATGGTTTTATATATATGATACCTCGCACGATGTATATGGTGTACACGTACACGGTATATCATATCGTATCGTGTCATACCCTGGCATGTGAAGGCATGGCACGCCACGTCCTGGGATACTGTAGCAACGTCCTGGTATAGCAACGTCAACGTCCTGGGATACTGTAGCAACGTCCTCGGACAGTAACGTCCCAGGGATGGCTGTCACCTGGCTATCCGACGGGTATTGTACTTAAATATCACGCTATGTCCATGTCATTGTTATTGCTATACAACAGAGTACGGAGTACGGAGCACAGTACCTAGGTATGTATACTATGATCTGTCTTGCTACAGTAGACGGCTATCATATGTCCGTGCCTTTACTTCTCCTTCCTTCCTACTCCTCCCGTCTCCCTCTCTCGTGTCAACTCTCCTCCTTACTCTCATTCTCATTCTCACTCTCACTCTCACGCCTTGCGCTCTACTCTCATGCCGTACGCCTTTACTTTTGCCTTCAGGGAACGACGTTGTGCCGCGCCACTCTCTACTGTACAGCGCCACTCTCTACTGTACGGACGCCCACGATTCTAATAGTCGACTGAAAACTCGGCCCCATCTTCATGGCATCGTACGTACGATATCTCGTGTTGTTGTATCTATTGTATCTCATCCTATGTCTCGGGTTGGCGGCAACTCTGGCATGGCCTTGCACTTGCAACATCGTCGGGGTCGTCTTCATCTATGTCTTCCTCACCGCGTTCCTACTCGCATCCGCACCGACGTTCCATTCTAATCTGGCGCTGTCCTTGTCGTTGTCCAAGTCCATTTTACAGACACCCGCAATACTGAAGTTCTGGCCATGACGTGGCTCCGACTAGTCTTAGAACTTTGGCAACAGGACACGTCTCCCACTCCCCTTGTCATTTCCAGCTGCATTCACACCGGTCCCGTTACCATTACCGTTGCCGTTGCCGGCGCCGGCGGCGGTCCTGCTTTCAATCGTCTGATTCACAAACGTCATGGGCATCTTCGTCTGTTGGCCGGCTATAGACCCCGACGGACTGGCGGCATTTGGTCCCGCTGGGCTTGTACTCGGGCCTGGTGCAGTAGTGACAACGCCTGGTGCCGCACCGGCCGGAGGACCATACTGTTGTCCTGAAGATGGTGGCGGCGCGGCTTGATGCTGGAATGGCTGTTGTGGTGTCTGAAATATGTACTGCTGAGGCTGAGGCTGAGGCTGATACTGTGGCTGGGACTGTTGCGGCGATGGGCCAGGGCCACTCGACGATGCAGTGGTCAATGAGTTTTGCCGAGAATGAGAGCTGTGTGAAGGCGGAGGCGGAGGCGGTGGGTATCGGGTGTTGTGGCGGAAGATATCAACATTTGGACGGGCAGGAGCAGGGGGCGCTTTTGGCGGCGCAGGGGCGATGGGTTGGCCTGGGCCGCTGGAGATGATGCGTGAGACTTCGAACACCGATGGACTCGCGAGTGGTGCTGTAGTAGTAGGCGGCGGAAAGTATCCTCCTTGAGGTTGAGTATGATGCTGGGGCTGCAGAGGTGGAAGTCCCGGAGACGAAGTGGTTGCGCTCAGCGCCTGCTCGTGGGTCAACGGAGGATATTTGAGTCGCCGACCACGGGGTCGAGAATTCGTTCGGAGGACCTGTTGGTAAGCTTGCTGCGAACGCGGCGGTGGCGGGGCCTGGCCGGGGAGAGGGGAGAAGTCCAAGCCTTGAGCTGGAAAAGCTTCGCCTTTCGCAAGAGGGACGTAGATGTACTGCTTCAGGGGGGGTTGTTGCGCCACCCACTCGGACACGTCGGCCAGCGCGGACAAGGCGTAGCTGTTAGCTTCCGCCATGTCCATGGGTCGTGGAACAAGATAACCGCTGATCTTTGCCAGCTCCCTTGCCGCTTCTTCGGTAAGAGCGTCCATGGTTTGAGACTTGTGAGACTGTTGCTCGGCTCTCCATTCTTTGTTTCTCTGTTCAATCTGCTTCAACAAGGGGCCAATAACGTCCTCATTGAGCACTTGTTGGCGAGCCTGTTCGTCATAGGATTCTCCGAGCTGTCGTTTGAACGGCTTCTCGTCTTTGATTCTGCTGGATGAGTATCCCCGTGGTTGGGTACCTGGTTCTGGTAGTTCGTGATAATGTGGAAAGTACTCCATCATGTCGGATCCGGATTCAGTGTGCGTGTCATCGTGAGCGGCACGGTAGGCTCGCTCGAACAAGATGATGTCCCCTTCCGCCGCGGCGAGGTGTTCTTCGCGGGCCGCCGCTCTGCGATTCTGGGTCACACATGTCAGCGCTATGCCACCTCGGTAGAGCGGACGGATCGAGACTTACCGTCCATTGTTGTTCAATGACCTCCTTTTCCGCCTCTAGTCGTCGCATCTCGGCCTCGACTTGGACGTCATATCTGTTCCTGGCGAGATCTTCGGCATCCTGTTTGGCGGCCTCCAGTTCTTCGACAATCGTGGCGTACTCGGGAACTTTCTTGTGGGCGTTTGCCTTCTTGGCCATTCTGTTGAGATCGCGATTGGCCATTTGCTCGAGTATGTCAAATTGTTGAGCGCCCACGACGTGGAAGAACCGTTTCAATTCCTGCTGCCTGGCCTTGAGAAGGGATATCATGGCCTTCTCTTCTTGAGAAAGCGGCTGCCTTCGTTCTGGCGGGTCTGGACTCCCTCCACGTCCTGCTCTGCCTCTAGATTTGCCTTTGCGCCCACCGCCGTTGGAGTGGCCGCCTCCACGGCCTGCCCGGGCGCCGCCTCTGGCTGGCTTCTTCGGCGAGCGGGATTCTGGCGTCTCATCTCCCTCTGCAGGATGATATTGAGTGGTGCCATCATTAGCATAGTAGATCACGTTGTTTCGGTCAAATTCAGGCCAAAGCTCTTTCTCCTTGTCCCATAAGTTGGAAGGCTTTTGAACTGTTGCTTCCTTGGCGCTCCGTAGAGTACGCTTACGCTTGGGAATCGTATCCGAAGCATCTGATGCTGCACCACTAGGTTTGTGATTCCGCACATTGGCAGGCGCCGCTTCAGCAGTTGATGATGAAGGCTGCTTTGAGGGAGCGTCGACGGCAAGGGGTCCTTGAAGAATGCTTGGCTTGAAGTGACGTGAGCTTCGTCTCAATGCCCTGGATGATTCTCCGACAGCGGGCGCTGATTGAATTTGTGCCTGCACGACGGTTTCTGGAACGGCTTCAGCACTGTCGGATTGTGTCGCAGCCGAGTTTCGTCTTGATGGTTTGGCAGATTCAGGTGGAGTGATTGATGGAAGGGTGGCTGGGGGAGAAATGTGTGTCTTGGAGTTGGTAGAGGTGTCGCTGAGTCTAGAGACTGGTGGTCTTCCTCTGCGTTTTCGTGATTTGACCGGGTCTGGCAGAGCTGCTGCCCCGGTGAAGTTTCGTTTTGGCCGCTTCGACTCCGAGGGTGTCTCGGGATCATTGGAGCTGGAGCTTGACAATTTTCGCTTGCGAGTTCCGGAGCCCAGGATGCTCGGAGGGGTATCTGGTGGTGTCCCCAGTTCTGACAGTGATGAGTCCTCCGGAGAGGAGTTCGATGGTTCTGGCGTCGTCTTGATGCTCCGATTTCTGGTCCTCATGTGGAATTCAACTGTCGGCTCGCGTGGCGAGCGTTTTCGAGGCATTCTGCTGCTGACGAGGTTAGCTATTCTTGTCCGTGGCCTGGATAGTGGGAGGTTTTTGGTGAAGTCAAGCGTCCAGTGTATGAGACGGAAATTAAATTGCTCGTCGGCATGCCACAAGACAGGGCCACACACAACAAGGCGGAGAATGGGTGGTTAGAAAATGCAGAAGGGTTCTTTTTCGCTGACCTGGAGTGAAATTCACGACTGTCAGAGAGACACAAAGAAATGATTCCTGCTGGAAAAGAATCAAGCGGCCGTTTCGTCGCTCTTGCCGAGGGACGAGATGAGCGAGCTCTCTGTCGTCGTGCTCTCGCTCGATGCCTTGATTGTACTCGGATGGCGTGATCTGGAATCGGTTGAAGGAAGTCGAGGAACCACGCCTGAGCATCCCTGAAAGATATTTGAGGTTGCGGTCTGCGGGTTGCGGCAGAAGGAGGCAGCTGGAAGCATTCGGGAGGTGAGGTATTGATTGACAAGGGTCGGGATGCAGCAGGACAATGGGAAGACGAGAATGCGTCAATAGTATTCAAGCCCGGAGGCTGAATAAGCGGGCAGACCGCCATGGTGCCAGGGTGAGGCAGTGAAGAGATGGGGAGTGGGAGTGAAGGATTGTGTTATTGTAAACCTGACACGGTGGACGGCCACAGCTGCTGACCTGTGGGAAGCATTCTTTACACAGTAACTAGATTTTGCATTTTGCTTGGGGCTTGCCGAGTATGACAGCCACAGGCCGACGACAGACGACAGCCTCTGCCTCTGCCTACCCAGAACAAGCGCAGGCGAGCCGCCCACCGCCTACCGCCTACCGCCCACCGCCTACAGGCTATAGGCCAGTCGCCAGTGGCCACCCCGAGCCACCTTCCGAAAAGGCTCGACGCCGATTTGCGGAACGCGCCGCGAAACGCCGGTCGGAGCCATCCAATCACCCGAGCAGAACTGTTGAACTGGTACGTCGTGCACGTGATCACTTCACAGCAAATCCAGCGAGCACGACAAGCGCTGTGATACATATGTCAAAATTTCTTTTCGCATTATTGGTATCGCACATGCAATAAATGGTAACTGTGAGCCCTCATGATCAAGGTCATAAAAAGGAAGCATTCCTCGCCAACTCCGCGCTAAAACACAGTTTCATGCCAAACGTGTAGCCATCCTCGATCCTCCATAAAAATAACCGTCGAAGCGCGGTGCCAGTAGCCGCGGCAGAAAAGTCCCAACCAGTACTCTGTTGCCTTGTTATATCATTAGTTGACTCAATCGATTCGTCATAGAACCCGAAGATTTCGTTCTTCCCTTCTTGACACTTTTCCGCTTCCCGTAGCCCACCAGGCTGGTCCGCGATCCCGCCGATAGCACGAAGCCCGGTAGGATCGGTGGTAACTCGTCCTCGTCCACAATCGAAGGACCGGGGCTTCCCAGTGGTGGACTCCCAAGCGTAGGGCTGTCCGGGACTGACGGGTCGTCGTCCTGCCTTGTTGGCTTGTCAATGCTTGGCATGGTGTCCTCGCAGCGCTGCACAGGAGGCGAATTGCTCCGAAGCCTGGCTAGAGTTTTAGGCGTGATCAGTGTATTGGCCATCGGGGAAGCTGTAACCATGGTACCAGCGGTGGCAATGGGGGGCGGTCGATTGCTGTTCGATCTAAACAGCGGGTGAATTAGTTCCTGCTTCGAGGACTCAAAAGGTTCGAATTGGGGCGGTGGTTTGTTGTTGTATGAAGATGTAGGCCGAGATGTGGGCCGGGAGAAGTTGATAGGACTCGACGGCGGTGAAGACTTTAGCTGTCCCGGGGACGAGCTCCAGACAGCAGTGTCCGAAGTTGCTGCGTGTGGTGGTGAGCTCGAAATAGGTGACTGTGGTTCGGGAAGGAAAGGTCCCTCGAGTATGGTCGACTCCGGGGGACTGCCCGGGATCGTCTCCAAACCCCCAGGCGTGGGGGGTGGGGAGGAGTGGATGGCGGCTCGCATCTCTCGATGGACCGAGGATGTGTCCCAGTCGTCAAAGGCGCTGTCTGGCGACATCGCCTCTCCTGCGGGAAATGGTACCGCTTCCGACGACCACTGATTGGAATATCGGACCACTTTCGACTTTGATGATCCCGGTCCGACTTTCGTCGATGACGATCTTCGGGTTAAAGACTCTCCCTTGGAGATAGGAGTTCTTGGTGACGAGTGGAGGGTCGGTTCCTGGGAACCGAAAGATTGCGTTGTGTGCTGAGTGGTCGGCCTTAGGATAGTCGACAGTGATGGCCCTCGCGCGCGAAAATCCATGTCGAGTCGGCTGGCCCGTTGCGCTGTCAAGACATTTCTAGCCCACGAATACAGCAGGCAATACAGCACTATTTGCAGTACAGAAGTGATAGCCCATATGGCAAACCATATTCCGATCAAAGTAGCTGGAGCGGCCTGCAAGACCCGCGTTGGGAGGTCGCTTTGCCTCGTCGCCAGCCAGACCAATGCCACGCCGGAGATGACGATATCGAGGACCGCGACGCTCGTGCCGCCGACCACATACATCCAAGTATGTGCCTTTGAGCCCAGCGAATGATTGTCCAACTTCTTCACGAAGAATGTACAGAACAGAGCCAGGACTGCAGTGCTGACCAAACTGGTGCCGAAGGTAATGTACAGCAGGGCGCGGAGGGCTGACAGCACTGTGTGATCGCCGAGATTCGTTGCAAACACGACGCTGAGGATGCTGCTCGCAATGCCGAAGGTACCGGCAAGAGCGCCAATGGCCCAGATCCTAACGCGCCTCTCCATTCCGTCGTGTAACCAGAGAGGATGTCGGGTTGACCGTTTCCTGTTGTCGCTCTGGACTGCTCAAGTCAAAGAATGCTGCCCAACTGCCCGAGTTTCCCGTCTCGAAGTCGACATCCAGATCAATAGCTTGGAGGGGAAGCAAAGCACGCCGAACAAGAATAGAAGGGAGGTCGAAACGCAGGTGAGCGCGTCGGATGGTAGACAACTTGAATAGTCGAAGAGCTGAAGTTGTTGACCTCTGACGCAAAGCATAAAATCTGACAGCGGCCTCAGTCGGGATGTTCCCTGTTCACGGCGTGCTGTTTCCAAGCCTGACGTTGAACTGGCTGCAAAAAAGGCTGAGAAAGAGGGGTTCAAGACGAGACGCGCGCTCCAAGGCCAATCAAGGCGGGGCCGGTGCAAGAGAAGGTGGAGTCCCCGAAATTATATAGGCGCACGACATGCAGCATGGAGTAATAGTAAACAAACAAAGCATGGAGTCAAGCTGAAGGGGAGTCTCGGACGGGCATATGTCTGCGACGCCAGCACCAGAATCAGTGAAACGACCACGGAACACTCACCAGTGTTATCTCTCTTCACGCGTCCGGTTGTTTGCAAGAGCACACAAATCACCTAGCTCGAAGCTGTGAGCCGGGGAGAGACCACTGGCGCGTCAACTTCGTGGGAAATTCTGGGAGATCTCGTTCGTGGCGACCAGGGTTTTCGGAATCGCTAGCCGGCAACATCTGGGACGGCCGCGGTTGCTTGCGGCAGTCTGGAGCGATGGCCCAACGAAACCGCTCTTTCAGCGCGGATGTGAGAACCAGAAGCGCATGAAGCCCAGGATGTGGAGGTGGAAAGAAGAGGTCGTGATGGTTGGTGGCGGAAATGCAATCTCGCTATCAAACCTTAATTGCATGTCTGCAATTTGCCCGCCCCGCGCAGGCATCAATTTCTGGTGATGACAGCCAGACCCGCCGGGATCTTCAGCATAGCATCCTGGAGCAGTGCAGTTCGCTAATCAAGGGAGTTCGTCCTCGGCCTTCGTCGAACGTGGCAGCCCGGCACGCCGGTCCCCTTGAACCCTAACGAAGCGAGCTCTTTCGCGCTGGGTTCGCACATCGCTAGCAGCAACAGCTACCGCGATGACCGATCATTCGACGCGTCGCACTAGTCCTCGTGACGGAGATTCTTGAAGGCTCCCGCATGAATAGAATGCTTGCTGTGCAAATAACTGGCCGTGGGTGGATAACAGAACAATCCGACAAGTACTGTGTAGACATCGCGGACATTAAACGACAGATGGAAATGCAGAGAAAATAGCGAAGCTCCGATTGGCTCCAGCGATTCTTGGCTGTTTCCAGCTCCGCGATTGGCCAGTTTCCAGAACTACCGAGGACTTATCCGATATTGTCCGTTCATGTGGTGACCAGTGATCTCCTTGAGATCCGGTTCCGAGTATTCGCAGCATTTGAATCAAATGCCGAAAAGTAGATCATGGCATTTGTGAGTCTCGATTCGATCGATATCCCGTCTTGATCACTAGCCTCGTCTCTCGACCCCGTGATAATCTCACCAACTCGTCTGGTGAAACCCTGAGGCGCGACGAGATGTCTCCCCAGACCCTTTCGCAAAGCTCAGATACGTCGCTTCGTTAAGAAATTGAAACTGTCCTGCTATTGCCTCGTAGAATGCCCATTGTACAGGCCAAACCCTACTCCAACCCTTCCCAGCGCCAACGCTAAAAGTAGCAGCAATCATTGATCTTCCAGTTGTTGGTAGGCAGGACTATCTCGTCCCTGCAACCTCCTGTTCCATCTGCCACGCATCACTTCTCAGCTCATCGAAACGTGTCTGTTGGTTTGAGCGCATCGCATCCACACTGCCTTCAATATCCTTTACGACGTGTTGAAGGCCATTCAAGAGTTGCTCAATCTCGGCACGCTGCTCGTTGATTTTGCCGAAGATGACCGTGTTCTCTTGTTGCGACTTCTGTATTCGTGTGTTCAGTTCATCTGTTACTCTTTGGAGGTGGGGTGTCAGATGCGCCGCGTATAACTCTTCAGCGGATAATGTGTGGAGTCTGGCGGTATTAGCTGGGACATCGCAGGCGTTGGGGAGGACTTCTCACGGTCTCTCTGGCATCTCTCCCTCGACCGCGCGATCCTTTCTCTTTCGCGCCTCCTCTATCATGATCTCCCATTGATTCAAGCCCTGCACCACTTGCCTGTCTTCCAGTATTTGTTCGAAATCGCGCATGCATTCCTGCTCGAGACGCGTGTTCAATTGCGCCCACACTCCTTCAAGCGCATTCGGACAATATTTTGCCGGCGTTGGGAAGCATGAGCTGAAGTTCGCGTACGAGTTTGCCTTGATCGAGGCTGAAAGAGCCCCTGCGAAGACCTTCTGTAGAGCCGTTGCGCGAGGTCCTGGTGCAGACGCGACCGGGGTTTGGGGAGGAGGTGACGGTGAGGCTGAGGTTCGCCCATTCATCTTTGTTGCTGTCACTGTCTCAACGGCAAAGAACTTGGGGGCTCTAAATCGAAATCCGGGCGCGGCTAATGGTTGACAACAATGGCTGCCCTGCGATGGATAGGCACAAATGCAGTGCGGGATTCCTATATTCAGGTTGAAAGTAAACATGCCAAGGTTATGATGTCATGCAGCAAGCCATCACCACCCACTCACCACCATCGCCGGCACTCAGCTGGAGGAGCACGAAGGGGATCTAGCCGGCAGGTGTGTAGGTGGTACCACCAGTACCACGACGCTCTGAAAACTTCATAGCGAACAGTCTGATGCCGGCTGTATGGACACCGAGCAGTGTTCCTCTATTGCATAAATGCCCGCCGTACTCACGTCACCCGGGCACAATCCCAGCTTCGCATGAGTTCACTGCATCAACCGAAACCGCAGTGAACCTCGTCCACACTCCAGATGAAGCCCAACAGACAATGGGACTTGTTTCCATATGAGAAGCCTTCACTGCTAAAGCTCCAACGTGAAGACGCATTGTTCGACATCGTTCGCGACTGGACAGACTCGAGATATGAATACACGCTATTCGAGATGTGAAGACAGATTACCGAGCGCTCTTTTGATCCCTAACTACCTTTACAGCCCACGCACCCACCCGTGGCCTTGATTACAACTTCGGCTGTCCCTGCTTCCTCTTCCTGACGTATTTCATCACCGCGTCAATGCCCGCCTGCGCCACTTCTGTATCTTGAGCCGGTGTCCCCGTGCTGCAGCCAATGGCTCCTACCACTTCGCCGTCGATGACAATGGGGATCCCACCAGCCACGTACATGAATCTGCCATTATTGCTATTACTCAGACCGAACGCAGCTCCGCCAGGCCAAACATTCTCTTTGTAGACCGATGTGGGCGCGCGGTGACCCGCGGCGGTGAAGGCTTTGTTCATGGAGATATCAATAGAGGTGAGTTTCGCACCAGGCATGCGTTCGAAATGCAGCAAGTAGAGGGAGGCGTCGACAATTGCGATGTTCATCGGGACGCCGATCGCTTTCGACTTCTCAATACATGCGGCCGAGGCCAGCTTGGCGGCATGGTGTGTGAGATGTGCGGGGCGGTGGATGGCAGCCATATTGAGCAAAGTGAGTATGGACCGTTGGAAGGAGGAGAGTCTGCTCGATCGATCAATCAATCGGGACTGGCAAAGGAGGACAAAGCAAGAGGTGCGACCAGATGAAACGTTCTCAGCCTCGGACCTTCACAAACGTAGTTTTGGCTGACTGACGATATGGAGGTTCAGAAGTCTACAATGGAGCAACCACAACTCGTATACACCGAAAGACCCGGGCAGACCGGTGTCGAGGGGATTAGTTAAGATGCATTTGTCGACGGATCAACGGCGACGTCAGCGAACGGATTGGTCGCCGCACACCCGAGACGTGCATGCGCCTAGCCTCGATATGGGACACGTTGTTGCGGGGGAAGCAGGGTACATACCGAGTACTCTAGGTAAAGTACTGCAGGCAAGGGTCTGCCACCCGCTGCCGCCTTCATGCTTCGGATTTATCTCTGCAACAACAAGCAAACAATGCTTGCGTGGGATGGGACAGTCGAAGCGATTAATTTCTAGAAAGTGGCTGTCACGAGTCTTGACAATCGGCTTTTTCATGAGGAACTCGTTACACCGGTTCGCCCACTTCCAGCTTCAGCGCGCTCAATTGCTCAGCGAGGCTGGTGAAGCGGACGGCCTCTTTGATACAGCAGCTCAAATGTCCGTTCGCTTTCCTTGTCCAGATACTCCGGCGCCTTCCTTACGACTGCACCTTGGTCCTTATAGTTCGGCGAGATCTCGAAGATCTCTCCCGAGGTCTGTTCATCGAGTAACTTCTCGAACGTGTTGATGACCCCTTCGATTGGCGCCAACAGGTTCTCCTTCTCTAGAGTGTCATAGAATGCGCCCGTGGAGATATTGGTGCGAATCACATTGGGGCAGATCGCGTTCATGGAGATCTTTTCTTCCGGCAAGTATTTCCCGTAGCTTCTCACTAATCCGACCACGGCATGCTTCGCCGCAGTATAGATGGGTAGGGTCGGGCAGCAATAGAAGCCGCAGACACTGGCAACACATCCGACTTAGATCACAGATTAGTCACGCGGTCATCGGCAGTAGGGGGTCTTGCTCACTTTGGCCGCGAAGACCATTCTTTCCGGGCTGCTGCCTCCTGAACTGCTGCACGGCCAGGGAGACGGTGTACAAAACACCTGTCAGGTCGACTTCGAGGACCGTCAAGTCCGGCATCTCGAACCCCGTGGCGGAAGGGTCATTCGGGATGGAGACACGCTCGCCGATCCCTGCAATGGGATATACGTAGTCAATCCGACCGAAATCTGCAACGGCTTGACTGAACGCTTTGACTTGGGAATTCCAGTTTGCAACATCGACATGAGCGCAACTGGCGACCTGAGAATCCTTGTTCAGCTCGTCCACGAGCTTCTGAGCGCCCTCGATATCTCGGTCGGCGATGAAGACCTTGATACTACAGCACTGTTAGTAGGGTTCCTGTCAAATGTTGACTTCTGCCACGGCAGTGTCGTCCTACTTGTGCTTCACCAGCATCTGAGCCACCCCTCGCCCAATGCCGGAAGCCCCTCCAGTAATGTATGCAAAGCCAGACATCCTTCTTGTATGACGAGTACTGAGAGATTCGCGATTTTAAGGGATATGAGAACACTTCTTGAAGTAGCAGTTGGGTAGACCTTCCGCGAATATAACAAGATCCTCCCTTTCAAGCAAGTGTAAGAGACATAGTCATCCTGACTCGCAACTCGGTCCTATTGCTGAAGTATCTGCATCTCGAGATGTGAGGGGTTAGCCGTCGGCCGAGCTTACACTCAGCAAGCACTGTCACAGAGTGTGCGCCATACTCGTGTTCCCGACGTGTGAGGAGACCTAGTGAGCAAACCCGAAGCGTCCGTATGTGAGAGCGCAAACAGAAATGCGGGGTTGCTAGTTGCCCTGTTCCACTGCGGAGGCTCCGAGCAAATTGATCGACTCTGCGGACTGAGGGCAGGCCGAAGAACCGAGCTAGAGCTGCGTTGTCGACACTGTATCACGGGTCCGAAGCAAGTCCTCTCAGCGGTCTGGCCACAGTCGCCACGCTCGACACGTTATGTATGAAACCGCAGGCATGGTCTCTTGGGTGTCTCTAAGACGGCTGACCGACCGCTTCATCTTTGCACACGATTTTAGACGCATCTAACGCCACGGTGTCATGCGCAGTATATCGCAAGAGTCCATTTCCCACCTGTTCATGGAGTACCTGTCACAAGCTTCCAGTCACTGTGGCCCAGCCTGCGCAGAGCTCGGCGCCCTGTTCGTGCTTCAAGACGGTTCTCCTGCCGTCAAAACACGTCCGAGGGTTGCTCGCGTGCATCCCTAAAGGTGCGAACCAATAAGTAACCGTCTAAGCCCATTCAATCCTCTGTGCGTGGTGTTGACGCACCACTGAATTCTTCGGTACAACCCATATGGACCAAAGTGACCAAATTCCTCGAAATTACAGAGTAACCAACCGACCTACGGCGGAACACTCGGCCAACGCAGGTCGCTGGGTGGATGAACAGTCATAGCTTCTCGCCCCCTTAGTAAGATCAGCCCACACGCTGGCTGGGCGTCGTTGTGCCGTGAAACTGCCATCAAAGGAAGGAAGAACCAACGATGTCCCAAGCGAAAGAAGCACTCTAGCCACTGCAAAGGCCAACGAGACGTTCCCATACCAGACCAGATCAGATCAAATCAGTTCATGGTCGGAAGTCTCACCAGCACAGGCACGACAGGAGGACATCGCCGGACTGAATACACCTCCCATCCTCTCCTCGTACTCGTAGTTAGAAGGTCCAAATGTCACCGTCACCACCAGAACCCTCAATATTCACGCCTTATCTCACGCCCTCGCTCTCCTCGCATCTCTCGAACCTCCCTCCAACCATCTCCGTGGACAGCCTGAGCCGCACGGCCCCAACCCGTCTGCAAAGGACAGCGCTGCCTCATATCGGGACCATCGAACTCGTCTCCTCAGCAGACTTCGAGAAGCTCTACGACCCACTCTACACGGCCAGTTTCCCCCGGGGCACCGAGCGCGAGAGGTCTGACCTGATCGTCGAGCGCCTCGCCGCCCAGGCCAGAGGCGAGAGGGCAGGATTGGCGCCGTACCGGATCGTCGGCATCCGAGACCACGCGGGCGAAGCCATCGGGGCGGCTCAGTTCTCGGTCCTGCCGGTCCCGCCTCGTCGAGCGGGACAGGGACAGGGACAACCACCGGCAGAGGGACAGGGACAGGAGACCGTGGGCTCCACTTCAGACGAGGAGACATCTTCTCGGCGGTCCATATCGTCGACGGTCAACTTCGCCGTCCCCTACCTGCAGTACATCTACGTGAGGGCGCAGAACCGCCGCCAGGACATGTCCGAGGTGCTGCATGCGATGGTGCTCGCCGTGGCGAGCGCCGACGCCGCGGTGATGGAACTCGAGGATGGAGCTTCTTCCCGGGGGGCCGAAAGTCTTGTGCGCACCGTGCCATTTACGCTCTTCGAGACGGAGCCGCCCGATCACGGCGACGATCACGCCAGCCGCGCGTATGCGCTGGAACGGTCCAAGATCCACACGTCGAGTGGAGGCGTGGCTCTCGTTCTGCGACGTCCAAAACGCTGCGAGGGCAGGTCGCATCAGGGCGAGGATGACATCCTCTCCGCGCACGTCCAACCTGGTCTTGAACCCGCCGATCCGCCGTTGACGCTGGTCTGGGTGATCCGGCCATCGCCGACCTCCACGCCGGATCAGGTCTACGATCTCACGAGCATGGGCACGGCACTCATTGCTGCCTACTACCAGAGTCTCCGAGACGAAGGCTTTCCGGAGAAGAACATCCGACTCGCAGAGAGGATCCTTGAGCAGAGATGTAAAGGCAGTACTTTCGAACTGGTACCCCTTGCAGAGGTCAAGGACTTTAGTATGGAGAAGGGCTATCTGGATATCCGAGAGGATGACTGAAGTTTAACAATTTTGGTTCCATTTCAGCACTGTAGCCAGTGAGGCCACAGGAGAGACTATAAAGCAAAGTAACATCCAGCAGCATTCTTCCTAACATTCTCGCCGACATTCATAACAATAGGACAGAACCCTGTCGTCTGAACTCGACTTTCTCAAAGCACGGCCTTAAATACTGGTCGGGAGACAATTTGGTAAGGAAATGACTTTGAAAACAATCTATAAAAAACTGCAACACCAAAAACTCAGCTGTAAAACGAGGGACAAGTCGATCGTAGGAGCACAACGTGAGCCCGACATATCTCAGTCCGGCGCTCCAGGACCATGCGTCAACCAGCAGAGAATATCACAGCTCCCCGGATCGTCGAACGGTGGATATCTGTTTCCGCCCGCTCAGTGTCTGGGTGGTTTTTTATCTTCTCTTCGACGGGCGTCTGCTATAGAGATCTCCACCATTGTAGGAAATCCCCATCGACGTCATGATGTTGACTGCGGCAGTTTCACCGGTAGCAAAAGCGCCATGCACACATCCGTTCCCGACCCGTGCACAGTGCTCACCAGCGAACTGAAGCTTGCTTCCTTTGTTGCTGTCGATGGCGTTGAACCAAATTTCCGGGTCGTCACCGGTTTTGTCAGCAGTATAAGTACCGAAACCAGCCAGAGGATCCTGTGTCCAGTGTGTCGTTTCCAGATTCACGACTGAAGGGAGTTTCTTGTATGGCTCGGTACGAAAGAGCTTAAAGAGAGGCTCGAAAAAGGCAAAGATTTCAGCATCCGAAGTCATGGACTCGATTCGCTGTGTGAGTGGCTCCACGATCTGAACAGACAGTTCTGTGGTGCCACTCATGATCCAATTGTTACTCGTGACTGTCATGTACGAAAGGATTGAGTCCGGGTCGAAAGTGTCTGCCGGTTCGGGATAATAGATGAACTGATCATTGTCTTTCGGCCAAAAGACTGATTCAAATTCGACGAAAATCTTGCCGAGGGCACCATATCCCAGTCGGTCGATACCGAGCGAGAGCTGTGGTGGGAGAGAGGGACTGAAGTCGACAAGCTTGTGTTTCAAGACACCAAGGGGGAGGGTGCACACGATAGCATCTGCAACGAGCGTGGTAGAGTTGCCGTCCAAAGTGGTGACATGCACTGTGCATGGTTGGCGCTCGTCTTCGTTCCAATCAATCCGGGTGACCTTATGACCGAGTCGGATGATCTCCGGGTCACGGAGGTTCGAGGCTGCCCAGTTGACAATGGTGTCGTAACCTCCTTTCATATAGAGGTTGCGTTCGGTTGCAAAGTATGCAAGATGTTTCGAGGAGGCTTGTTCGAGACTGGTACCAATCCAGGCTTCGACCTCCCGAGCGGCTTGAGGAGCCCAGAGGCGTTCGTCCTCGCTGACCAGAGGATGGGTACTAAGCCATTCCTTGATGAAAGTCAAGGCGGGCTTGTCCTCGGCGTCTGGATTCTCGTCATAGTACCATTCACAGAAGTCGGCAAACTCGTCGGCGACTTTCTTGGCCTTGAACTGGGACCCGAGACGGCCGTCTTTGGTATAGTAGAGAGGAGTACCGTCGTCATAGTAATGTTCAATCTTGAGCTCACGGATCAGACGGACCAATTTGTTGTTGGCGGTTTCGTGCATCCAGGCGGCGCCTACAGACAGTGTGAGTAGAAGTGGAAGACATGGGGAAACAACCCCACAACGGCGCGTGGCCCAACAATGAGCGCTCTTAACGACATCATGTCAAACGCCTACGGCGATTGTCAGTATTGCCTTGGTAATATTTACCAATGTCTCGGGGAGCGCGCCCGGCTTTCCTGCTCGTGTAAATACGTCCGCCGATCCGGTCAGACCGGGCTTCGAGGACCACGACTTGGACTCCATGGGTTCTCAAGACAGAGGCAGCACGAAGACCGGCGATGCCGGCACCGACTACGATTACTTTCTTCTGGGTTGGAAGTCCACCTGCTGTAGATGGTTCCTTTTTCTCTGGACTCACAACTTCATGGACATTGCTGTGTCCCGGGTCTTTCGGGTTTAGACCATCCTCCAACTCTTTGGTAGCGGCAGATGAGGGGAGTAGCCGTTGGGCGAGTTGCAGGATGGTCGAAGGACTACTCGACTCCTTATTGGGTTTATGAGGGGTGATCTGAGCGATATGGAAGTGTTGAGCCATTCTGAGCTGGCAAGTCGACATCAGCTATATGATAGGCTGGAGGTGGTAGAGAGGAGGCCCTGTGGCAACAAGGCTGTATCAAGCAGATACCTTGAAGAGAGAAGCGAGAAGTGAAGAGAGATGGGAGGTGGTGAACACGAAGGGATGATGGATGGGAGCGCAGGCACAAGGGTGGGATGAAGCGAAAGTAAGGCGAAGATGATGTGGGATGGCACCACGCTAACCACTTTCTAGGGAGGTGCAACCGCACCCAAGGGCTGGCGCCACCAATGAGAGTCCAGGTTACAGCGAGAAACAGGGATCGGGGGCTGCTGGTGCGCTGCTTATCGGCCACGATGACGCCGGGGCGGCAGTCCCAGTGCAGGCCCCATTAAAGCTCGGTTTAACTGGGAAAAGGCATCATCGGGCCTGGTTAAGCATCAAAGTCAAGCCGGCAGCTTCCTTTCCGTCGCTTGTGGGCAGCACACAGTCTCCCAGGCAAGTCAATCTTGCCTCAAAGCTACCAAAGCCACCCGTGATCTGCCATCCACTGAATTTCTTAAAGACAGTACGGGCAATCCGCTGACTGGCTACTGTAACTCGTTCTCCCGTACCTGTTGCCACTGATAAGCTTTGCACGCCAGGCTAATGGCCGTTCCCTGGTGGGCTCTTTGCGGGGGGTTGCAGCATACGAGTATTGTCAAAGTGCTGGATGAGGCGAATCTCCTGCCCGCACTCGTCAGTGGCTCCGGATGAGAGCTTTTTTGGGGCAAACCACCATGATAAGGGATCTAAGCTTGGGCTGTCCCTCAGACGATATGGTAACACGCCTTTCGCTTACTTTATAAAGGTCTTCTTTCCCAGCTTACTCTTCCCATCCACTTCGGAATTTTGCGACTCGGACTCCCCACTCACCTTGAAATAGTAGCCAGCGCATGGAGTACACCGAGGAGCTACCAGGCACGCGCCGCATTTTCGATACAGAGGGGAAGCCGTTGTATCCAGGAGATCCTTCGCTGAAGAGACATGGCGACATTGTGTTAGTGCCTCAGCCGACCGACTCTCCCAATGACCCTCTTCACTGGTCGACGCCACGCAAGATATGGCATAGTTTCCTCGTCTGTTTTGTCACAGCCCTGACCGCCGCCACCTCCAACGACGCTGGTGCCGCTCAGTACAACGAGAACCTCGAGCTCGGTATCAGCTATGGCTCTTTCAACACCGGGGCTGGAATCTTGTTTTGTGGCATCGGATACTGGACGCTACTATCGTCGCCGGCGGTTTATCTTTATGGTCGCCGCATCCTGTACTTGATAGGCATGACATGGGGTTTCATAGGGGGTATATGGTTTGCCAGAGGGCAGAGCACGAGCGATGCTCTCTGGAACCAGCTCTTTGTCGGCGCTTCTGAATCAGTGGCTGAAGCAACCGTCCAGTTGTCGTTGATGGATCTATGGTTCCAGCACCAGCGCGGCTCAGTGCTTGGTGTTTACGTGTTGGCAACTAGTATCGGCACGTATCTCGGGCCTTTGATCGCCAGCTACATCGCAGACAGCAGTCTCGATTGGCGGTGGATTGGATATTTGGGAGCCATCATCTCTGGGGGGACTTTCTTTGTCCTTCTGTTCGGCCTTGAAGAGACTACATTTCACAGGGATCGATACGTGGTCAATGATGGAGACAGGTACCTGATTGATGGCGTTGACAGGAACAGTTCTGCCTCTGCAGGGCTAGAAGGAGAGTCGACGGGCAAAGAGAAGATGGCCAATCAGCCAGATGAACCACGGGCTGGATCCCCACGTCGACGGTCTGTTGCTGAAGAGCGATTTGCAGCTGAGGATCGACCGAAACCGTATTGGCGACGCATTGCGATTATTACTCCAGCCCCCAACTTGCGCGGCTTCGGATTCAAGCAGTACTTTCAGCGGTTGTTTCACACTTTACGAATCTTTACATTTCCGGCAGTTTTGTATTCGGGCCTCCAATGGGGAGCGCAAGATGCCTGGCTTACCTTCTATCTGACTGTGGAGGAGGATAATTGGTATGGTCCGCCGTGGAACTACAGTGATGCTGCCGATGGGGTAAGTTATCTCTTGAGGTCCAAGCGGTCGACAGGCGGGAAGCTGACCCAGACTTAGCTCATGAACGTGCCTTGCTTGATTGGCGCCGTGATCGGAGCCACATATGGTGGCTGGCTCAGTGATAAGTTTATGATCTGGATGGCCAAGAGAAACGGCGGCGTTAGCGAAGCTGAGCATCGACTTTGGCTCATGTATCCGTGTGCCGCCATTTTCCCCACGGGCCTGTGGCTCTTCGGTATTGGAACCAGCTATGGCTGGAGATGGCCTGCCCCATATGTTGGTCTCGGCTTTATCGGTTTCGGATGGGGTTGCGCCGGGGACTTGAGCATGGCGTATCTGATGGATGCGTATCCAGACATGGTCTTGGAAGGCATGGTGGGTGTAGCGACGATCAACAATTCAATCGCGCTGATCTTCACCTTTACCGCGTCCGACTGGATCGAAGCAAGTGGTGTTCGCAATACATTTATTGCGATTGGTGTCCTGGCATTCGTGTTCATCATGACGACCTTGCCAATGATGATCTGGGGAAAGACCTCTCGACGTTGGACTAGGGACCGGTATCAGCGATTCCTGGAGATCCGTGACGGGTTTTCGAGTTAGCTCTGAGTCCGAATAGACGATAAGAGAGCTTGCACAGTGTCGAACAGTAACCTCCTGAACTGAGTCATGGTTGCTTTCTCTGTTATACTGTGTATATCCATTCAGGGTCCATGTCGGCGAGGTATTCCCCCTCCCCACGGACGGAGCATTGACCGTACGAATGATACGTGCCTGTACTCCGTCCGTGGATGAGCTTGTGGCTAGTGACCCGATACTCTCGCTTGGATTGATATCGGCGGCGGCGCTTTTTGATCCTATGCTCACCCGTAGAAATACGGTCTCTCTACTGTCGACCATTCGCCAACTCTGTTCAAGAGTAACTGCCTTCCATCACCACCTGCACATTCAAGCTCAACGCGGTACAGAGCAATTACGCATTATTCACTCAAGCGCTTTAACCTCACCTTCCGAGTAGCCTCTGAACAATCTCACAATGCATCCAACTCTATCTCTCCACCGCGGCCTGTGAGTCCACCGCTTCTCCTCGGGACATCTCCCCAAAACCCTCCACATCCCAGTGCCCTCAAGGCCACGAAGCTTCTCTGCACCGGAATACTAACGTTCAACAGCCTCAAACGCTCCTCATACTACAACCCAGACTACCGGACCGGTGCAGCCCTCCTCCGCGCCAGACGACCATATCTCGTGAAGAATACACTGACGGGAATCGCTATCTTCGGGTTTGCAATTGGAGTTTGTATGCCTGCCCTGCCTTGCCCTGCCTTGCCCTAAGCTCACCTGATTGTAATTCCCCCGTCCGAGGGTCAGCCACTGACGGGTCCGCAATAGTTTCATTCACATTGAAAGCCGTCGGACAAGAGACCTTCGATGACGTGATCGTCCCTTCCGAGCCCCAGCCTGCAGCGCAATCAATACAGCACCAGAATCAGTCCCAGGCCGTCAAAGCGAAGATCCCGACCGCAGAAGTGAACGGGATGCGCTCCTGAAGAGTTCCTAAGCTAGGTGATGCGATGAAGAGATCTACAACGGTGCCGGGAGCTACGTCCTCGACAGAGATGGTAACGGCACAGCGGCGGGGGCGAGTGGTAGCGGGAGTGGCAGCGGCACTGGTAGTGGCATCTGCAGCACTATCGCCACGACCAGACATTCCGCACGGTACTTCTCGTAGCTGCTACGCTAGCATGCACCAAGGTTTAGGCATAATCCTGTGCCGTGAGAGGTTGCCGCACCATCAATTACGAGAAAGGGCCGGACATACAACTTCCCTGGATCTCCATTTACCAACGTCGACAAGCCGGCAAAAAACCAAGGCCGTGCTCCTACCAAGGCGGCCGCCGCGAGCTGTTGCAGAACCAACGGGGCGTGGAATTTTCTTCCTTTCTGGCAGAGGTGTCATCTGTGTACGGTCTGCGGATATCACAGTTGCTGGTGACAATGGTCGATTGAAATCTACTCTCGGGCTATATATCCGTCTGGATCGCTGTGGAGCAGCGGATTTCTATACCGTAAGCACTTCTTCCGGTGTTCAAAAAAGCTGGACCGCCGCGAGAGCAACCATTGCCCTGGTGATGCCAGTGATGGGTGCTGTGGCAGAGGGGTGGGTCGAGAGAGAATGACGCGCATGTCTCTACATCCACCAGTATAAAGGCAAGCTTCTACCTTTATCTTGTTCATGAGTCAGAGGGACTCGGGTCAGAGGTACATAGGAGAGTGGCACAGATTCGACCACACCAAGTTCTCTCACGCGGCCACGATATTGGGCTTCTGAATAGGAAGAAGACCACTGCTGACCAGTACCCTTGTGAGCTCAGTCGCTTCTCATTGTTTGAAAAATATATGTCCAGAATCTACAAAAGCCCCCAATTCCGGGAGGGGTGGTCAGAGTGATTGCTTGCTCCTTCCGCAATGCCGCGTATGCTCGTCCCAAAGACTGCAACCCCCTGGTATCATTCAATGTCCGTCAGCGAACACTAAATCTCCCCGTCCCGGCCGTGATAGCAGGTGGTCTTGGCGCCGCTGCGTTAAAGTATGCTCGCGAGGTCAGAGGTGAAGAGCCCGTGTCACGTGCAGTACCCATCACGTCTTTGTCCTTCCCTGGCTGATCATTTGGCTCGGGATGCCGCCTCTTATCGAGTGGACTCGCAGAATGGATGCGGAAGTTATGTAGCGCAGATGGTCCTGCTTGAACCTCCGTCCTAGAGGCGCTGTTCTGCCCGTCATGAGGCGTGTTGATGGCTGAGGACGCTTGGGCCGAAGCTGAAGGGTCGGCGATGGTAGATGCTGATCCTCCTGGGGGCTGGAGATTGTCCGGCATATTCCGTTGTTGGTTTGCTGGCGTGAGGAATTCATTCATTGGTGAGCGGTTGGAGTTTTGCCGGCTCAGACGATGAATGGGATGTTGAGGATTAGCCCAGGGAGTCTGTTCCAGGAATTGCTCTTCGGCTTGTGGTCCAGACATCTGTGATTGCATTGCTGGGCGCTGGATAGGTCTGGCAGGTCGAATTTGTGCGGGTGAAATCTACGAGCTGTTAGACTGAGGCGTTCGTGCATCGCTGTCAAGGTAAACTTACCCCCATCTTCTGGATGTCGTCCTCAATATCTTTCTGCCTGGTTGCCTCCAATTCTGGCGCAGCAGGGAAGCCCACGTATTTAGCCACGCCCGACAAAATCGAGACTTCCTTGTTGTAAGCCGTCTGCTGTAGAATTTGCTGTGATCTCTTCTCTGGGAACGGGATGCTGAAACTGGGTATCGAGGAATCGGCTTTAAATCTATCACGCTGAATCCGGTAAAAGTGCTCGCTGATACGTTCAAGGTGTCGCTCTCTGATGTCTCGCACGGTCTGGAAGTATTGGCTGTGAATCTGACTCCGTTCCGCAACGGCTTTGTTCTTCAAGGCTCCGACCTTGTAAACCAGCAGTTTTTGCTCAATTTGGAACTTTTCGTCGCGGTATCTCTGCACTGCTTCGACCTGACGTATTAGCTCAGGATGAGCTGGCTTTGGTTCTTGCAGTAGCTGGAGCTCATGATTGATGGCCGCTATACGTTCGTCATAGAGGCGGTCCCTCAGCGTTGCAAATTGCTTCTCAATAGCCATCAGCGAGTCCATGGCCGCCATTCGTCTGGCTTGCTCTTCTTCGCTCTTCAAGGTGGCCTCGGCATCATTCTCATCCGCATCAGCAGGCTCCGAATCTTCAGCCGCTTCGGCGTCCTCTCCCTCTTCTGGCTGCGGCTCTGGTATGACGGGTTCTTTTGTTTTTCTCCTCAGCCGACTCCTGCTTTTGCCCTTCGAGTCTTCGCTTGTATCGGTCTTCTCGATTTCTTTCTGCTCTTCTTCAGCGACTGCTGGCGCATGTCCGGTTTGTTCACCGACTTCGACTTCGGGTTCAACAATGGGTTTCCGAGTCTGAGGGGCAGGAGCTTCATCACCATCACTGTCTAGTTCTGATTTCTCGTCGTCAGACTCGGGTGAGCCGGGCCGTCGTCGCCTTCGTGATCTTGGTGCCTCCTCAACGTCCGATCCGCTCTCTTCTCGTTTACGTTTGTTGGGGGAACTCGTGCCAGCAGGCACGGCCTCAATTGGGAGTTCTTCATCCGCGTCCGGCCCGTCGCTCAAGGGATCGTCATTGTCCGAATCGGGATGAGAGGATATAGGAGACGAGACCAGGCTTTCTGTCAAGCTCTCGATTTCAGGCCGCATGTCTACATCTTGTCTTTGGGCAAGCTTGCTGGGACTGCTCTCAAAGGGCTTCTTCCTCTGAAGATTTTCTGGCGTGACTTGCAATCGCTCAGTTTCAGCCTCAGAATCAGCATCCCCCAGCGGTGTTGGCTCTATCTCCTCGTCTTCACCATCTTCGAGGTCCTCTTCAAGCTCGCTGAGGCTGCTCGACCGATCATCGTCCGAGAGGGGTTCTTCTTTGGCGGCAACGGTCGTGGTGGCATTAGAAAGCGCAAGGAGAGAATCTGCGGCCAAATCCATGGGTGCTGTAGAGGAGGACTCGTGGACGAGGTACCGTTAAAAGGCGGAGTGAGAAGCTTTAACTCTGAGAAAGCCCCAGTAATGGAGCTGCGAAAGTCGCGAACAGATAGCTTCTGACAATAACGTTGGCGATTAGCAACATTCAAGGAATTTTCCACAAAAGCAGGAGCGCGGGCTTTCGTCACGAACGTCAATCTACTTACCGAGTTGGAGTGAATGTCTCTCGGTCACACTCGCATCGTGGTCAGCGATTCTTGTGCGCTAAGTGACACCAGTGGGCGCGGGCGCACAGGACTGCGCACGAGGGTGTGGCCGTTTGTTATCGAGTCCACACACCCAGCTCTTTGCATGTATGTGTATAGACGGATTGCGATCCCTCGAGCAGCTCAGGGTGGGAGTGACTGCCAGCAGAGGGCTGCCGGTGGGGCGGGGAGGATGATCGGTGGATAATGCGTGAGTGGTTAGACAGATGAAGTGCGAAACCAATGCGACAGTGATCGTTCGACTATCTTCAGGAAGTCAAGCGAGACGAGAAAGGAAACCAAAGTGAATCGAGTAGTCGATGTCGCAGGCGGTAGAATGCCAGGAGGAGCAGTTGACTGAGTCTTGCAGCGTGTTGGCGTCGGTGGAGAAACGCAGCGCATCGCCGGGCAGCCCCAAAGTTTCGTTTTCCTCCCTTCAGGGCACAACGAGACCCTGCGGCCTGAATCATGGGCTTTGCCCACGATGTCATAGGCGCGAATCATTTTCCCGGGTTAGCCTCGGCGATAACCGATATGCACCACGCTTATCCCCATTTGCAGCTTTTCCGCCAAACCACCCAAAATTTCTTGAACCGGGGGATATCCAGTCGTGGTTTGTGTCTACTGAGCGCAACATGTCCAAATCCAAGAAGACGAGGGCTGCAGAGCCAGCTGCTCCTCCCACCAAAGCTGCCGCCACATTCGGAGCGAAAGACGACTCGGTTGATCCTGCTCTTGCATCTCTCTTTGCTTCAAGTGTAAGTCTGTTTTAGTCCCCAATTTTTCTTGTCGGCGCTGACTCTGTTGTTTAGTCGGGACCAGTGAAAGTACCGAGCAGAGTAGTTCAACCGACAAAACCAGCTGCTGTGCCAAAGAACACCGCTCAGGAAGACGAATCGCAATCCTCAGACCCTGAATCCTCGAAGGACGAGGACGGGAATGAAGAGAGCGATGACGAGGACGACGACGAAGAGGAGGTCAGCGAGGAAGACCACGGAACCGCAGATGGTGTCTCCGAAGATGACACTCCACGAATCGCCGTAGAGGCACAAAGCGATGCGGAGAAGCCACGGAAACGCAAGCGAAATGCGGATGAGGACGACCTCGAGCAAGCATACTTCAAGCGCCTACAGCGAGAAGAGGACAAAGAGACGCAACAGAAGCAAGCGGGGCAGGATCCAAAAGACGTAGATGCAAGCTCCGACGACGACGAAGACGACGACGACGACGACTCAGTCAGCGAACCCTCAGAAGTCGAAGAGCCTCTCCGCCACGAAATTTTCGACAAAAAGCTCAACGACCGAGACAAACTCAACCGTACCGTCTTCCTCGGAAACGTGTCCACCGAGGCGATAAAAATAAAGCACGCCAAGCGAACACTCACTCGTCACCTGCGCTCCGTATTGAAGACTCCCGCCCAAGGCAAACGACCAGGGAAATTCGAGTCAATCCGATTCCGCTCCACCGCATATGCCGCCAAATCCGGCCCGAAGAAAGCCACGTACGCGAAGAAGGAGCTCATGGACGCCACCACGACCAGCACCAATGCCTACGCGGTGTTCACCACCGAGGCGGCAGCACAGCACGTTGCAAAAACGCTGAATGGAAGCGTCGTCCTCGATCGCCATCTGCGAGTCGACTACCTTGCCCGCCCTCTCCCCATCGACCACAAACGCTGCGTCTTCATTGGCAATCTCAGCTTCGTCAACGAGGAGACTCAACCCACAGACGGAAACGAGGGCCGGCGCCCGACGGCCAAGCAGCCCGCCGACGCCGAGGAAGGCCTCTGGCGCACATTCAGCAAGTGCGGCGCCGTCGAATCTGTCCGCGTTGTCCGCGACCAAGAAACTCGCGTGTCCAAGGGATTCGCCTACGTGCAATTCAAGGATGAGAACAGTGTAGAAGCCGCATTGCTGATGAACGACAAGAAGTTCCCCCCCATGCTACCGAGGAAGTTGAGGGTCATGCGCGCGAGGAAAACAAAGGTCAAGTCGTCGTCCAGGTTGCCGTCCGGGGGGAAGCTCCCCAGTAAGAGCTCATTCGCTCGAGGACGGGCAGGGAAACCGCTTGTCTTCGAAGGCCATCGGGCGAGTGAAGGCGGCGGGAAAAAAGGCAAACCGCAGAGCCTCAAGGATAGGAAGAGGGAGAGGAACAAGAAGAGACCAGACTCGGAGAGCGCCAGGCGAAGTGTAAATTTCAAGCGCGCACAAGCGAGGAATCGAAATCCAGGCCAGGCAAAGTGATCGGCCAGGCACGTACAGCATCAAGGGCCACACGAGATGTAATGTGCTTTTCCCCCCCCGTACAGTATGAGCATTAGGTACGAGCAGCACGGGTGTGAGGGTTCGGGGTCCTCCTCCCAGCGGTATGCAAGCGAAAAATGAGCTTAGGAACGTTCAATCTCGAAGTTTTGACGACCCTGTTTCTCTTCCTCTGTCTGTCTCTGTGTTTGTGTCTGTCTTGCGAGCTCACTGCTCCTGCCAAACACCGCTCCCTCGCGTCAAAAGCTTCTTCTCAACTCAGCAGTCCCTCTTCTAGCGGACCCCTGCTTGCTTAGCCCGTGATATCCGCCCACTCAGTCCTGACACTTCGCCAGGGGGGAGCAGGTCTACACAGGGGGCGCATCAAAGTCAAAGGCCAGGACACAGACGCGCACGAGCAAGCAGAGCATATGCGTCACATACCGCAACTCTGCACGAGTCGTGATTTTACTGGGCAGGGATCTTGGACCTTTCTTCTGCAACGCTGGTACTGTTATGTACAAAGGTCCCACTGAATCATACGGCTTGACATCGATGGTGTGCGACACATCACAGCTCCTTGAGCCGGCACGTTGGCTCTTTTGAGCTCGTGCGCAAGATGAGCTCGGTTCAGGATGTCTGATAACTTGAATAAGAAATCATTGACCCATCATGGACGGGATGCTTACCGTCCATATGGACCTAGGGGCTCATTCTCGTCAGCATCAACCTCAACCTGAACATCACCCAATGCGTCGACCAGCTCTTTGATACTCGGATACTCTGCACTCCTGCTCCTCAGCTCCTCATCAGCCTCCTCTTGGAGAGCGACAACACTCCTCTTCCTGGCTGTGGCTTTACCTTCCTCTCCTCGGAGGTATGCCCAGACGTCCAGGTGCCCCGATCTCTCCGCCCACATTGCCGCGGTCAACTTGAGGCGATCTCCCGCCAGGACATCAACACCGCATTCCACCACCAGCATTCGAACGATGTCAATATCGTTCTGACTCGCGGCAATATGCAGAGCGGTCATCCCGTGGTCGTTCTTGGCTTCTGGATTGGCCCCGGCAGATAAGATCCGGCGGACCACCGCAACGGAGCGAGAAGACGCAGCTTTGTGGAGTGGTGTCTGATTCGTATGTGTCCGCGTGTCGATTTTGGCGCCATGGGAGAGACACAACTCCACCAGGTCGACGTCGCCCAACGAGGCTGCTATGTGCAAAGCTCGCCAGCCGTGATAGCCTACCGTTTCGATCGAAGCTCCTCTGCTGAGCAGATATTCGATAATAGACTTTTGGTTTTCTTGGACTGCGACGTGCAGAGGTGGTTGGCCGTCTTCGTCGAGCGAGTTGATAGAGTCAGGATCTTTGGCGAGAAGGGCTTGCACGGCTTGCAGATCGCCCCTCTCAATGGCCGTGGTGAGTATGTTCGAGCTGCTTGGTTCGGTCATGCCTTGTGCCTCCCTTTCTGCGGCGCGGAGATATTTGTGAATGTCGTAGTGGGCGGTGAAGAAGGCGACCTCTCGTGGCGTAGACCCCTTCTTATCACGAGAGAAGAGTTGTGCTCGTTTGAGCTCGGAATCAGAACTGTATTCGACAAGCGTTTTCACGGCCCCCATACTTCCGGATCGAACGGCCAGGTGTAGCGGAGTGTTATGCTTGAAGTCGAAGGCCAGAGCATTGGCTCCTCGCTCCAGAAAGAAGCGCACAATCTCAGTGTGGCCTCTTCTCGCCGCCCGGTGCAGCGGCGTCCAGAGTTCACGTCCTCTATGGAATATGTTCCCGCCATTCTCAACGAAGTAAGCGACCATATCGGTGAAGCCACCGGTGGCAGCCGAGTCGAGTGGGCACAGACCCTCCCTATCTTTCACGTGCACCAAAGCGCCCGAGAGTACCAGCAGCTTCGCGATGGGGAGGTAGCCGCGGAGCGCAGCAATGTGCAGGGGAGTCGTTCCTTGACTGTTGGTGGCTGCTACCAACGCCCCCGCCTGCAGGAGGGTAGTGACCATTTCTTCGTCGCCTTGTTCAACAGCTTTATGAAGAGGTGTGAAACCCTTTGGGCCGGGGTAATCCAGCTGTTCTCGTCCATACTGAAGAAGTAGTCTCACCATGGAGAGCTGTCGATAAGACACTGCCAGGTACAAGGGCGTACTTTGGCCATGATTCACATCCAGCACACTGCCTCCATGCTGGAGCAGGACTTGAGCGGCCTCTTCGTGACCAGAAAGTGCTGCTTCATGTAGTGCTGTGTTTCCGTACGCGCCGCGTGCATTCAGACAGAGATCAGACCGATTTTGCGCAATCAAGACTTTGAGGAGCTCGGAAAGGCCAAATTGAGCCGCTATCGAAATCCCAGCACCACCCGAATAAGCCCAAGCCCATGTCTTCTCCTTCCAGTTTCGGAGGTCATTCGCTCGGAAATCACGCACGCGAGCCATAGTGAACATGCGAAGGCTGTCCGAAAGCAGAGAGAGGGTGATGTCCTTGATCTTCTCCACGGGAACCTGGTAGGCGTGATGGCCCCATTCAAGAGCTGCATACTCCAGGAATGCAAAGTCGTCCAAAGCCTTAGCAAAATCCTCCCTCTTCTTGTATGGTAGATCTTTGATCGAATCAAGCATCAAATACTTTATACAAGTTCTGGTGATGACAAGGTCGGCGTCCTGGAAGAGGCCATGGTCATGGTTGCGCAGGTACTCTTCCAAGGAGTGATGCACTAGGCGTATGAGGGAGCTCTCATGGTCCACCTCGACAAGTCCGCAACAGCAGTCAACAAGAGTTCTCACAGATGGGAAGTTGTCCCTATCCAGATCGGTATCTTCGAGTCGCAGGGCCATGGCATGCTGCAACTCCAATAGTGTCAGTGGCCGCCGGGCATGAGATAACCACATCAATATCCGAAAAGCGAGATCTCGCCTGGCAACAGAGAGGTTCGAGATCCTTTGTATCGTGGACTGGAAGGCATGCGTCAGATCTGTCGAGAGATGGAGCAATGTTCGTCTGACATCGGCTTTTGTGATTTGATCCAATATCGTCTTGACTTGAAGAGCTGGCAGCAGGAACAGGCCATGAGCGGTCTTTGTTAACGTGTCAAGAACTTGTGTTCGAAGCTCATTATCCATTAGATCTTCAGAGTCGGGATGTTCGTCTATCGTTTGGGCGAGATATCGACGAAGATCTCCGGCATCTGCAACAATCTCGATTGTCACCGGATCATCGAACTTGTCCAGCAGGTTAAAGGCGTGTGGTCTGGTGGTGGCAAGCAGCTTTACCGTGCTCCCCGAGGAGGATCTAACGGCGCCAATGACCTCGAAAAACCCTGACCTTTGGCTCTGACTATCTGCCTCGTCAAGGGCATCAATTATGATGAAGCACCGGGTGAAGGTCGCGACAACCCGGCGCGTGACCGCCAACAAATCGTGGAACCACGTCTGGTCTTTGACGGCATTCCTCGTCTGTTGATAAAACTCGGCAACGGCAGACGGCACGTTTTCGCCATGGGAGCTGAGTTGGCGTAGAAGGGACCTGGCAAAGGCGGACGGGTGCTGTGACAGTTGTTCGGAATAGTCGTAATAGTAGTAAGCTACAGCGACGTCCTGGTCTTTGAATCTAGTTCGCAGAAAATCAACGATATGTGAGGACAGTATAGATTTCCCAGCTCCCGGTCCGCCAATGCAGAGAAGGTCATGACTCGTACTTCTGTCGTCGATCCAGTCGAGGAAGTCGCGATGCTCGAGGAACCATCGTCCTGTGCCCTTAGCCCGTCGTACCTGGAGGTCACGATGCTTGTGCAGCGACGAGACGGGAGCGAGCCAATCCAGTATGTCCGTAGTCCTTCGTTCCTGCTCTCTCAACTCAGCTAGTCGCGCAGCTTGAGAGATCTCGTTCACGTCCGCAGCGGTCTGGGTAAGCATGGGTACCAAGGCAATGATGTGCTCGAGTTGAGCGGCGCGCTTGGAAGACTCCTCGGTGGACAAGCCCATCTGAGCAGACAACTCACTTATCTTCTTTGAAACCTGGAGCATCTCTTGTAAGCCTTTCGTGGCATCTTCTGACGACTTCGACAAGAGGTTGAAGCCTTCGATGGTGAAAGCAAACTGGAAGGTCTGGCTGTACCGCTTGAGATTGTCCACCATGTGCATGACCTCCCTCTGCTCAAACGGCCATCTGAGGTGGTCGATCGCGCGGAGAAATCTCCCACCGTCCGGCGGAGGCTTCAGTCGATCCCCGATGCGCTCTATCCTCTGTCGACAATCTCTGATGGCTTTCGACAGAACAGAGTAGCTGTCAAAAGACCTGCCGGCCGCCTTCTCGCTATTCAAAAAATCCCGCAGGTTGCTGAGCACTTCGCCCAGCAGCAGCAATTCATCTTGCAGTTCTTTGACATTCTTGGACCGCTCCTTGATGGCAGTGACATAGGTTGCAACGGCGCCGCCAACCTGTAACGTAAGGGTAACGAGACCAGCGACGCTGCTGGCGACGGAGACACCGTCCATGGCCGAGCCGAGAAGACGACGAAGCGAACGAAAGCATGGCTCGTCTCGCAATTATTGTTATTTTGTAGGGGTCTGTATGATCATGAATGATTTATAAGTGGAACCTGAGTAGACCGTAATTAGTCCTGGTGGTGGCAAGGTCAGCCAGCACTCACGCATTGCGCGGAACCACCGATGTGGGAAGCGTTGGCCTCCCGGCTAGCCTACGCCGAACTTAGGGCTCCCTCGAAGCATTTAGCGGGCCCCACGAGGGCGCCTAAAGCTTACCTAGGCATGCCTTGCATACTGCACTGAGTCCTGTGCGCGTGGCCCCTGACCGGCGGCTCGCGCCTTACCTGCCTCGATCGACACAGCCACCTGAAAGGGAGCGCCTCTGGCAACTTGGATGCCAATGTCGCGACGACAATGTAACATGAGAGAATGAAAGGCAATGCTCTGTTGGCGCTGGTGTCGCTCGGCTCAATCAGGAGTCGACTTCTAAGCATCTCGACGGCCTTGGTGGTGTTTTGGATATTTGTGCTCTTTTGGGGGGAACGGCGCATTTTTGATCAAAGCGTCACGCAGTGTCTTTGGCAGCAGTGGGAGTCATGGGTGCGTGAAGCATCCCTTTGCAGGCCTCCAGTACTGACCATGGCAGCCGGCCCACACTCAACCTCACCATGTTCTCCTCGTCGCAGACCCCCAATTGGTTGATCCGCATACGTATCCTGACAGACCGTGGCCTCTCTCAAGCCTGACGGTGCTGTACACGGACCTGTACCTCAGGCGCTCCTACCGGCTCCTACAAGAAAGACTTCAACCTGACGCGACTCTGTTTTTGGGTGATCTGTTCGACGGAGGGAGAGAATGGGGGACTGCCGACTCAAGCTCGCCAGAGCAACGATACAAGAAGTATGGGTCGCGGTTTTGGCTCAAGGAATACATTCGTTTCTCGAACATCTTCTTGCGCTCTTGGTTCACGGGCTCTTCGGTCTCGCCAGCCGAACCCACAGGCCGTCGCCTTCTAGCCTCGCTCCCTGGGAATCATGACCTAGGCTTTGCGGCGGGTATCCAAATGCCCGTCAAGGAGCGCTTCGATGCATATTTCGGGCCGTTGAACCGAATCGACATTATCGGCAACCACTCTTTTGTCCATCTCGACACGGTCTCCTTGAGCGCCATGGATCAGATCGATCCCAAGACCGGAAGTTCAGGGGCGGGAGACGGAAGTGCAGCCGCAACTGCTTCCACCAAAATCTGGACTCCAGTCGAGGACTTCCTTGCAGAAGCCAAAACCATCAGAGCCAAGGCCATCCAACATACGTGCGAAACGAGATTCAGTTGGAAGAGCCCTTCTTCTCGATCGCTCGTCCCCGAAGTACGACAAGCCGATCAAGCCGAATCCTCTAAGACATCTCATAACTCACTTTACCCAGTCAGCTCATCACAATTTCCAACAATCATCCTCTCCCACGTCCCGCTGTACCGCTCCGGTGAGGCCAATTGCGGACCATTGCGAGAACGAGGGTCGGCCATCCCGCTGCAGGCAGGCTATCAATACCAGAACGTCCTTACGCCGTTGATATCCCACGATATAGTCAAGCACCTGACCGCCGAGGAAATCACGATGATCTACTCGGGCGACGACCACGATTACTGCGAGATCGAACACAACGAGTTCACCGGCCGGATCAGAGAAATCACCGTCAAGAGCATGAGTTGGGCCATGGGCATCCGCCAGCCCGGCGTCCAGCTCGTCAGCCTGTGGAATCCCGTCGACGTGGAGAAAGCCATGTCCGACGACCCGAATCTATCCACCCCAAGAGACACGGTGCAGAACCACATGTGTCTCCTCCCCGACCAATTGAGCATCTTCATCCGCTACGGCCAAGCAGCAGGCGTGACGCTCTTCATCCTCCTCCTGAGCGCGCTGCGATACAGCCCTTCTGCCGCCGCAACCGCTCATGCGGCTGCGCTGCAGCACGAGAAATCAGACCCCCTCCTCCCGACGTCGGAGTTGTCCCGCCGCCATGAATCGAGTAATTCCAATAGCTCGTGCATCCAGAGTGGCGGAACCTCGCACCTCTCCACACGCAAACCGGGCTACGGTCACATCCCCGCCTCATCGCGCACGGCGTCGCGCTCGCCCGTGCCCTCGAAACCTCCATACATCGATCACGCCCGGAACGCGTACCATGTGGGAACGGAGGACGTGGCTGACGTCAACGACCACGACAACGATGACGACTGGGGCATGCCCAAACGTGTGGTTGCGATGGCGAAGCGGAGGAATCTCCCCCCGGCGACACGACTTGCGTATTTGCGCCGTGAAGTCGGACGGACTGTGTGGCCGGCGTTGGCCGTCTATATGTGGTTGCTATGGCACGGATGATGGATGGGTCTGGCTTGTCCGGAGGCGAGTTAACCGGGTTATGGAGGGCAGATATCATGTATCAACAACTAGACATGCTCGTTGTGAGAATGACGGGGTGGACAGACCACACAGACTAAACGCCGGAAACGACAATAGTCACTTGTGGATTGCATTCATTCTTGTGCTTTTTGGTTCCCCAGGAAGATTCTACTGACCAGGTAATCTTAACTTTAAAAGGCCAACGCTTGTGCCTTGAGCAAACTCCTCGACTCCCGGACCTCATGAACGCTGCTTGTTGGCTTTGATTACTTTCCACCATTCGCATGCACAAGCCAATCTCTCTCTCTCTCTCTCTGCAACCTCGTGCTGTGTGCCTAGGTAGTCATACATAAAAGGTCGCCCCATCAACTCTCACTTCTTCCCGTTCTTAGAGCCGTCGCTCGGACAGCACATCTTACTCCCAGCGCATGCATCACTGCAGTCCAGCAGGCACACCGGCTGTCCTTCACTCCTCAAACTCGCTGTTTTACTGCCGTTCGCGTTGTTTTTGGGCGTCGCTATTCCACTGCCACTGCCCGCAGCCCCTGCGGCACCGTCATCATCGCCTGCTCCGCTGGGAGAGTGCAGATGTGGTGCCTCAAACTCGGGCTGGATCGTCGAGCTATGAATGCCATAGCCGTGCAGACAGCTCCGGATCTCACGCGCGAGGTGCATGTAGCTGGCTGATCCGGCCCCTTCCACCTCGCAGTCAACTTTGACGTGTAGGCTAGCCACGAGTTTGGTGTCGCTGAGCTGCCAGACGTGCAGGTGATGTGCTTCCATTACTCGCGGAAGAGACTCAATATCAGCAGTGATCTCGTCGATGGACATACCTACGGGGACGGCTTGCAAGAGAATACGACCAGCAGCTCTGCAGAGGGGTATGGCGCTGGCGAGGATGATCAGTGTGATGACGAGAGAGATGGCGGGGTCGAAGTAATATCGTCCGGGGAATGTGGTGAGCCAGATGATCAGCGCAGTTACTATGACGCCAATGTTTCCCAGCGCATCACCCATGACATGAAGGAAGACGCCCCGCATGTTCAGATCGCCGTGAGAGTGACCATGTCCGCCGTGTCCGCCGTGTCCGCCATGGCCATGATCAGAACCCGAGGCATCTTTCTGATTGTTGTGGTTGTGGGCGGCATGGTTGTAGTCGAGGCTCCTCTTGCGGTTATTGATACTACCATAGCCTGAGACCCGATTGCTTCTAGATGGCGACGCGTGATGGTCCTCTGCGAATGTGTTGGAACGATCCACTGGCGAGTCAACGTCGATCAGCAGGGCATCCTCTTCACCAGACTCGGATTCGGATCGTTCCTCCAGTCGTGCAGCCTGGATAATATCCTGGCGGAACGATGCTGGATGAATGTGTATGTTGTCCACAGAGCCGAAACCTCTTCCAAAAGAGCCCGACGTCCGGCGTCGATGCCGACCATGGACCTCACCATTGGTAGGCTTCCGGTGTGTCGTATTGGTGGACCTAGCCGAGATGGTTGTGTTTTCTTCATCCGACTTGGTGAAATTCCGCGAGTCTGAAGCCCTGTAACCGGCAATGCGAACTTGCGGAAGGATGTCCTCGATGTTTCCATGCTCATCTGTCATCTTGTGTGTTTCACCGTCTGCATGCACATGGCCATGACCTTCTTCGGCAGCTCTTGCGGGATTATCGTCGTGCGAATGCTCCTCCCCACCATGACTGTGGCCATGCTCGTGGAAGAGGAACAGGCCAAGGACGTTTGAGGCCAGCCCCAGGCACCCGACGATGAGGACCAGCTTCGGGTTGCTGACCTTCTGAGGTTCGACAAATCGTTGGATCGCTTCGAGGAAGATGGACAGGCAAAGAGCAACCAGGAAAACTCCGTTCACCAGCGCACCCAACGTCTCGGCTCGTTGCCAGCCATAGGTGTACATCTTCGAGCTCCCCGTATTGGCGACACGGACCGCCCACAGTCCCACGCATAGAGATAGAACATCGTTCAGCATGTGAAAGGAATCAGCCACCAGGGCCAGGGAGTGTACAGCATATCCTAGAGAGACTGCGTTAGTGGCTATGCCATCAGGCACAATGGATGTGGTGGACACCCAGACTTACCGCATATCAATTCGATCAGGAAAAACACCGCATCTATTCCCAGTAAAATACATATTCTCTGCGTCTTGGTGAGGCCCATTCTGCTGGCAGTGCGGGGTGGCTGCGCGCAAACGGGCGCGCAGCACTCGTGGACTGTCTCAGTCGATGTCGTACGATGCGATGAAATGCGTCGATGCGGACTGAAGTACGCTCGCGGAGGTTTCTGGACAGCCTCTGGCGGTAGACTATCGCGATAGCAATGTGTGGTGGATGGTACAGATGGAGGAGAGAGAGGAGGAGGCGATGATGAGAGAATTGAAGACGCGGATTTCTCCTCGTGGCAATCGTAATGGCCATGCGAGCCACGGCAACATGATGGCAGCGGCGCCGGCGCCGGAGGAGGAGGAGGAGAAGATGCGGCAATTGGCAGGTCATGTGATCGGCTCTCAGCTTCCGTCACTGTCATCGTCATCCTCGATGCTCGATGCTCAATACGTCAATTCCTCGTGACTTTTTGTTTCACCGAACCTTCACCCAGCTCTCACCACTCTGTGCCATTGCAATTGCTTGCGTCGCGAAATGTTGTCGACTATATGGCATTGCTCACTTATTCAAGACACGCTCCATGCTCACCCATCGTCACCGCAACCGCAGCCGGCTCCGGTGGGAACTTGGCCCAGCTTCCATAGCACAATTGTGACACATGTTGATGGCAACCTTGCCCCTCGAACACAAACATGCGGTCCCTTGCCGACCGAAGCAGGCTTGCTGCATCCACGTCTGTGCCATCCGCGACGCTCATCAGCGATCCTCCGCGCCGCGGCTCTTCTGGCTGCTCTCATGTTGTGCTCCGATGCATTTGTCAAGTGCATTCGCTCTACGCTTGGGGATCTATCTCCCAGTGTCACCTCGACCGAGAGGGTTTGCACAAAGTCTGCAGCGGATGCGCGTTATGCTAGTAAGTGGACAAATCCCTCCTCGTCAAGAGTTTGTCGTCCTTTGCCTGTCCCCTCCCTTATGGCATTCAGTGATATGAGCTTGCAACACGGATGGGTGCAATGGGTCAGTCAAAGACAGTGGCTGGAAAGTACAATGTCAAACGCTGCCTCAAAAGACTCATTGGCGAGTTCTTCGCCTCCTGCCTGTGGCCCATCCAACATCGTTTCAGATACGACAACAGCTTCACACCCGAAGCCTTCTGCAAGTTCACCTCATATTCACCAAGGATAATGCAACCCTTGGGAGCCGACGACGAGAATTAGTAGTCGCCAAACCCGCCTATATGGTTCTTGACTGGCGCCTGTTTGATACGGTAGGTTTCTGTTTGAAGTTTTAATTGCCAATGTGACCATTTTCTATTGAGTACATCGCCGACGCGGGTGCCTTCCCACGCGGCCAAAAGGAAATCTATTCTTCGGCCAAACCTGGTATTGATACAAACAAGAAAACTCGTCCAGCCCAGGGGTATCATTGTTCATGTGCATCATTGACCGTTCCATCCCTCGCAATGCTCCCAAGTCCACATTTCTCACCTTTCGCCGCTCACAGTCCTTCCCCCCCACCCCCCGCCAAACCCCTCAGGGGCCCTTCCTGACTCACCAGAATGCCGCTCCTCGATCAACAAACCGAGACGCGCCCACGAACTGAGGGCCTCTCCCAGCATTGCTCGCACTGTCGTCCGGCACCACCGTAGCCGCGGGGTCAATAATCTCTTGCGACTCCGGGATGGGAACCCTCGCACCACCCATGCCCAGGTAGTAGTGGTTGCCAGACTCGTCCACCATGATCTCGGCCACGGTGTTCAAGCGTATGCCAGGGATGGGCTGCTGCTGCGCCGAAGGCCCGCCTGTCGTGCTGCCTGACATTGTAGGCATACGGCTGGCCCCCATGATAGAACCATGGACGAGGCCTACGCCCGGAGCGACAACCGTTCTACCGCGAGGGCCCAGCAATTTCTCCCGCCGCTCGTTCTCCTCTTCTTGCAGGCGCTTTTGCGTCCCGTAGTTCCACATGCCGATGTAGTCGATTTTCGAGACCAGCTGGACGGCAGCGTCGAGCATGGAACGGATGACGGTGCGGTCGAGAAGGGTCTGGCCCGTGGTTTCGGCCGCAGTGAGTTCGCCAATCTCAAGAGACTCGTTCTCTGCGAGGACTTGGTTAATGGCACGATGGACAACCGACAGCTCGTAGTGGATTCGACCGGCGTCGGCAAGTTGCAGCTTATAATCTGCCTCTTCGCCGGGCTCGAGGATGGGTTCGTAGGCCAGCCACAGCTTCTTGTCATCGGCGTGCACCTTGAACTGCAGATTCTTGGCCTCGGTCACCTTGAGCGCAAGGTCTTTGCCATCGGGTCTGTTGCTCGGATGATGGCTGACTCTCTTGACGATGAGGTTGCGGATCTTGAATTCGCCATCGTGAGGCGGGCGGAAGTACAGCATGATCTTCTTCCGGTCGGGCAAGATGTAAAGTGACTCGACAAAGGTCTTGACACTGTGCGCGACCGTGTCCGACGGGTCAGACCACTTCAACGGCCCAGACAGAGCGGCCGAGAGGTCCCAGATCTGAGCGGGAACGTGGATGCTGATCGTGCCCACGTTGACCAGCCCCTTTCGTAACTCATAGCCCCCTCTCTCGTCGACGACGATCTGGAAGTTCTCGTTGGATCGGCTCTGGCACTGGAACTCGTAGCTGACAGATAGAGAGCTGGGCGTGGGATCCCACAGCTTGAGGTTGCCTCCTCTGCCAGCACCCTTTGTTTCGAGGGCGCGATCGATATCGGCGCCGTTGGACGTCAAAATCTTGGTGAAGCTGGAGAAAGTATGGCCAGATCTGCGCGGGTCGAAGTAGGACTTCCAATCCTCGACGCTGTGGAAAGTCTTGTCGAGCACCTGTTGTCCTGGCGTGACGAGGACTTGCCCGACTTGGATTTCAAAGTTGAGTTTCCCGGGCAGAAGCCTCCCTACCTCAAACACGGGTTGCAAAAGCCCGATAAGCTTGTAGGCCTCTTGGTCTCGAAGACTGTCTCCTACGATCTCGGGATGTGCTTGCGCCATGGGTGTCTTCTTCTTCATCTGCTTTTTCTTCCACTCGCTCATGTCTTCGACGCTTGAGGTGGTTGATCGTTGTGGACCGGCCGTCGGGGTCGGACCGTGAGCCTCCTCGATCGCTCGTCTTCTGCGCGCCGCCGCTTCTTCTTTGGTCTCCTTCTTCGAAGGTTTCTTCAAAGGCGTGCCAGGATTCCCGGCCTGCTGGCGCATGGTTGAATGTTTCTTGGGCGGTTCTTCTTCGTCGGCTTTCTTGTTCTTGCCTGCCATGGCTGCCATGGCTGCCATAGCTTCCCGTAGGGATTTTTCCCTCAACACCGCCTGGTCAACCTTGGGTATGAATGTGGTGACCCATTCTGAACCCTCGTCACTAAACTTCAAACGGGTGTTGCGGGATCGCCCGGAGCTCGGAGATTGTGAGGCGGTGCTGGATCGCACATGGGTTTGGGACGGCGGCTTAGTTGGTGACGGGTTTTCGCACACACTCTGTAACTGCACGGCCTCGAAATGGGTATCAGCAGCTTGTCTTGGAGCAATATCGGACTCAAACCCGGGTGGGATGGCAGGTGCCCGGGAGACGGTTTCCGGCACGAGCGGCACTATCGACTCGAAACCGGGAGGCACAACAGGAGCACGGCTCGCAGTAGCTGGTACTCGGAGGTCGATCAGATTGCTGTCAGATGCAGGCGGCATATCCACTACAGTATCACGACCGTTCACGGATCTTCCGCCAGGTGCAGCGATACAAGGGCCTGCATGTCCGCCCCCTCGATGACCACCTCGAGGAGAAGCTCGTGTAGGAGCTGGTTTGGGTCGTGGTTGATGAGCGTTGTTATTGTTTGGATTTCTGTCGCCTTGAATACTGCCGCGATGGTGACCATTAGCGCGCCTACGTTGACTTCCCCGGCCACGGTGATGCCGAGCTGGTTGTGGGGGTGATCGATATGCGTTAGGATCAAAGACAGGTCTTCGGTAAGGCAGAGACGGCGGATCTTCTGGGATCGTCGTTGGTATGTCTGTAGACCGAGAAGCGACCTCATGTGACTCTGCGAGGCTTTCCGCCTGCGTATCGATGTGAGCTTGGTCACCGACCAGTTCTACTGGTTGGGCACGAGGGCTGTGGGCCATCCGTTCTAGCATGCCTGAGTTTCCATCGTTGGCGATTGAGTTCGTTCGAGTGGTGGGAGACTGTCTTGCATTGGTAGCAGTGTCTTCCTCCAGGCTGGATGGCAGAGCCCCAAATGCAACTGTAGACGATCTATTCGCAAGCGTACTCCCTTCTTCCGAGACGTCGATGAGGGTGTCGTTGTTGTTCTTGACGTTGTTGGAAGAGGATAGAAAGGGTGCAGACTTGACGGCTTGTTGTACCGAGGCTTCTATCAGATCCTCTTCATCTGATAGTTGGACGAGAGGAGCTGATGTGGCTGGCGGGACGATTGAAGGAGCAGGTTTCCTAGCTCGCGGAGCTGGCTCATCGTCCTCGCTGTCAGAATGGAGTATGACTCTGCGGCGTGGAGGCGGTGCCTGCTCCACCGGTGCTTCAGGGGTAATCTCAGGATTCGCCGAAGGGACAATGTTGTGCGTCCACGCCGTAATTCTGTCATTATCGGCACCTTTCACCGTCCCTGTCTCGCTATTGTCCGCGGAGGCCGGATTAGACGTGACGATGGGGACCATATTTTTAGGATCTCCAAAACTTGCGTATTGTTGTGTTTCCCAGATCTTCGAAGCTTGGCACTCAACAGTATGTGTAACACCGCGGTACTCCAGGTTGGGAGGTACTTCCAGAAGCCTCGTCCTTGAATCCAGCACACGGAGCTCACCAAGCACTTTACTAAAGAGGGTTTGCTCCTGGCGGTTGACGACGACACGGTGGTAGGAGAAGTGATCAGGCACCATGTTGACGTACTCTAGTTTAGAGTCTTGGTGGTTGGGAGGCCAGACGAGAAGATTGCCAGTCGCACGGAGAGACCAATTGCTAGCCTGCGCTGCGAGAGTTTCCTAGAGCACAGTGTCAGCGACAATGTCGGCGAGAGGCATGGAAGCGTACCAGTAAAGGCTCAAGCCTCACAAGCTTCTCAAGAGCGAGCTGAAAATTGCCTTGATAGATTCGATAGCGCTTCTCGGCTTCTTCGGCGAAGAGTGATGATCCTGTCAATTGTGCAATTTCTCTGGCATACATCGGCGGAAGTATGCTGATATTTCCGCTTCGCGGCTTCCAGTGGCCGGTCAGATGTTGCATTGGCTGAGGAGCGTCGCCGTCGGACGATTCGTTGTCGGAATCGTATTGCAAGAGCGCTTGGTCCTCGGTAAGATCTTCTGGGATTATATCTTCTATGACGGTGCCCTGCAAGGGACGGATACGCGGCTCGTCGTCCAAGGCAGGCGGAATCGACAGCTGATACTCGATGTAGCCGGCCATACGTGTGAGGAAATTTTGCATGGTCTTGTTATCGTCCTGGTCGACTTCGGCACAGAAAGCCTGGGTATCCCAGTTAGCAAGATCCACAGAAGCCAACATTGCTGTCGATGTACGAAGGCACACACCTGTTTAGCAGCATCGAAGTAGAAGAAAGGTGCTGTGCTCGGATCATCATGGGCATCACTGCATCAAAAGGTCAGCACAGCGGACCGTTGTCGCCATGTCGCGGGCGGTCAGGCGGGGCGGGTAACACACATGTCGGCTTGGATGAGTTCGTCGGCCTGAATCATACGTTATTAGCTGAATGGGCTGATCCGGACTGAGAAGATACTCACGGCCACCTCACTGAACTCATACAAAGATGCCACCATGATTGTCTTCTTCGTTGCCATCTTGGCCGCCATTTCCGTGAAAGTGCACTGTCTCAAGGACAGTGCTCTTGCCTGCCTCACAATCCGTTGACAGGCCCTGGAAGAACCAGGAAGGGACAGAGAATTGAGTCTGCTCCAAGCAAAAAGCAAGACTTGGTGCGAAGCAGGATAGATCAAGAGCCCATCGCCTGAAGACGGTTAGGCAATGAAAGGTAGTGTGGGAGTGGGGTGTCTGTAAGAGGATCTTAGAGGTGGAGCAGGAGGTGAATTCGGAGGAAAGATTTTCCGCACGCTTCCGCGAGGGGTATCACAGCCTCGTCACTCACGTGACCGCTTGTCTCCACTATTTGGTCCGGTGATGGGTGTCTCGGAGTGAAGGATAGCCCTTCACACAGACGCATATAGAGCATATTTCAGGAGAGCATTCATCAAGCAGCTCCATCGGCCACCCTCTCAGGGTGGCTTTGAGCAGTTTGTCAATTGTCTCGGACAGTCCATTGTGGGTATTGTGATTTGCGGCAATAGCTCGTGGCAGATCAAGCAAGCACTATTGTCGCTATCACTCCGTTTCCACAAAGCCAGAGCGGGCGTTCGCATGTTCCAGGCATCTTCAATGCTGCCTTTTGGGTCGCTGGTGTTTTCACCCTTGAGAGGCAAGAGTACGTATTAGACATCCCGCTTTTTCGTCTATGTCTCGATCATAACTTCGTATAGTCATCACACTCCGGGCACAACTCAAGATCAGCGACATTGCTTTCACTTGGCCAATTTCGCCGAGTCCTTTCGTCTGTGCTTGGTAAGCTTGAGGGGACTACGGCTTCTCTTTCCATCCGCTTCGTTGGCCGTGTGTGGCCTCGATACAACGCCATTTCTTGGGTCTTCTGCCTGAGACGAAAGCGGAGCGGCGTGATGGCGATGGACAACATCTTCAATGTTCATGACCCACCGCATTCGCCCTGTTACTTCAGTCATTTCATCCAGCTTCTGGTCCACTGCCTGCTCGTTGCGATTGGCAGTTTGTCGGAGGTCGGATACGGCGCTGTCAATCTCACGCCGGTATGCCTTGAAATTCGTGGACAGCTTGCGGTTAAGATCCTCGAGTTGGGCAATGGTCTGCTGCTGCTGTTCGGCGATTATTTCCAACTTCTTCTGCTTCTCAAGGTCTTCTTCCTTTTGGCGTAGCAGCCTCCCGACTTCGCTTCTGACCTTGTCGAGCCCAGCCTGATGGCGATTATAGTCCACTTTCCGACAATCGACAATCGTGTCATATTCTACCTCCTTCTGAGTGGCGAGGGCCTTTGCCTGATGGGCCTGGTTTCTCCATACCTCCTCGTTGGAGATTGCCGCCGCTGCTTGGGCTTCCGCTTGAGCGGTCCTCAACTTCTCTTTCCTGAGTTCTTCCCGTAGCTCCTCGACTTGGCGTTCTCTTCTCGACAATTGCCGAAGTGTGGCCTCGTGAGATTGTTCGTAGTTACTCGTCCGGTCTTGCAGGGATTGGTTGCGTGTCTTTAAGGTCTCGGTCTGTTTTTCTGATTCCTCCAGGCGCGTCGTCAGAAGTTGCCTCTCCCGCCGAAGTCTGTCAATATCGCCCTGAAGTCTCTCAATCACTCTGCCTGATTTGCCCGTGCCAGCGTGTCCGATGGCAGATGACCAGGGTGCCGCGTCCGGGGGCGGCGACTCGGAGGAGGACTGAACTACAACCACGTCAGCAACCCCGGCGGCAGGCGTTGAAAGTGAACCATACCTGAGCGCATCATAGAGGCACTGGAGACTCGACCAGATGTAGGGCGCACCCCATCCAGATGACTTTGCTCCTTAAGCACTCCGTTGGATTCGGACATGATTGGAGTCGACGGGATGGGAGAGCTGTTGGAGAGACGTGATTTCTTCCTCATGGCACGCCCTGGTCGGTTTCAGCGTGGCTTCCAAGCAGACGCGCGAACGTGCCCAGTGAAGTTGTCTTGAGTTGTGAGTGAGACTGACAGCAGCGATTGCGGCTGCGCTCTGCGGCTGGGTTGGACGCTTTCGGACGGCACGGAAGGCGCTCTTGACTTCAAGGACACGGATACAAACGCGACAGACTCGCCGCGGGCAACAGATAACATAAAGCCGAAGAAAGATGCCAAACAAAATAACGTGCTGAGAACTCTCCTTACTCTCACGCTGAGGTGACGGCATATTATTTGTTTGAGATCGGCCTTTTGGGTCAGTGGAGAAGCAGCTTTGGGCAGGCAACGGTGCAGCGCTGGCCAGGACTGCGCGTGCCGATAGGGAAGCCCCGGTTCGTCTCACGCGTTAATGGGTTCGCCTGAGCGAATGGGAAGGGGCCGAGTAAGCCCCAGTAACGGCTGTCCCTGGGCCGGCTTCCGGGGGCTTGCTGAGTCCTAAACCGCTTCCAGAACAGGCCCTGGGAAGATCTCCACGCTAAGGCCAGGGGCGAGAGACACTGCCAGGAACAGTGACGCACAGGTCCAAATGTCAGATTAATTTCACGCAACCACCAACCACGCCCAAAAATGAGTATGGAGTAATTTGTCCGAGCTCTTCACTCGATCCTTCATCCTGGAAGCATCTCAAGCTAAAAGAGACTTCACAGGGTACAGGCCCGTTGAAGGTGAAAAGTGCGACTAGTTACGGTCGGTATTAATCCCATGTAAGGAACTTTTTCACAACTGTGACAACCCCAGGGAATCTGTGACGCCTTGCTCAATAACCAGAAACCTCCGACCAAAAAGCGCCGCTTTATCTTCCTCCTCAGTTCAAGAACATCACTGCCGCAAGGACTCCCATCACCAAAGCAGCGGAGCTTCCAAGCTGGGCTGCACCCGCCGAATCAGGAACACTGGTTGTAGCCGCAGCGGTTTCTGCTGCGGAGGTTGAGCTGGGCTGGTCGCCAAAGTTGAAAGAAGAAGAGGTAGCCGATGCAGAAGAAGTCATGTGTTCGGTGACGGCGGGAGCTAGGCTGGTGCTGGTGGTGCGCGAGAGTGTTGCAGAGCTACAAATGAATCACAAGTCAGTCTCGGTCAGGCCGGGGCAGCTTGATTGAGGCGGCACTTGCCTGAAGGTCACGTTGCTCGCAATCAGCGTGCTTGTCCCCGAGGATACGATTGTGGCAGGTGTCGTCAAGGGCGCGGTGGCGTTGGCCGCAGTTGCTGTTGTGCTCGTGTCCGTCGCAGAGATGGTGGATGTGCCGCTTCCACCAACAATCGAGAATTGTCCGCTGTAATTGATCGAACCCTGGCCTTGTGTAATCTGAAGTGCGTAGTCTCTGCAATGTCGCGCGTTAGTCAGTATCCAGACGATCCCGTCGGATGTGGCCAAGGACATACGAAGCTGTCGGCAGACTCTTGGAGACGTCCCAGACAAAGAAATCCTCGTCAACACCATCTGCCAGTGTCGCAACGGTCTTTAGATCGTTCGAGTTGCCTTCTCGAAGAGTTATCGTGACAGGGGATCCATCGCCACCGCCCCAAGTGATGTTATATGATTCTCCAGCATTTGCCACAGCCGGAACCGAAGTGAACGCAATCTTGGTTTGTGCTACCGCATATGTGAAGAGCGATGCCCCTAGGAGGAGGAATTTGGTGGATAACATGACGGCCCAATTTGGCAAAAAGCAAGTCGAGATAGAATTCAAAGACCAGCGCTTGAGCAGCCGAGCTGGCAGCGATCTAGAGAGAAGATGGGCTTCGCGTCGTGGAAGTCAGGACAACAGCGAAAAATGTTTGCACAAGGTAATAAACGAATGGACGGCGAAGTCACCTACGCCTCTGCTGGAGCTGCTGCTGCTATCGCCACGGGAAAGACAGGATTGAGAATCACCTGAACGACGAGAAAACGCAGCGGCAACAGGATGAAGCACGGTACCTCGTCCAGCCATTTCGACTCGTCGGCATGGGAAATTTTCCGTCCACGTCCCAAGCCTGGAGGGCAAAGTTGTTTGCCCCAATATCGCGAAATAGAGCCAGACTCGCTCCGGGCGGCTGACTTAGGCAGCCAATGGCCGCCCAGGACGACAGACACGCTTAACCAGTTTTGCCATGACCGCGTCTTGTTGGTCCCATGCAATTTCCATGATGCTCCCGATGCTCCACAACTTCCAGACCAGCAATCACCATTCACCCGGACCGAACAAACCCATGCAGCGAGCAAAAGAACAGTGGTATCGAGTAAGCATGTCGCCTATATCAGCAATGAGAGATCAAGTCCTTTCACGCTCACGACGCGCCTCGTTCGTATTGCCACAGAACTGGCTGTGACGGAGGACGAAATCTGTAGTGCTTTCCAGGTCAGTGAAACACAAGCATTCTGATCACATCTGTCAATGCGCACGTCCTGCCCCACACGGTTTCCCGTCCGTGACAGAGTCGAGCCATTGCACTGCACCGTACTGCGGAAAACGATTTCTGGCCGTTCGAGGTACAAGTGGTCGTGTTGAGACTGATATTGAGAGTCCGGAAAGCGCTGTGACCGGCACCTCCTCCCCTGCCGGAGTGCGAGCTTTCCACGTCAGAGCCTTCTGCAATAGCGGGACCACAGATCGCGGTGAAAGATCTCGAAGCAGACCTCTCGAGACACCTGTTGCCAACGTATGTGTCATGGAAATCTCTCCGCGCACTTGTCCTTGGGGAAATCCATTGGGATGAAACAATGTCACGTTGGCTGGGTTGAATTGGGCATACGTCCCAATGAGATTTGCAGCTGTTGGCCACTGAGAGACTTCATTGGGCGCATTACCCATGAAGAAATCAATACAGAAGCTTGTGTCCAGCGGAAAACGGTCGACCAGGACTGTGATAGACCATTGTTTATTGAGGTTGTTCACATTGAGATGTCGTGCGAGATCGAGCGAAATATTGTCGAAGGACTCCGCAATATCCGTAGATCTGCCTCTGACTTTCTCATAGGCACGTCGAATGGTGCTGTTGGTGGAGGGGCCGTAAAGTGAGTTGACTATTGCCCGAACATTCGCGGCTAACTGATCCGGGTTCAATTCCCAGTCGGTGAGCTCCGGATAGCTGTAGCCAAACGTTGCAGTACTGCGGACATCGTTGGACGTAAACATTGTGCCCCCGTCGTCGGAATGAAAGGGAGCAAGAGCTGCGACGTGTTAGCCGCTGTGTTTCGTGCAGTTTGCGTTACACTGACCAGTCGCTGCCGTATCGACAAATCCAACAGGCTCGTAGTACGATCCGTATGTATTAACGGTCGGCTCCATGTAGCTGTCCGGATACAGCGCTTGCCACATGGCAAACAAACGATCCACGTTGGCGTGATGCAGATAAAACACTGGATCAAAGCCTGCAACCTCTGGAAATTGCATGTGCCCATATCCTCCGATGCTGTTGTGGACGCTGTTGTGGATGGTTTCGATGTTGTTACCAGTTCCCATCTGACCGCCAGGCCAAGTACAGGACATTGCGGTATAGTCTGTCACGGTTGTAAACATCTGATACACCAGTGATTGAATCCTGGCAACGTGTATCAGCATAGCCCGCGCCTGAATCAGGTACGACGTACTCACGCAGGGGCATTGGCCAATAAAGCTGCAGTTGCTGCACTCTGGTTGCTCGACTTGGATGTCTGGTTCCACCAGCGAACAGTTCGCGAGAAGTTGGCCATCTAGATCTCCCAGGTCAGCAAAACGATCTAGTGTCAACAGAACGGCCTCAGGTATACCGGGTCGGAAAGAGGAAAGCCGTTTCCGACAGCATTGGATTGGAAGACGTATTGGTAGAGTGGGTTGTCCATCGTCTGCCACCCCCTAGGGGTGTTCACCGTGATTTGCGGCTCGGCGACGACATCTGGCAACATCGGATGAACTGCCCAGTCCCAATAGGGATGCCGCAAGTTGAGTGAAGCGTTCACATATTGTTCGCGTTGGTCGTCAGGATAAGTGACGGCAATATTTTGAGCGTGCTGCCAGATGAGTTGCTAGAATTGGCCAGTCAGATTTGCAGGGCATGATAAAAATGGAGTAGGCGGAAGTGAGTGGGAGTTGAGGCGAGAAAAAGGTCAAACCCGGTTGGCGGTGGTGAGAAATACCTCGTACAGTGCGATATAGGGTCTGTGCCAGGTGGGAAACGGAGTCGAGCCGTGCATGCAGAATCCAGGATAGCCACCACGGCCTGCGACTCCATCCCACGGGGTCCGGGGAAAGCCATGAATTCCTATCATACGTGAGCTCTATACCGAGCGAGGCGATATTGACCACAGACCTGCAATCTGAAAGTAAGAGAGCGGATCAGATTGGTCGAGAAGCTGGAATTCTCTCAGAGCGAGAATGTACAAGTCGAAAGCTGGCCCGGAATTCGCGAAGTCGTGTATCTCATATCTCAGGGGTCGTTCGCCATTAGAGCCGATGCCTCCCAAAGCACCCGTGATCCGAAAAGCAGTCAGAGAATCAACGAGAAGGAAGAGGAAGAAAAGAATGCATGGTGAGCGGCCGTTGCGCTCAAAGGTGAGAAGCATGGTCGAACGTCCCGGATCCGCAATCGAGACAGAGAGAAGCATCACACTTGGTGGGTGCGACTTCTTCATAAAAGCCGGAGCATTGAAATCGCAGCCACCATTTCAGTCAACTACGTCCTCAACTCAGCTCGAATTGTGTGCCGCAAGATGCGGATTGCCGTGCTCTGGGACCGCTCACCGTTGCGCTGGGCCCAGCGACTCGGGCAGGTGCATCCGTCGCCTCACATCGCGACAGTCGTGCAAAGCAGCTGTGCAGTATTCATTCCAGACGGCAGTATCCACCGCGGGCGACATATGCGACGGAGCGGTTCGAACGAGACCACGACCTCCTTGACCCTACTGCGGTCTACTTCTCGCACAACACTGGCCACTCGTCGCTTGTTGTCCCAGCACAAGGAGCACTTCTTACGGCTCCTACGGGTTTGAGGCGGCGGATACCAATATCAGCGGCCATTTCGAGTGTGACGAACGAGTCGCAAACCGGGCCCAACAATGTAGATGCGTGTTACGCGGGAAGCAAACAAGCAACACTGGAACGAAGGGGGGAGGAGGAAGAGGACAAAAAGCTGTTTTGAGTTGACCGCACACCCACCGCCGCTTGGCGCCTCACATCAGTTCAAACTGCTCGGAGGCTCACGTGCGACTCACTCCGGCCGTACAGACGTTCAGGCGCTATCAAAGAGTCCACACAGCAAAGACGCAGGAACTTGATTCCACAATCCCAGGTCAAAAAGCCAACAGACCAGACTATGTCAAGCCGCCTTGTTTGACAGCGCCATTAAGAGAATTTGCTGATGGCAAGCTCCCAGCACTCCTGCCATTGAGATTCTAGAGTGTCTGTCATGTAAAACTGGCCGGCGATGTCTCTGACTTCTTCCCAGTCTCGCCCGACCGCTCTTTGCGAAATCACTTGCTGGAGGAGCATCCACCGAGACTTGGGCACGAGACCAACGTTGAGAGGCATCGAAGCGAGAACCAGGCCTGTCCAGAGAGCGCAGTCCTCAGATGCGGCAGTAACAATCATGCCATCAAGTTCTAAAGTATATCTGGTCAGGACGTGGGGGTATTGTTCAGCCATTGATAGTGGAGCAATCCCAATAAGTAGGGCGAATATACCGAGAGACACCAGTCGGTCCATTTCCTTGGAAGCACTTTTGCGTAGCAACTTGTACCATGTCTTGGCCAGAGTCGCGCGCATTTCGCTTTGGTCTCGTGGGAATTCGCTTCCATTGGAAATTGGATGCGTACCGAGCCATCGCAATGTCGTTTCTAACGCACAAATGGTAGGGCATGCCAATGGATGCTGTTTGGCAATATGGAAAAAAGCCGGAGAGTACTGGCGTATTGATGAGAGTGCCTTCTCAGCAGGCACTTCGAACTCGGGAGCTTCAGATGATACTTCGGGCTCGTCCGCGGCAGTCGGTTTACTCGGGTCAACGTGCTTCGCATAACAGGACTCCGCCCACGAGTACATACTGTATGAGCGGTCGCGTAAGGTCCGTAACGACTCGGCGCCACCGCGCAACTGTACGATCTGCCGGATACCACGCAGGTTGACACCATAGCTACGCCAATCTCCCCGTTCCTGATCATTGATAAGAAGTGCAATGATCGACCAGAAGATCGCGTCGTTGTAAGCTGCCGACGGTTCTGATATGCTCCCCCGGAGCAGCGTGAGCGCTTTGTTATAGTGTGCCAGGGAATCGAAGATAACATCGCTCGATGGTTGCGCAGTGACATCCATCGATCGACTTGCGGCAGCGAATACAGCCTCCAAGAGGGCGGGCTCACAGAGCATCAACTGCACGAATTTGAACCGCCAGATCTTGTGCTCGGTCGAATCTGTAAACAAGCGCCAGATGTACACAGGACCGTAGTGGATTAGTGCTGATGCGGAGCGCGTCAGAGACCTGCAAAGCTCGATTGGGCAACTCACTGTAGTCGAAAAGGAGCGACATATGACTCCTTCGTTCGCCCGAATAGTTCTCGAGCAGATATTGCACGTAGCCTGGCGATCCTATGGCTAGATCTTTGCCCAGCCTGGCGCGTGCGGTTGGCAGCGGGTCGCCCAAGGTACCTAGATTCTTGGGCGCTCGGGACCGTGCTTGCTTCTTCCCATCTGGGCTGTCGAAGTCACAATAGGGATCAAATATCCAGGCTCGGGGGAGGTCGTATCCGCCACATGGTTTGTTTGACCTCTCGCAACGGAGGCAGCCCGGCTTGCCCTCATCGCATTTCACATGTCGGGCCTTGCAAGTGACACAGCCGGACCGAACTTTGTGATGGTAATTTTTGTGTCGACGCCCCATTAGAGCTCGTTGATCGCGTTCCAAATTCTAGCATCGGCTAGCGGAAACGTTCGCAATTTGAACAATGTACTCCGTGCTGTGGAGGAAACACTGGAGGGCGGCGCAATTCTCAAGCCAAGGGTTGTCCAGATGCAGGAAGACATACGTCAACATGATGCGGAGGCTCACTCCACGACAGCAAGGGCCTAGGGAGGCCTGAAGAGATAGCAGATCACGGTTGGAGCGACTAGTGTCCAAGATGGTTCTCGTGGGAGTCGAATAGGCAGCCCCCCACCACCCTAAAACCAGACCTGATTTGCTTGCTTGAATAGCGAGCTAGTCTCTTCCAACATCCATGTCTCGAAGCTACTTGAATTGAGCAAGCACTGGCCTTGTTCGAGGTGGCTGGTGACTGCATTGACTCACAGTTCGAACTGCTCGGTGGTGCTACCAACACAACCTCCCAATCCCAAAATCTCTAATACTGGAATCTTCTCTCTTCGACGCTTCCTCCGACATTGAAACGCGTCAGCGGCGCTCGAAATGTTGGCACCGTGTTATGAAAGGAGGCTGAAGAAGAAGAGGTTTCTATAGGCAAGAAGCCTCGAAAAAGCCTCTGGAAACGCGGCATATCGGAGACTCCCTGACAAGGGGGTGTCTAAGGATGGCATTTGGCAGGAACACGCAGCAACCATAGGGAAGCAAAGCGAGGGATCGAAATAAGGCCAGCAAGGTTGGAGGAACTAGGGACCAGGGACGTTGCAAAAGGTAAAACTGCTAATGACCTGTCATTCGAGCGAGCCAGTCATAGAGGCCCGACCCTGTCCCTTGGATTGGTCGACGTACCAGCTAGTCGTTATCCAGACCTGTGTTTTGGACCCAGTCAGTTATTTGCTCTTGCCCAGAAGTGCTGAAGAGTTGGAGGTTCGTGGCGAGATAGACAGCCCCACAAGCCATTCCGATATATAGAGCCCACACCACCGCGCCGAAAATCTGCTGCCCAAGGGGGATAGCCTTGATGCTGGCACCCTCATTGAGGATCGGAAAGGAGGCGTCTGGTACACCGACCTCGAGAAATCTGCAAAGTGTTTCCCAGCCCTGCTTCACGTTGTACTCCAGGAGTCGATCTTTCGGAACCAGATCATGCACCTGTTGGTTGTGCAGGCGGTACATGTGGGGGCCTACGGAACCCCAGTCCCTCTTGAGCCGTTTGTTGTCTTCCTGTGCCATGGCATTCATACGTCTCAAAAGCTTGACAGACGATATGAGAGACGAGTAGATTGTGTATCTCCAGCCCGGGATGTACATGATACCCACACTCTCTTTCCAAGACCGCCACCAGACCGCCTCCGAGTCTCGTAGTCAGTATGAACTTCGCCCCTGGATATGCTGCGACCAGTTCTTGGGTCAAGTCACAAAGAGGGCCGTCCAAGGTCGAACGATATCCCCGCATGGGCTTGCGTAGGCGCTCGATAGTTTCGGGACTTGGCTGCCGACTTTCTTGCGGATGCTGGTTCAAGTACTTCAGAAATGCAGTCATATTCTCGTTATGGTCGGGGCGGCGGAAAAGTTCCTTCTTTTGTTAGTAGTGTTCCTGCTATTGTGATCACAACTTACAACTCCATGATGGACCGGTCCAAAGTCCAGCATGTCCAGCGCAGCATGGATCGACGTCGTGCCTGTGCGCGAGAACCCTAGACAAATGACCTCGAGCTCAGCATTACTGTCAGGGTACCATTGGCTTGGGCCATGTTCGTCGGCTGAGATGCCAAAGGCCTTCCACAGCCTGCTCTCGGTTTCGGACGGCCTTGTTTGAGTTTTTGTTGGCATATCTGAGGAGGAGTCTGGTAGACGGGCCTGTAACACGGTTAATCCACACAACAATAATCGGCGTTGAATGAGATAGAGCCGGACAAGCGAGCCTTGTGTACCTTCGGTGGTAGCATCACTAGAGTCTGAAACCTTATAAAGATTACGCTGGCCTGCACAATCCTACCAGGTACGCCAGTCCTCAATTAGTCGCCAACTGGGCCAGGCATATCGTTTACTAGCGATGGCATTCGCTCAGACGCACAGGCTGCTAATGCGGTGGCAGGGGTGTCTCTGCACAATCTGCGTCTGTACGAGCGGCGCACTCAAGAGGAAAACGAAACATAGTTTCAACCATCAAGCAGCATCGATAAGGCCCAGTGCACAGAGGAGTCTCGGGCTTTTGCTGGCGGAGCCACAGTATGCAGTCACTCCAGTTGGTTGCCCAAAGTCCTTGAGGTCGCATGGCCCTTCTTGGTATCGTGCAGTAGAAGTTGTTGGACTCTGCCAGTTGATATCGCGGGTGCGTGGTGGTACAACCCATGTCGGCATTCGCATGTTGTTATGGAAGGAACAGAGCATCCAATACTTCGGTCTGGCAACTCGGAAATCCAAGGCATAGGCGAGCAATCGTCCACTTTTTGGCGCAAACAGGTAAAGTGGTACTCCGCTCGTACAGTAGCTCGAACTTCAACTTGCGGCGGAACAGGGCAAGTCGCCCGCTCCAATGTTCGCTAGGCGCAATGGGAGCGGGATATTCCGAATGATGTACTAATTGGATACAAGAGGTCAATCACCCTCGCTGAATCCCACGATCAGGTTGCAGTTGGTACCTCGTATTAATTAGAACTAATTATGTTCGTGCTCTGAACAGGCAGATGAGGGCCTGATAGCACTCTGCCAAGCTTTGTGCACGTGATGGATCACGTGACAAGAGCCAGCAATCCTGTGCGATTTCATCATCATGCAGCGACTCATTGCGCGAGGCGCGGAGTCCAGGCTGAGGAGATGCTCGCTGTCGGGTTGCGCGGAAAACGCTCAAGAAAATCACGCGTTTCGATTCACTGACACTTTCAGCAGCACTAGGTCAAGGACTTGACTTTATTACTTCTGTTCATCCCTTTCCTAGGCTTTTCCCTTACCGCTCGGCTTCACCTCTATACTAGAGGAAATCAAGACTCGCCCGGAGGAGAACCTTCAGTATCCACAGCTGCAGCCCCTCAACAGCTCGCCATGGTTCAGTACACTCCTCCGCCAGCGGACCTGTCCCACCTTAATCCGATCCAAAGATATATGCAGAAGGGAGAGCTTGAAGGTCGAGATTGGGCATTCCTCTTAATTTTCGTCCTGGCATACCTGGCAGCAAGGCCCGCCATTCAGCGGGGCATCAAGTGGTGGATGGCCGACGATGAACTAAAAGAAGGCGAGCGGGCGCAGGCTGAATTTCTACGATCAAAGGCAAAGGTCAGCCCGAATGCGATACGAGGAAATAAGTCACAGGAGGCCACCACGATACCAGAAGGCGCTGGCGATACAACAACTGGCAGTAGCTTGGCCCACACAGGCAACGTAACAAATCGCAAGGCTAAGGACAGGTCACAGGCGGAAATCTTGCTCGACTGGGACGATCAGCCAGAAAGGAAGCCTACAGAGGGTGACAAGGCAGACGTCGTTACATGGATGAACAGATGGTCAAATGAAGAATGAGCAAGGAGACTGAGCGTATCGACCGTTGCCCCCATACAGATATCTTGAGAACCTGCTCTCTCGACAGATACAACGCAGGTCCGCATGCTTGACCCGCGATGCCTCTGGTTGGACTCATCCACTTGAAGGAAAACCTGTGACAAGAATTGAAGGGACGCCGAACCTGGGTCAACGGCCTCCGAGCGATGTATGTTGATTGCGCAGTTCCGTGGAGAGGGGCCACGACGAGGATATGTGGTCTAGTCGGAGTCATCTCAGTACAAACTGAGAAGATGTGATCGCAGATTAAAGTACTGAACAACTAAAATTCGGCCAGATCCTGGCGCTGGAGTGCTCACTGTGACCACTCACCGTATTAGAATGCTGGTCAGTGACAAGGCTGAAGTTTTGCTTGGCAAGGCTACCGTTTCTACCATTCACAGTGACAAGGGTCAGAGGCTTGGTGTTGGAGAGGTCACGTATGCGGCATTGACCTCCAACAGTCGAGTAATTCTAGATTCGTGGTTCTGTGAGCATTCCTCCCACCGAACAGTTCCTGCTTCTCCAGCACTTTGCTTCCTCTTCCTCTTTGGCCGTCATGGCCGCTTCCACGCATCTAGATCCGTTATTCCGTGGAAGTGCCAGCAAAAATACCCGGGGTCTTCTTCGAGTTACCATTCTGTTGACCATCGCGGCCGCAGCAGTAGCAGCCCGTCTATTCAGTGTTATCCGTACGTCCAAACTCGCGGCTCAGGTTGGAGTCGTCTCTGTGGTCGGTAACTGACTCTGTCTTTCCAGGATTCGAAAGCATTATCCACGAATGTGAGATGTCCCCTTACCACTCCTCCGCGACCTGCGCATGCTGCAGTCCGCACATAGCGGAAGCCTACATAGCGGAAGCCCGCTCCTCCTCTGGCGCCGTTTCTAACAGGGTGCACCAGTCGATCCTTGGTTCAATTTCCGCGCCACGAAGTATCTGGTGAAAAATGGCTTCTACAGCTTCTGGGACTGGTTCGACGATCGTGGGTTGTCCGCAGCGGGTTGGCAAGGATGGAAAGACTGACGGAAAGCAGGAACATGGCATCCCCTCGGTCGAGTCACAGGAGGCACGCTGTATCCTGGCCTGATGGTGACCTCCGGCGTCATCTACCATGTCCTCCGCCTCCTATCTCTCCCCGTCGACATCCGCAACATTTGCGTTCTCCTCGCCCCTGCCTTCTCTGGCCTGACAGCGCTTGCAATGTACCTCCTAACGTCGGAAATGTCCTCTTCACCGTCTGCGGGTCTACTGGCTGCCGCCTTCATGGGTATCAGTCCAGGCTATATCTCAAGATCAGTGGCAGGCAGTTACGACAATGAAGCCATTGCTATTTTCTTGCTTGTCTTCACGTTTTTCCTATGGATTAAGGCTGTCAAGAATGGATCCATCATGTGGGGAGCTCTGGCTGCGTTGTTCTACGGCTATATGGTTTCGGCCTGGGGTGGCTACGTCTTCATCACGAATCTTATCCCCCTCCATGCGTTTGTCCTCATCCTAATGGGTCGATACAGCTCGAGGCTCTATATCAGCTACACGACATGGTACGCACTAGGAACGTTGGCAAGCATGCAAGTACCATTCGTCGGATTTCTGCCTGTGAGGAGTAGCGACCACATGGCAGCGCTTGGGGTATTTGGCCTGCTGCAACTTGTTGGGTTCTTCAACTTCCTCAGAGAGCAACTTCCCGGCAAGCAGTTTCAGACTTTGCTTGTTGCCTTGGGCGGAGCAATTGTCGGTCTCATGTTCCTGGCTCTCGTTGGACTTACGGTATCGGGGGTCATTGCTCCCTGGAGCGGCCGCTTCTACTCACTTTGGGACACCGGCTACGCAAAGATACACATTCCCATCATTGCGTCAGTGTCGGAACACCAGCCTACCGCTTGGCCTGCCTTCTTCTTCGACCTCAACATGCTTATTTGGTTGTTTCCAGCCGGCGTCTACATGTGCTTCCGCAACCTCAAGGATGAGCACGTCTTTGTCGTCATCTACGCCGTTCTTGCGAGCTACTTCGCGGGTGTCATGGTGCGCCTCATGCTCACACTGACACCAGTGGTGTGTTGTGCCGCAGCTCTGGCCCTCTCGCACATTTTAGACACTTACCTTTACATCCCAACACCTTCTGAGGAACCGGCCGATGGAAGCAACGGATCGGCCAAAGCCAGCAAGGTCGCGGCAAATCCATCTCTGCGCTCGATACGGAACCCACTGATCGGGATCTACTCCATTCTGTCGAAATCCGTCATCACGTCCATGATGACAGGCTTCCTCCTTTTGTTCGTGGCTCACTGCACATGGGTGACCTCAAACGCGTATTCGTCGCCTTCAGTCGTCCTGGCATCAAGGCTCCCGGATGGATCTCAGCACATCATCGACGACTACCGAGAGGCGTATTACTGGCTGAGACAGAACACGCCACAGGATGCAAAGATCATGTCTTGGTGGGATTACGGCTATCAGATTGGAGGGATGGCCGACCGCCCGACATTGGTCGATAACAACACGTGGAATAACACCCATATCGCCACTGTCGGCAAGGCCATGAGTTCCCGAGAAGAGGTCAGCTACCCCATCCTTCGGCAGCATGATGTCGACTATGTCCTAGTCGTATTCGGCGGTCTCCTTGGCTACAGTGGCGACGACATCAACAAATTCCTGTGGATGGTCAGGATTGCGGAGGGCATCTGGCCGGAAGAGGTCAAGGAGCGAGACTACTTCACCGCGCGTGGCGAGTATCGCGTCGATGAGGAGGCCACGCCCACCATGAAGAACTCGTTGATGTACGTGTACTTCCACCGTCCCCTGACATGCCGAGTGACTGATCTCTTCACAGGTACAAGATGTCCTACTACAACTACAACAACCTGTTCCCGGCTGGCCAGGCGCAAGATCGTGTTCGAGGCTCCACCCTCCCTGCCCAGGGTCCTGAATTGAGCACGCTGGAAGAGGCATTCACTAGTGAGAACTGGATCATCCGTATCTACAAGGTCAAGGATCTAGATAACGTCGGCCGTGATCATCAAAGTGCCATGGCTTTTGAAAAGGGCCACAAGAAGAAGCGGAAGCTTGGGGCTAGAAAAGGTGCCCGGGTGCTGCGGGTTGATTGATCCCGCCAGCACACAGCTCTGATGGCAGCGCAGGGCCGGGGACATGTGACGACAATGTGACGAGTAGACACAGAATCTGGGTGGAACAAAAGCGTCTTGCGCGATTGCAGGTTTGTATAAACAGAGAGTTCTTCGTGTCTGACGCCGCGCCACGTAAATAGCGCAAAGGCTCAATACCCATGGGCAGGAAACGAGGCCTCCTAGAAGGGCGTCACGAGCCATAAGGCACAGGAGTAGCTATAGTACTTCGCAGCCGTACAGTTCGATCCTGACAAGGCCAAATGCGAGGACATGTACGCCATACACCAAAAGTCTTTTTCACCCGTCCTTCACCTGTTCCTCTGCCAAGCTTTTTGCAACCACCTTTGATTCATTCACTTTTGATTCTGTCCGTTCTCAAGTGGCCATCACCTTCCTGCTAACCCTGTCATGCACCAGGCCATGGCTCCCGTGTTTGCTGCTTGCAGGAAATAGGTCGTGGTAGCAAACGACGAGCCTCAACGCCGGCGTTACACTCCAATTATTAGTGTCCGAGAAATCCTCAACAAGAGCAAAATCCCCTAGAAACGAGAACGTCCTTGCGCGTCCGCGTCCAGCTCCAGCACCATGGACGAGCATTCTGCAGAGTGGTCGGTCGTCGAATCGAAATCCTCCAGAAACAAAAGACGCAAGATCGAGCACAAGGCAGACGGTTATCCCAGTATCAATTTCCTCAAAGCAAGACCTGAACGTGTCGAGCTGAAAGCCCTGCAAGATCTCGTTCTCTACGTCTTAGCAGATGGAGTCGCGCCAACTTGGCTGGCTGTTAATAATGCCAGGCAGATCAAGAAGGCCGTGGTCTTGATGGTGCCCGGCCTCGACCGCGAGACACTACTGGATTCTGAACTATGGGCCAGCATTACTGAGAAGAATGAATACGAGAACTCCAATCTGGTAAAGCGGCCGACAGATCCCCCTGATGTTGCCCATCAAGATCACCAACACCGCGCGTCAGTCGGCTCTTCTCCCGTCGAGCTACATCCAGAGGCGAAAACCCGTGTCCAAAGCACGAAACCTTCATACCCGCGCGAGACTCTTCTTCAACATGTCCTACAGGTTCGAGCGCCGGGAGATTCGAGCATGAGCAGAGTTCACTCTCCCCTGCAAAACATGCTCATTGCCCCATTTTCAGGGTCATCGGGTCAGAAAGCGAAGAACGGCAAAGACGAGAAGTCCTTCCAAGCAGTTCGCACCCCAGTGGTGCACTTCGTTCACTCGGCCGATGAGCTACGCGACGCAGAGTACCCGATACACCCGGCAGCATTCACCGATCCGCAGACTGCGAAGTTGGAGCGAGAGAGAAGAGAGAAAACTGGCCAGTCTGCGTCTGAGGGTTGGGTCAACACCAACGTGGAAGTCCCAAACCCCCAAACTCTCCCGTCTCCCTCATCTCCTAAATTCCACGATCCCGTGACGCAAGGCTTGAAGCCTTATGCGTTAGACTGCGAGATGGTCCTTACCTCCGACGACAAGTATTCCCTGGCTCGCGTCTCTCTCGTGGACTGGTCCGGTAAGACCGTCTTAGACAAATACGTCAAACCATCCATAACCATCCAGAACTACTTTACGGAATTCTCTGGCGTCACGGAAGAGATCCTCAGGGATGTCACAACAACGCTGGAGGACGTTCAGAAGGAGCTACTCGGTATTCTTGGCCAGGACTCCATCTTACTTGGCCACAGTCTCGAATCGGATCTCAACGCGCTGAGACTCACCCATCCGTTCATCATCGACACTTCAATCATCTACCCACACCCTCGCGGCCTGCCGCTACGCTCATCCCTCAAATTCCTCGCAAACCGCTATCTCAAACGAGAGATACAGAAGGGTGGCGCTCATGGACACGATAGCGTAGAAGACGCTCTGGCGGTGTTGGATCTGGTCAAATTGAAGTGTGAGAAGGGACCAAAATGGGGCACATTGGATGCCAACGGAGAGAGCATCTTTCGCAGAATCGGAGGGACGCTGAAGATGGATGATGGCCGAGGAGACATCGTGCTGAAGACGTCAGCCATTGTAGAATACGGCACTCCGGAACGAGGACTCGGAAAAGACGCAACCTATCACATTGCTTGCGAGAATGATGACGAGATTGTCCGTGGCATCCTCAAGGCTGCCCACGGAGACACTGGCGGCGGCGACGGAGTGGACCAAGGTGTTAATCCGGAAGAGGAGGAACCGAACAGGAACACGGAACAGGGCAAAGGGCACCAACCGAAGGCCCAAACCATTCCACCGCGTGGCGTCGACTTTATCTGGTCCCGCCTCCGCGATCTTGAAGCCGTACGCAATTGGAACACTCTTCCCAGCGACAATTTCGGCACGACGCTCTCCACGTCGACGTCGATGGCTTCAGAGCCCCTAGCGAGCGACCAATCTCAGGCCGACCGACTCAGGACGGCAATGCGCCAGACTCTCCAGCGCATCCTGCAGATCTACACGTCTCTTCCGCCTCGCACGCTCCTGATCATCTACAGCGGCACCAATGACATGCGTCCTCTCCTCCGGCTACAGGGCCTACACGCTCAGTACAAGCGGGAGTTCAAGGTAAAGAAGTGGGACGAGTTGAGCGTGAAGTGGACCGACACTGAAGAACAGGAAATGAAGAAGGCGTGTGAGAAGGCGAGGCGGGGGGTTGGCGTTCTCGCCGTGACACGCTTGAACAGAGAGTGGAGACGAAAGGAATAATGCAGCCGGTGTTCTTTGTCGGGCTGTCCTGTCGACGGTCTCTTGCCGTTCCTGTTGGCGGCAACGGATATTGGGAGTGAAGGGGAAGATCGCGCCCGACAAAGTGACTTCGAAACCCGGATTTTGTCTTCAGGTCACGAACGATAAAACGCATCTTGTACCACCAGCGATTGTCTCCGCATGCTGCGTCTTGCTGGTTCCCTCCTTGGTCACTCGGTCTGCCGATACAGGTCCACAAAGTCTTTTCCCTTCAACACGCCTCTTCTCCGTGAGCAGCGCTATACCCTGACATTCAGCGATATGGGCAGTAGTAGCATGACAGGGATAGGAAAGCTGCAATCAGCTGGGCTCTCATTTCCTTTTCCGCGCCCAGTGAGAGAGCATCCTCGATGGGTGTGAGCAACCACAGAGTCCAGCATCCTCTTGTCGATGTACCGCAGCCTCGCTGCGGTTGGAATCACCGAATACTCGCACTAGCGACCTTTTGCCTGTATTCGCCACTTCCCCCCCATGGCTGGTCGTCCTGCATCGCTGGGCATGGTATGGTGCTCCTTCTTGCCTGCTGGAGAGGCAGAGGAAGGTGAGGAGCTGCGCCCGTTCTGCCTGCTACATACAGTAGGCGGAGGAAATTTGAGAAGAGGATGGTGCTACGTCCAGGAAGTGCCCTGGATCTTCCGCATAGCAGCGAGAATAGTAGGTCTTGGGCCAAGCGTACTCTCAAAGGCACGCTTGGAGCGTCATATCATGCTTGAGGACGATGCGTGCTCTATCCATGTTCGCCTGGACGTAAGCAAGCCACAGAACGATGGCGAAGGTTGTTTTCCCTAGAAATACAAAACCCAGCGAAGTGAGACGGAGCTCGACAGAGGATTTGAAATGGTGCTCTAGAGTCTTGCGGCAATTCAGCAGCGAAGGCGGTGAATCCCTCTCCATGTCCCCTGGCCGTAGCCTCCACTGCTCTGTGCTCTGTGTATTTGGCCATTTGTTCGCTCGCTAGGAGGATTTCTGTAGGTTTTGATGACACGAGTATGGACATGAGGACCGGTACACGTGGCACGCTGCGCAGTGATTGACGAGGTGGTTGGTCCGGTAAAGGCGTACTTTGTCAGCCGTCATGATGCACCACCCATTCCCATAGTCCATGTCTGCTGCCATTCGAGCTCGAACCCTTCCAAACTCGACGGTCCTCGATATACCTCGTGAGTGGCCTCATATGGTGGGAAGACTTGTCCTTTCCGATAGGGGTGTTCATTTCAAAAGCACTGGGGTAATTACGAAGTGCTGTGCTGGAGTAGCGCATGAAGACGTTTAGATCCGAACGGCCGGCCTGCCCTTGGAGGTACGGTATCAACGTATGGTGGTAGGTGGACATTCCAGGAGCGGGCGAACCTAGACAAGGTGTCTATCATCTGTGTGAATGCCGTGGCTGGGAACTGCACACTGTAAAGACCGTACCATGGTCAATGGCGGGGGGTTTGACAGTCGACAATCGACATCTGACATTTGACGTTTGAATTTGCCATCTTGGGGTGTCAATAACTTTTGTCGAGCTCATCAGTTGAGTTGGGATTCTGAATCAACGCCAACCCGTGCCTGGCCACATATCTGAGCTCTGCCCTGTAAAGATGATGGTCGCAAATGACGATACGTGCATACACATAGATGAGAGGTGAAGCCGAGACGCAGCACGGTCAGTCGGACACCGAGACACGATTCCGCCGTGCAGAGACCTGCTGTACAGGGACTCTGTATATGTCGGGAAAATCCAGAATTCCTTGCTGTGATGAGATCCGTCTCTTGCATCAAAAACGGCGGGCCCAGCAATGGCATTGTCTTGTACGTCGAGCTTCACGCCAGGCGAGTCGGTCCTGGTTCACACTGGCTGCACAACTTCTCGAACCCCATAGCAAGATTACCTCTTCCACCACCGGGGAGGCGATGTCCCAGTGCTGATCGCGTGGTGTATGATTCCGGCAATGGCCTGCAGTCTGGTCAAAGGGTACACAAGCCCGCTGGTAGACGAATGTGAACCTGTATACCAGCCCCGGGTCGACTACTTGGAACATCATTCCCAGTAGGAATTGTCTGCGAGGGCTTGGCATATTTATGTCAAGCCGCATTCGTCGCAGTGAATATATGTAGCAAAGGAGCTCCAAGGCCATTTGTAGCTTGCCATTGCTCATGCCGAAATTTGTTGTCTGATGCAAATTCGGCAAAATTAGTGCCGGGCACGTCCTTTCGATTGTCACATCGTAGAGCCTAAGATATTGTTGTTCGCTGTTCTGAGATTTCGGGGACAGCATAGCCGCTCTGATTTGGAGAAGTCCTAAGCCACCTGTGCGAATAGGTCTTGAAAAAGACCTTGACGGCATTGAGACTTACTGCCAGCCCAGGAGACATTAGAGAGGATGTAGCGGAGTAGTCGGGTTTGGTGCCATTTCTGGTTGTTGTAGTCCAAAGTAAATTGGGTCATTGTGAAAGGAGGCCAACCATTTGCCTTTTATTGTGGCTGGTCTTCTTTGGTGCTGTGAAGTTCGCCCTTGGCCCTTTCCATCAGTGGAATCCTGATGGCGTAAAAGCATTATTTGGGGCGATTGTTCATCTGCTGTCATGGGGACCTGCTTCCTGGATTGTGCCTCTTTCATCACGTTGCCGAATGCTGAGAAACGCACATGCAACCATTAATAATGCGTTGAAGACAGCCATGATGTAGAATGGAGCTCCCAGTGACACTTTGTCGAATAACAGGCCGCCGAGTTTAGTAAGAATCAGAATCGCAGCTCCCCCATAGAGTGAATAAACGCCGGCGACAGAACCCTTCAAGTCCGATAGTGGTTTTTCGCCTGTCGATCGCGGCGCAGCTGAAAGAAGAGGTTCTGCTTCAACCGAATGCCTGTCGCTTCGCTGCCCTTCACGATCAAGACCAGCAGACGAGGTTCTAGGGCTCGCCAGAAGGACACCCTTACTGAGTGTACCTAGGCTGCACACAATGGCGCCGATTTGGCTGATGCCGATGAGAGAGGCAGCCAGGAAAGCGGCGACGCGCTTCGACGTGTTTCTGTCATCTGGGTCAAATTCATTCGCAAACAAGGGATAGCCAATGACGCCGGCAATGGAAGCCACTAGGAGTGGGATCTCTCTCTTGGATGCCTTTGCAGCCCAGTAACCAAAGATTGGTGCGAACACTAGCGCTACCGTTTCCGTGACGCCAGTCAATTCTGCAGCGACAATATATGCTCGCGGACACTTCCTTTTGATATCTGGAAGCCCTGTGGGGTCGCCATTGGCGTCTTGAGCGTCGCATAGACCTGATGAGAGGAACATTGCGTTGACGAGAAGGGGTATGAATAGTGAGATGCCGACCGAGGAAGCGCGGGCGACGAAACCTCCGATGTATCCGATGGCAATCTCGGACTGCTTGAAGCCGGCAAGGATGGCAGTCCGAAAGCTGCGAAGCATCTGCTCAAGAGGACCCAATCGGCCTAGGATACGAGCTTCGTCCGGAGAAGCAGAAGCATTTGAGAAGCCCTTCCGTGGTTCTCCTTCTAGATGCCGCAGACCGAAGAAACACCAGACAGCAAGCACGAACGCTACAGCAGCCACAATGTAAAAGCTGTCTCTTAGAGCTGCCTTTTCTCCAACTCCTGCATACTGGAACTTCGCTGGAATGGGCAGAAATACGGTCAATGCGATCAAAGCACCGCAGCCTGTGAACATGCCAACGAACCCGGCAACTTGACTCGTAGATCTGGTGATATCAGGATCTCCCGCGGGCAAAGTTCGATCAGCCTTATGTCGTGAGTAGCGGGACACGAATATCTCAGGGGTAATGGTCACCTCTGACTCTATTGAAGGGCTCGAAACATGACCATTCGCAACCAAATCCTGCGCAGCCCTCGTCTGGTGATGGTGGTCGACGGTGGTGTCCCTGGGCGGAGATGTGACAGCAGGGAGAGTAGCTGTGACCATGGTAGAGGCGGCGGCACCACCTAGGCTAAAGAACAACCTCGCCAAAAGAAGCTGAGGATATACATTCTTTGCTTGAACGAACAGGACCAATGCCAGGCAGATGATCAGATAACCCGATACGCAGACCTGACGGTAGTTAGATCATTGCTGACTGGGCGCTCTCGATAGGTTGCTCACAAAACGTAGTCCCATACGGTCCGATAGCAAACCCCAGAACGGGCATGCTACAAGTGCAAGCAGCTCATCGGCAAAGCCCAAGCTTCCAACTGCGTCGCCGACACCATCTTTCTTGCCAATAAGATCTGTGATGACGAAAGACACGGAGGAGTTCAGAAAGACGAGAAACGCGATTGAGAATGGACAGACGCCGAAAAGGTACGTGGCGACCTGTAGCTTGGTTGCTGTAAACATGACTGATGAGTAACGGAACACCGCCAACAACGAGTTGTGATAAGTGACTCGAAAAGAGAGGGAGCCAATCCCTAGATTCGCGACATAACAGCGTCCCCAAGGTGTAGATATAGCAGCCTCAGCAGCTTCAAGGGTAGAGGTCGCTGTCATCAAAGATGACTTCGCGACATTGAGCGGAACTCACGGTACCACGCTAACTGTAAATGGACGCGGCACACAGTCACTCGCGGCTAGGCGAATTTGGTCAATTTGGCGGATTTGCTGCCTTTAACACGTTGCCAAACGGTCCAAACATTCGCGACGCTGCCATCAACGCAGGTCCCAGCGATTTCACTTTGATATCTCCTCTGTCCAGCTCGCAGAGGGCCGTTTGCGCCCTCCGGGCTTCGCAGCCTAGAGCTGCTCACTTATGCAGCCATGTCAGATCCTACCTTTTCGGACGACAGTCAGCTCATTGCAGGGTTGATACAGGTCGCGACCGCACTGGAGGACGAACAGAGCAGAGATCTCTCCGCGCTCGGGAAGCGCAAACGAGACGAGAGCTTCATTGAGCAAGGCCATGCGTCGCACGGAGACGGTTTCGATGCCGCTCCCCAACCCAGCCATCCTCAACTTCAGAATTCGGCTGCGGTTTTATTTCGCGAACCTTCGTCGAAGAGCAAGAAACACACGAGGCCTCCCCTCGGGAGAGTCTTCTCGTCGTTGGAGCTTGCTCCCGAGAACTTTCTAAGACTGCAGACTGCTGCCAAGGCCTTCATGTTGGACGAGGCGCACCCTGAGAGAAGAGATGTAGTTGGGCACAAGAAGAGTTCAGGTGGCGCTGACTTGGCCAAGCTGAACCTGTGGAATTGTGTTGATGAGTTTCTCTCCGTACACGGCTATGGTGAGAAGTACTTTGCACCGGGAGCAGGCAGTAACATCCCAAACGCACCTCAAAGAACATTGTTTTGGCCTCAGGACAGCCAGTTTATCATCAAGCTAATGATGCCTCTAATGAGAAAGATGGTGACCAATGAGCGCCAACGCATCTATGCTGCAGCATCGAGGAAGCAAGGCTCTGCCAAAGTGACCAGCGAAGGGCAGTCACCTTCGGTGATGGAAGAGTCTATCACCTCTGACCATCACAATGTTCTTGAAACAAGCTACGCAGAGCAAGGGACCGAGGATCAACCTCTGATGCCAGCACAACACCAGGAGACGGAAACTTCACATGCCGTGCCAGCGCAACCAGAGGTCGCGACTTCGGCTCCACCGGTCTCGCCACCACCAACAACAACATTCAAGCCATCGGTCGTTCTTTATGTAAATGTGGTGTCAAACGCTGCCGGTACACCGAGACGCCTCACACCCCGGTTTAGTTTGACGCCCGAGGCCGCCCCCAACCTCGCAGCATTGCTGTCCGAGGTGGACAAGAGATACCCTTTGCCGTCACGGAATGGATCAACGTCTGGGGTTGAAAATCGTCCCACCGTCAAGGTGTGGCTGCCAGACGGCCTAGTGACTGTAGGCGATGACGGCGAATGGATGGTTGCTCTCCTTTCTGCGGGGTTCGTGGACTGGATGGACGCTGAGGTTCGAGTGCTCGTCGAGATTTAAACGAGTGGCTGCCCTGGGGTCGGCAGGCTCTGTCCGGCGAAGATTTGCTGTGAGAACAGGCTGTTGGGGCAGAATGTTCTTTCGGGCTTTGAGGAAGCGCCACATGAATCCCGAAAGACGGGGACAGCGCCTTGTTATCAAGTGGTGTAAGACTAATGCAAGCCTCCAAGGGCACACGATAGCTTCCAGGACGAGCGGTTGTAACAGCCACCAGCTCCATAAGAGGGAAAGTGCAAAACGGCAATCGCTAGAGCCATATATTTTAGGAGCTGATCGTCACCTCTTCACCGTCTCTTAACAGGTTTCAAAAAGCGGCACATGCAGGAGGGCTTGACAGAAACGCTCTGGCAGGACGCGGCCTGTGCTCTGCGCTCCGGGAGACACGAAGGAGATCCTACCGCAAGACCTGACTCGCCCGGATATTTCACTTCCAATGAGACCACGAGCTACGATCTGAGACGTATCTGCTCTATCAGAGTACGAGTAGAGAGGCCGGGAGACCTTAGAGCCCATTCGTCGGCTAATGAATATGATGACCTACCTTTCAGCCAGCCTTTTGCGCTGGTGATACGCGGTCTCGGAGTCTGAAGCCAACCAGCTCTACGGGTTACAAGCTTACGTATTGGTTATTTGACAGATAACATGTCGGCTCCGGCGTGGCAACAATCCTTCAGAGCAGTTTGACAGGCTTTTCACCATCTTTACTGGTGCGCATCCCGTGCTCCGAGTACACAGTACTCCGTGCAGTACACCTATTTCCCCTTTCCCCCATAGTCCGGGCCGTTTGAAAAAATTCCGATGCTCCGTGCAGGCAGACCCTCTGACAAGGTCGAAGTCGCCGCGCTGACGACTGGGGAAATTGTACCTCATGAGGAGGCTCAGGGCTATCGTGGAGTCCACTAGCTCCATGCAAGCCGCACAACAGCATCCTGGTAGAACAGGGGTCCCATTCGGTAGCATCGGAGAGAGCACGAACTGGTGGCAGGGCGAAAACGACCACTGGTCCCTGGGAGTCCACAGACTACATAGAGGCCCGGTGTCAATGGTCGGACGGTGATATTCAAGATGTTTCCACGGTGCATTGCCGTCTCAGCTGAACGGAGAATCTCACGCATGTTTTGTATTGCTATAAATGGGACTAATATCTTCGTGCAATTGCCGGTGAGTCCGGTGCTGAACCTCCAGTGCGATCGGCGTCGTAGGCGAGAGATACGCGTGGTATCGCCCGGGTCTCGGAAGGCCCTGAACCCGCACGAGGCGGCAAGCGAGAAGAAGGAGGTGAAGGAAAGAACGTATATGGGACACAGGACGGAGCTAACGTATGTAGGAGTGTTTGTCTCGCAGGTGGTGATTGAACCGTTGAAGCCAGGTGAGGGGGCAGTGAGTAGACGCTCAAACAGGAAGTGATGGGTTGATCAGTTTGACCAAAAGAGAGCACTGAATCATGGTCAGCGCTCCTGTTGAGTGTGCTTGGGGCGTCGTATAAGGCTGTTGCTTTCCGCTTAGCGCTCACCTGCCGCTGCTCAAGGCCTCTTTGGGCATGCGCTGCACACCGAAAGCCTGAGATAAGCCGAAAAGGTCCAGAGGCTGGCTGCGATCGAGCTTGGCTGCAGGGACAGCGACATGGGAGCCGAGACTGCCAACAAAGCCGCCTGCTCCTAGACCCCCCTTGCGGATGGCATTGTACTGTGTACACAGTACGCTACTGGGCAGCTTGATAGCCAAATTTGATGGCGCGTCTCCGGCCGCTGCACTCGAGAGGGATGTAAAGAGACTGTGAGTTTGGCCTTTGGCAGCTTCTTGTTGGTCGGACTTTTTGGCGAGAGGCGGTCCGCTAACACCAATCTGGCTGCAGCTGGTCAGCCAACGCTCGACGCTCTTAACTAAAACCGCGGTCGGATCTACAATGGACGGACTTGGGCTCGGGACGATCGCAGACACCGATCCAAGGTGGAGGCGCCTTCACGTCAGTGCAGCCACGGCTAAGCTGCCTGGAGCCTAGCCCACGGCTGAGCTCCGACAGGCACCTGCGCTCAATTGGCTGGGGAAGTCGACCACCATCATCGTCATCTCCAGGGAAGCTTAAACGCAGCTCCTTTACCTGGAGCATCCATGAGCTGCTCATCTCTGCGTGCAGTACCCAGTAACCAGGCCCAGCCCAGGCGCATGTGTCCCAAGTGGCATGATGATTATTTGACCTTGTGCATGCTTTTCTCTTCTCTTCCTCCCACCCAGCAGGTTGCGCATGGGCGTGGTGTGTGTGACCAGCCGTTAGATCGTCGGCAATCAGACTTTGGCTCGACCAACGGTGCCGCTGTCCGATTGCTCTTGCCGCTCCCCGCCGCCGCTCGTTGCCTCAACTGTCAGTTGCACGGATCTTCGCTGTGTCAAGCCTCTTTCGCAATCGCATTTCTCTCGTTATTCTGCATCCTTGACTTTGGGTCCGCTGCAGGCCGACACTGCTGCGCTGGCCTTTTTACGTGTTGTTTTAAGCATACGGCACGATTCTACTCCCCGAGCGTCTCTTCTCCACCGCTGTACATACTACGCGCCCCATCCCTTCGCCCTAGGCCGGGATGCAACATATATACCTTTGCACGACGACGCTATAGACCTAATTCCAACCCCTTCGAACTCTACCGCCAAGCTACGATGAGACGCTTGCAGGGCCGCGTGACGCGGGACGACATCCGTTCAGCTGGGCTGAGGCGATGGGACGGCCGTGGAAGAGTTACCACCGACTGGATCAATATTTTTCACGTATGTGCTTCTCTGAACTGTACCTCAACATCCAGGCTGTGTCCAAACTCATGTCATGCGCTTCTAGGAGCCTGAGCTTTGCTGGCCCACGGGCGATTGCCTCGTCTACCTGCGCGAACCGGGCCAGTCGAGTCGAGGCCCTGCCTTCCGCGTTCACACCGACTTCCTCAGAGTCAGGGGCTTTGAGTCACTTGTCGACCGCTGCATAGTGCGAAACTCGATTCACGCCACCGTGCAGTGTGCTTTGCCGAATTGTGCAGGGTGCGATCCCCACGAAGCAATCCAGGAACTATACATTCCTGCGCCACATGGGGTTTCTCTCGAGGACGTCTTCCATCACCACATCACCACACGTAACTTCTTTGCTTGGCTCTATAATCGACCACTGGCCGGTCGGACACTGGGGACCGCGCTGGCGTCCTTGAAGGCCAGACTGGATGAGTATCGACCCGACGACGGCTCCCAAAATACCCTCGAGGTGTTATCCTATGCGGAGCATCAGAGGTACTTGGACTTCAGAGAGTGTGTTGATCATGCTCTTGCGGCTCTTTATCTTGCGGAGAAACTCCAGGTGGAGGATCTCTGGGTTGATGCCTTCGCACACTGTGTGGGCATGAGTCATCGTGGCCTTCGATCAAGTATTGAGTATGCTGTGAGTGCTCCAGACTTGCGACCACTGGAGTAGGGAACAGACTAACGGCGGTTAGGTCCTGGGTGCAAAGGCCAAAACACTCGTCAATCGAGCGAGACTTGAGATGGACGTTCGACTCAACAACGTGAACAAGTCGGTCGTTTCCTTCTTCGAGAATGAGGTCTCGTGCAGCTTTCTCGGCCTCCCCCAACCAGCCCGAGAGCACCTTGACAAATTCCGCACCTTCCTCAAATCGGTTTACTCGGAACAGTACGGCTCCTGGCCTCCTGACAACTTCGAGGAGGAGGTCGTCCAACAGGAAATCTACTCAACATTATTTTCCGATTTTCTGAACCTATATCAGCACCTGGTTGACACCGAGTCGTCAGCAGATATGGTGGAAAATGACATCAGCAAGACCGGTGGTGTCTGTACGCTGCAGAACATCCAGGCCTTTGACAAGGAACACTCCTATACGCCTCTTGCCCAGCCCCTGCCCAAGTTACCGGAGCCCTTAGAACCTAGCTCTATGCGGCCCAAACTTCAGCGAAGGTTGTCCTGGAACCCCAAACAGAGGCGTAAGGCTCTCAGGAAGACACAACGAGCACATGACAAAAGTGCCCTGATCGCTGCTTCTAACCGGGATGTTCTGCTAATGGATTGCCCCTTGGTCAGAAAGTATTCAGACTTCGAGGAGTTGGCAGTCGACGATGATCTGAGCTGCCTCTCTGCAATTGAAGGTCGCAAGGTCAGGTGGATCCTGATCTATGCAGTCCTTCAGACGTTCCACTCGATCGCGCAACCGCCCAAAGAAGTCCGTAACATCTCGAATCTCACATATTCTCTGTGCTGTCGACCGCCAGCCCAAAAGCCGTGGCAAGAACAGCAACTGCCAGAAGTTCGTACTCTGGATAAAAGGGACTCGCAACTGGTTCCTGACAACAGCTACTCTCACACCAACCTCTCCTCTCCTTCACTTGGTGAGAGCTTGACACGAGGCAGGTCAGCCAAGGCCCGTAGGCGGACGCTACCGGCGAACTTATCAGCCTCCTTCCTAGCATCCTTGCCCTCTAAGACGCCCCCAGGCTCGCGGTCAACTTCGCTCCGAAGACTGGTGTCTAGACGAAGTAAGCTGGGCGTGGATGAGGTGGCGCCGAAACGGCCTTCGTTCTGCGAGATCTTTGTAGAAGGATATGGGAACGGTTTAAATGAGATTGCTCGTGACGGTGCGAACAACACACCTGCAGAGCTTACTGCAGAGCCAGAAGCAATGGAGAATGCGATCAAGGAAGACCCCAAAGAGCCGCAAGAGCTTCAGGGCGATATTGTCCACGAAATGGACGCGAACGACACTAACAACCACCCCCCGCCTCCATCATCTGACGATTCACCGACTTCACCACCCTCGATGTCTCGAGAGTCCTCCAACAGCTCCATCAGCGAGACCTCGTCCAGTACCAGGGAAGAAGGCGATATTGACCCCGTCACACCGGTGGGCAACGCTGTGTTGTCTCTAGTCGAGATTCTGAAATCCACCGGCTTGTCCCCAGCACCCAGCAGTCCCCGAGCGCACACAGCAGGTCCGGTGGCCAAGTCAAGGCCCGCATCGTTGATTGTGGAAAGCACACGCCCCGAAATCAATATTGTCGACATGGATCGGTATGACCCGGAATTGGAATCGCCATATGTCCATTTCAACACCCAGACCTGGGACATGATATTGGAGCCTAGGCCCATGACGGCGCCATCTCCTCGTCCCATCGCTGCTTGAGTCGGAGCCATGGCACGATCCCAGCGTACATATCAGAAGGCCATTCATTCATGGAAATCCTAGGCCATCACTGACACGACCCACTAAAAGCCAGGAAAAGGATGATTAACGACTCACTCATCGCGGCGGAATTAATGATACGAATCTCATTCAATGATGGCAGAGGCTTGCTACAATGGAGGAATATAATTATTAGTGTTGGTGATCAGCGATGCGTGCTTCGGATACCCTTGGTCGATGTTTGTAGTTCGGTTCGCGTTGGAAATTCTCGAAAGTTGGTTCTGGGTATCCGAATGGGCTATACATAGCAATGATGTCTTGGTCACATACGTCCTTCTTGATAGTTAAGCCAGCCAGTAATCTGATGGGTGCTCGTTGAGGCCTTGCACTGCGAGCTGGCCACCGGGTGATGGATGCACCAAATTCATCCACTTCATTGACGTCATTAAATGGACGCGACTCGGCCAGTTACTGCGCGTCCATTGATGCCTCTTTCACTATGTACGTCTCGCAGGACGAGGTGGAGCGACTCTCTCTAGCGCGGAACGCGGCTCTGTGATGGACCTCGAAGCCCAACGTCTTAGGAATTTGCAGCAGAAGCAGAAGCTGCTCGCCGAGCTGAATCTAAACAACGGCGCCACTGGGAGTGATGAGCAGGCAGATTCCACGGAGGTCAAGCCAAGGGCGAAGAGGCGACGACTCGATAATTCAATCATCGTGCAGCATGTCTCCTCGAGGACCTCCGCGAGAATTGCTGCCAATGGAGCGCGTCCATCCTACAAGGAAGAAAAGCATTCCAGTAATACGTATCCTCGAACCAGGACCAAGAAGCAGAACGATCGAGAGCCGCGGCGTCCCTCACCGGTACGGTCTCAATATTCGAATCCCAAGGCTATATCGCCATTGCTTCCCACGGACTCGGCGTCCTTGATCCGATACTACACTTCCTGGACCTCTTCTGCCGCCCCTCCTACGCTTGATCCGCGCACCAACACATACCACTTCGTATCACTCCCGAGTTTCACGCCAAATAAATCGCCCCTCTCGATTCTGCTGCAAGGTGCTTTCGGAGGCGCGTATTTCTCACCCTGGCGTAGCCGAACATTGTCGGTGACCCTGGAAGATGACTATCTCGCGACCCTGCCCCCCGAATGGCTCGCCCAGCTCCAACCGCCTGAGAAGTACATAACGTCGCACACGTACAATGCGGAACTTAACAGACACGGCGTCCAGTGCGGCCAGACGCTGTCACAGTGGGAGGACGCCGGCTGGATCAATTTCCAGCACGACGCCCGAGGTTGGTTTGAGTGGTATATCCGCTTTTGGCTCGGCCGGCGTTTGGACGATGGAGAGGACGAAAGGCAGGTGGGACGGTGGCTGAGATGTGTGGGCCCGAAAGGGAGGTGGAAGAGGGTGTTGTTGAAGAAGTACGTGGGGATGGGGATCAGAAGTGTCTTTGACGACGAAGGCGACGATGACGCAGAAGACGAGCGAAGAGTCAGCCCTGTCATACATCAAACTTGCTTGCACTGGGGTTACCAAGTCACGCAGGAGGATCTGAATAAGGCGTGGCAGGAGCGAGAAGGGGCTTAGCGTCCCCCCTTTCGCACAGAAGCTGTTTCTGTTGGTATGCTGAAGGCGTGGAGGACGCTGACGGCTGGGAGGAGACCGACATATTACCAAGGAAGAACACCGCCTGACTGTTTACATCAGCCGTGTACGGGAAGAGCGGCAGGGCACCAGGGGAGTATGGTACGACTGCTAACGGATAATAGTGAGAGCATTCTCCTATCTAGGTAATTCAGGTCCATATACGAACAGCACGATTTGCTTCGCAAGATCCGTTACCGGAACATCTGATTCCACGCGTCCCAGTGGTTCTTAGCAGCAGGCTGTCGTACCAGTCCCCACCTTTGGAGTTCTTTTATTTCATCGCCGAAGGACGCGTCCGTGTCTCGCCAGAGTTCGAAGTCGATGATGGTGCATTTCTTGGACCCCCGTTCCCACAGAATGTTTCGCAAGCCGCAATCCACGGGCTCTATGCCTTGCATGTATATCCAGCTGTGAATGGTCAGTGAGGTGCATCGAGAACGTAGGGGAGGTCAACTGACTTCAGCGCCACGAGAAAGTTCTCTCGGATCTGTCTTCGTTCCTCATCCGACATGCCCCAGTAGTACATGTTGAACAGCGAATCGCCCGGCATTTTGGTCATCACGAGGAACGTCAGATATCCGCCAGGCAGAGGACCCTCTGGAGGCTGGACCACGCTCATGAAGTTGACCAACACAGGAGTGTATTGACTGCTGGCGTCATGGAACTTCTTCAACGCCTTGAGCTCGTGGGCCGTCGTGGTGCTGGGGCCAGGGTCAGGCGCATTGCTTGGTCGCTGGTCGCCTCCCGGGATTCTCAAGCTCAAGTCAGCTTCATCTGTCTCGCCCAGCCAAACAATGTGAGAACTGCACAGTACTGGATCTTGATCTTGACGACATATTCATCCGTCGACGCCGAGTCTGCCTCGTTCCGCTGGCAGGTCAGCACTATCCGTGCCTCCGCTGGCGTTCCATCGTGACACGAGCGATATGTTGCCAATGGCTTCAAGAGCTCATACGAGCTGCCGTCGGGGAATTTTAGGATTTTGTCAATATACCCCGGCACGACAGGAGGACTGTCTCCCATCTCATTTGTGGCTGGCGGCGGCGAACAAAGAAGAGGATACTGGTCAACCTCTACTGGATGAAGGGCGGCTCGAGAGCGATCAACCATACAGATGGCTACTGTTCAGTCGCGCAGACCCAGAGCTGCCTCCGACTGTGTACGGCGATCTTCACGGCTGCTGAGATCTCAAAGACTTCAGTCGGTTGTTCGTGGGCTGACGGGCGATCGCAAGAGACTGGGGTCCGATTCGCTTGGCTGATCTCGCTGGGGCTTGACGCGTATTTGATCCCACCTCCGGGGAACCGGGCAGTCACCGACGATAACTACGTAGCTCTTGATGCGTCGCAGACATCGTGGAGAATTTTTCCAGAGCTCACAACACGCCACGAGGACGACGACATTGAGCTAAATTGCTTTTCTAGACCAACCACAGACTTGTCAACCGCTCACCTTTGTTTCAAATTCCCGAGATTCTCCAGACCGCTGGAAGCGTCCGAACATGACCATCGTTAGTGATCGATAGTGTGAGGCACAGCTGGAGCCAGCAGCTTGGACCAAACCCTCGTCTCCATCTTTTATTCTGGAGCTTCTCAGAAACGATCTAACCGTCCCATCAGCCCATTTTGCAGATCGGGGCGAGCGTTTACTGCAGTACCTGCATGAGATGCTCCGTATCAGCCTGGAAATACCCACTCGACTTCCATTTTCAACCTCTTGACGTCTGTGGTTTCTCCTTTGGCTCTCCCGTCTCGTCGCCGTTGGCCAAGGTGAATCCCCAGGACGGGATGACCTCGATCTGAGATTTCCTACCTGGTCTGCCGTGCTCTGATTTCGTTTAGCGTCGACTGTTGATTTTCCAAGCGATCCCACTGACGCAGGTCCGACCTAGATCCCTCTTCCTCCCCGATCGAGCCCACCATCCACCGTTGTCTCGGGTGCGGAGCGTCTGCAAGAGACGATCGTGGGTTACTGGCTGTATCACCCGTGGATGCGAGTCGAATATGACATCTACTTCTCAGGAGACCGATAGGCCTTCACCCACTTCTCTTCGCTTTCGTGCCCACGATGCCGCTACCACCAGCCAACCGACATCTGCTGCGCCGGCTTCTGTGACCGATTCTGTTGATTACCCTACGAACTACTCGACCACCTCACTTGTTCGCGAATCATACACGGGGACGGATATGCCTCAAGTGAATGGGACACATCACGGGGAGAATGAACTGCCGCGACTGCAAGCCAACGGACACTTGGAGAACGGTGACAACCTGGAGCCAATCTTCGAGGATGATCCCGCGTCGTTCAATCTAGTTTCTCCTCCCGCCGCCGAACAAGAGGTCTTCTCACTCGAGAACCAGACACAAGCACTCTTCTCCAAAGGTCATCTGCAAGTCATCTTCGCCGACCCGACCTACCTCTTCAAATTCACGTCGTTTCTGGGCATGCACAGGCCGCAGTCGGTGCCCATCCTCGTCCACTATCTCGATTCCCTCAAATCACTGCGCGCGATCAATTACGCAAACGCAATTTGCGAGGGGCTTGACCCCGTGGAAGGATACGAGTTTACACAGAGGCCGGTCAAGCCGACAATAAACATCGCGTTGGAAGAGAGGGCAAGAGCGGCTTTCGAGGTCCTAGCGACCGAGGAGTTACCCGCGTTCATCACACATCAGTACATACAAGTGGTCAGCACCACGATAACCGCGAGAATAACGGGATCGCTGTCCCCGGGTCTGCGCGAAGCTTCCGACGGGTTGGCCGAGGTTTTCTGTCTGACGGATCCTTCCAGACCAGACAACCCGATCGTCTTCGCTTCAGAAGGTATGCTCGCCCATTCACGCCGGAACAGAACAATGGCTGATGCGTTGCAGAATTCAACCGAACAACGCAGTATGGCTTGTCCTACGTTCTTGGCCGGAATTGTCGGTTCTTGCAAGGACCCAATACAAATCCACACAGCGTACGGAGGATCCGAGAATCCCTCAAAGCCGGCAGGCAGCATCAGGAGGTCCTCCTCAACTAGTACGTGGATTCTCAAACACCGTTCTTGACCGATTCTAACCTGCATAGTCGGCGTGATGGGTCTCCCTTTGTGAATCTCCTCATGATGGCTCCGCTTTCCGACAGCAGGGGCGTCGTTCGCTATCATATCGGTGCACAGGTCGATGTCAGCGGACTGGTCAAAGATGCCTCGGAAATGGAGTCTCTGCGAAAGTTGCTGGACCTTCGCGCTCGAGGTGAAGATCCGCCAGTCCCTGAAAAGCCGAATCCCGAGAAGAACGACGAATTGCGCGAACTGAGTGAGATGCTCAACCAAGGCGAGCTGAGCACCATCAAGAGACACGGCGGGAAGATGCACCGCGAAGTCCAGGAGGAAGATGTCGACAGCGTCTCGTCTCATCAACCGCGCCTGTTGTTGAAGGACCCGGATACCTTGACCCCGCCAATTGGGGGTACCAATGGACGCTTGGGGGGTATCTATCAACATGTAAGTGCTAGTTGAACAAGCAGACGTGTTCAAGGTGCTGACAAGGCTATAGTATCTGCTTGTGCGACCGTATCCATCGCTGCGCATTCTCTTCGCCAGCCCGGCGCAACGGTTGCCGGGCATTCTGCAGTCGCCATTTCTGAATAAGATAGGCGGCTCGCAGCGTGTGCGGGAAGAATTGACGACAGCATTTGCTGAGGGGAGAGGCGTGACTGCCAAAGTCCGCTGGATCAGCAAAGGCGACGAGCAAGGAAAGAACAAATGGATCCATTGCACTCCTTTGGTCGGCCAATCAGGGCAGATCGGAGTGTGGATGGTCGTGGTGGTGGACGACGAGAAGAGTAATCACAGGTGGACAGGCGCAGGACGACTTCCACCACAAGTGGCCACGCCAGACAGGGCTCGGACTCCAGCCCCAGGCCCAGCATTAGCCAACGGGCACCGCGTCGCCGAATCGAGTCACCACGGCTCTGGAGCCACTAATGGTGGGCATTCAGACCACAATGGTGGAGGCAGTCTGGGGAGCGGCAGCGGCAGCGTCACAAGCCTGAGGATTGTATGATCAGGAACTTGTGCACACGTACAAGGTACATGTTCTGATCTCGGGGTCATCTATGTACACCATCTCACGACTCAGTCTGGCGGACAGCTGCGCTGTTCATATTCTGAGCCCTGCGATTGAGGCCCAGCAGCATCATACTTGTATAGTGCTCGACATCTATATCAACACTACTAATACTACGGAGTACGCCATAATTATTTCCTTTTCGTTCGGAGAAAATCATGTGGATCCTTGCCACGAACGATGGCGCTGGAGAAAGTTAAGCTTCTCGAAGCCCTGGACGTAGCTGGGCTTGCGGCGACTGGGTGGGGCAGTCAGCTCCCTGGGACGCCTAAATCGCGGCGGCCGCCCAGGCTCCGGCAGCCCCTGGCGGGCTCGACGTGCATGATCCAGGCGTGCCGGGGTGTCAGGCTGTCAGGCTGTGGTTTTGTTGACATGGTGGACGAGAGCTGCCCGTGTCTCCGCTTCTCCTTTTCATGCAAGTCTTCAGCTGCGGACCTCGTACCACGGACTACTTAGAGAGGGATTCGTCATCACGCCCGGTTGTTGTTGTGGCGCATGTTTCATCAACATCTAATTGTGGACCGGAGTGCCCTTATTCACATCTGATCTTCAGTTTTACAGACTCTGGAAGTGGGTTGAGCATGAGAATCTCATGCGAATCATCTGCCCGTGCAGGGTTTCTCGGTGAGTGGTAAACATGCGAAGATTGTCAATGGCCATCCTGCCTCGTCCACACGAGCGAATACTGTGGGTAGACACGTCTTAGCACCCTCTTTGCCTCCGGACTCGTGTTCTGTACTGACTCACGTCTGCTTGTGCTTTGGTGCCAGTTGCTTGCAGATTCTTGTTCCTATCCATCTATAAGCACACACAGTTGGGTAGCGCCGGTGTACGTACGTTGAAAGAAAGAGCAACCACTGCAGAATCACCCGAATGAACCCTCGACAACGTTTACTACCGTGTGTTTGTTCCAACCATGATCCTCGCGAGACGCGCTCTCGGCTGCCTGATTATCGCGACCCTACTTAGCTTGCTGGTCTATTATCGATCGGTCAGTGCTTCTGTTACTGTCAGAACGCTTCGAGAGAAAGTGCCCCAGGTCATTGGATTGGGCGACTATTTCGATTCAAACGAGCAACACCTCCAAGATGAACACAGTCGACCTTTCAGCCAACCAGGCGATCTCCACGCCCCCAGCAGCTCACCAGACTCGGCAAGACCTGCAGACACAGGTACAAATGTGCAATCGAGCAAGGCCCCCGGTTCAACATACACGCGAAACCTCGTCATGGCCAAGATGACGAAGGAAAATGTCACCTGGCTGGATGAGGTCGACCTGGGCCCGGAGATCACCAGGATGATATACGTGGCAGACGACTCAAAAGCAGCTTTACACCCAACCCAAAACAAGGGCCACGAAATTATGACTTATCTGACCTACATTATCGACTATTACGATGATTTACCGGACGTCAGCATTTTTATGCATTCCCACCGCACCGCATGGCACAACAATGAGCTCTTGAACTGGGATTCCGGCGAGATGATTCATCGGCTGAGCAACGAGAGAGTGCTGCGCCAGGGCTATATGAACATGAGATGCCACTGGAACCCTGGCTGCCCCGAGTGGATACATCCCGGGCAAGTGGAGGAAGACAAGGAGAAACCTGAACAGTCACTGATGGCCTCCGCTTGGGCTGAACTGTTTCCCGACAAACCCATCCCAGCCGTACTGGCCCAGCCTTGTTGTTCACAATTCGCACTCAGTCGAGATAGGATCCGTGCGATACCGCTGGCTAAATACAAACACTATCGGGAATGGCTCCTCCGATCCGACATCAGGGACACTATGACCGGAAGGATTTTCGAATACCTGTGGCAAGTCGTGTTCACCGATGAAAGTGTCTCCTGCCCAAACCAGCGGACATGTTATTGCGATGGGTACGGCGTCTGCTTCGAGAACGAAAAGACATTTGACAAGTGGTTCGAGCTGAGATATCAGAAGCAAATGGCTGAGATAGAGCTTAAAGAGTGGGAGGAACAGGCCGAGAAGATCGAGCAGTTCAAGGGCGAGGATGGAAGGTGGTTACAAGGGGTGGAGGCTGGAGAGCTCCAGGTGCCTGAGGTTGGGAAGGGTCAAGAGCTGAAGACCGTAATTCAAAGGATCAAGGCAGACCTTGAACGGAGGAGGCTGGACGCTATACAGAGAGGGACAGACCCAAAAGCCAGAGCCGAGAGTGACGGACGGCCTTGGAACGAGGGTGATGGGTTCTAGACGCCGTGCATGGCGAACGAAGGCGCCTCAGGTGCCTCTGGGACAAAGCCACTCTGGCTGGATAATGAATTTTGGTAGGGCATAGCGTTCGGAGTTGGATCATGATATAGCATACCATAGCTCCTTGGTTCATTTGATGGGCAGGTAAAAGATTGTATGAGTCTACTAATTGAGCGGTCCTTCGTCCACCGGCGCTTCGCTTGATATGTAGCCAGGAGCACGAGGCCTCACCGATCCCAGTTTGTGCATGCGCTCGGCGTGCGGAGGAACTTGACGTGACAGCAGGAACCAGGCAATTGAACACCTTTCGTCTTCCACCAACGACCACTCCACCATTTGCAATCCTCTCACCTGTCTTGGTTCATGTCTCGCTCAATTCCCGATAGTGCAGCGTTCTTACCCGTTTGATATTCTAGTCTCATCGCGAACCGCACGCTGAACCGGTCGGCCATCGGATGATGGCATCCACCAGACCCCAATTCATCTGCGTCTAAAGGAAGAAGGACTTCGTTGTCGGACAGTGAGCAACGATGCCGGCGAGGATGAGAATGAGGTGGACGGCCTACGCGGGGGTGAGCCCTCCCGTCCTCTTGACCTCGACCTCGCTGTGCTAACTGACACCTCTGCAGGTCTCTACAGCCCTGGCCGCCGGCGTCGTCCTCAAAGCTCTCGCGCAGCGACCCAACTTCTACTCCGCCGCCGTCTACCTGTCGCAGTCCTCTGCCAACCTCATGATTCTGACGAACCTGCTTTTCGTCATCGCCTGCTCATTCCTGCTCGGCCTACAGAAGCTACTCTATGGCAACCTGCGCCGGATCGAGATCGAACAGCTCTACGAAAAGGCATGGTTTGCCGTCACGGAGACGTGTCTAGCTATGACGGTCTTCCGCGGGGAAATCGGCCTCACATTCCTCGCCATGTTCTTCTCCCTGCTCACCGGCAAGGTCTGGGGCTGGATAGGTGAAGGCCGGGTGGAAGTGTTGGAGCAACAACCACCGCGCAACCCCAGACTGTTCCATACACGTCTGGCATTGAGCTTGGGGCTCAGTGTCGCTTTCGATCTGACGATGCTCGAATACGTGGTAAGGCGGGTCATGAGAATGGCCCGCCCGGATATGATGGTCATGTTCGGCTTCGAGTTCGCCGTCCTCTCGGTCACGAGCATCAGCACCGCCATGAGGTATGCGATCGACCTGGTCGAGATCGGGATCGTCCGTGAGCAGAAGAGACATCGCATAGATGAGATTAAGCGCGAGCGCGTCCAGGCCGCTGTCACACAGCTCCAAGAGAGCCTGAACGGACAGGCAGCCGGCCCACCCTCATCCGACGCTGGAGAAGCGACGGCGACGACGGCATCCGCGCCCACGCCGACTCAGCATACCCTGGAGCAGGTGTCGCAGGAGGCCCTCAACCAACCGGTCGACGAAAACGAGGTTGAAGTGGAAGGTTGGGAGGACAAAGGCCGCTACATGTTCTACCTGAACTTGGCCACCGATTTCTTCAAACTTGTCATCTATCTTGCTTTCTTCTTTATTCTTCTTGTATTCTACGGACTGCCCATCCACATCTTGCGCGATGTGTTCTTGACGATGCGCTCCTTCTTGAAACGAATTTCGGACTTTATGAAATACCGGACCGCGACACGGGACATGAATGCGCGATACCCGGATGCCACGGCGGAGGATATCGGGCGGGAAGATGTGTGTATCATATGCAGGGAGGAGATGCATCCTTACCAACCGGTCGTTGCAGAGCCGGGTCAACCGCAACCGCGACCGAATCCAGTCGCGGAGAGGATGAGGCCCAAGAAGTTGCCCTGTGGGCATGTTCTACACTTTTCTTGCCTGAGAAGTTGGCTCGAGAGACAGCAGATATGTCCGACTTGCAGGGCGAATGTGGTCCGCACGGACGGAGCCCAGACGGCAAACGCAGCTGGCGGAGCAGGTGGAGCTGGACAAGCAAACGGTGGTCAACATCCACCGGGGGCAAGACCAGGGCCGCGAGTCTTTCAGTTTGGTCCGCTGAGGATAGGTGTCGGAGCTGCCCGGGGGAACAACATGTTCGAAGAACTCCAGCAGCAGCTGGGAGACGCAGCTGCCCCTGTCGCCCGAGGGCAGCCCCAGAATCCGGGCCCAAATGCACCACGGCAATTTGGCGTAGGCCTCCGGTGGTCACGGCGACGGCCGACAGAAAACCTGACGACCCAACAACAGCTTGACGCTTTGGAGACGCGAATCACCCAGGAACTCCAGGATCTGTCCCACAGTTTGCGGGAGGTAAATGTCTTGCGCTTAATGCAGGCCGAGTTGCAGAGATTGAGGAATCAGCGTGCGGTAGAGGGCTCGAGACAAGCAAATCCTACGACCCAACCCCCGGCGCCAGCGGCAGCACCCCTTCCACCCCCGCCACCCCCTCCACCACGCACCGTCCAACGCACGACGACCTTGGTCTCGGACAATCATACAATCCTCCACGCTGGGAGTGACAGACTCCCAGCTGGACTCACCCTACCCGAAGGTTGGACCATAATGCCCTTACAGCCTCAGGCAACCCACCAGCAATATCATGACGGGCAGGTACGCACTTATCCACCTCAGCCTCTGGTGCCTTTTGGAGGGATGCCGATGGTTCCACCGCGCTTTCAACAGCATCCCTTCAATGTGATGCCACAGCCGCCGCAGCCGCCGCCGCAGCCTCCTCAGGTCCAATCTCGCCCCGAACCCAATACTGCGATCAATGGCCCAACTGGTGGTCCCACGACCAACGGTGCGCAACTCGAACCTCCCGGCACTCAGAGTCAGCAGCTGCCTGCACCTGCAGGAGGCCTACACGTGGATGAAGTTAGATTCACGTGGCCGCAATGGGGGACGCTGACCCACGAGCAGCTGCACCAACAAATCCACCAACAGCACCACGCGCAGGGGCTGGCTAGCTTGAGGAACCAGAATGACCAGAGAGCGGCAGACAGTGCAGGCGCAGGTATCATCGATGCGACTGGTGCCGCGCCTGAGCTGTCTACGGCGGTACCAACAGAAGAGGAAAGCGGCCTCTTAGCGGAGCTGCGTGGGCGAGCAGACGAACAACGACGGGGAGAAGTAGCAGGATCAAATTCCCCTCAAGCCTCCTCCACGCCTGCTCCTGCATTACCGGCTTGGGGATCGGCTATTCCTAGGCCTACGAATGGTGAATCCAGCAGTATCGATACAGGCGCTGGGACTTCGGAGCCACAGACCAATAGCAACCATGACCATGAAGCAGTGGGCGCGTCTGAGGCGGCGTCAACGTCGTCGTCGCAGCCGAAGAATAGGCATCCGACTGTGGAAGATCTGGTCGAGGATCCAGATTAAAGGAACGCCTGGTCTTGGGGTCTAGAGAAAAGGGCTAACTGTACTTTGTACTTCTTCAATCGTCATTGAATGGTAGCTATCTTCCAGCATAGCAAGGAGTAATGAGTAACACCTCTTCCTACGGTATACAAGCGATTATGCCCGTTTCTTGTGTAGATGAGGCTCTCACACGGTCTTCTGTAGTATCAAAGGCGATATGCATTCCAGTCGCGCCAGTGTATGTACTCGTACTACCGAGTGGTGTGTATGTACGGAGCATGATGAGGATGGTACGATTTGACGCATGTGGCCAGAGAGCCGCGTCACGTATCACGAAGCGGCACGGCTACGATCCCTCCGCCGGATCCATTGATTGGCCTCTGGGGCCTCGTCGCGACCGACCGCGCCTCCTGAGGCTCTTGTTTCATCTGCACGGCAACCGACAAGGCCGGAGACCAAGAATCAAGACCTGCGAGTCCCCAGTAGCCAATACTGGGACACAATAAGGCAAAGGGGGGTGGCTCAAACACGCAAACTGCAAACTGTCACTCGCTCGCTTGCTGGCTCGCCCGCCCGCCCGCCAACCCACCGAGACTCTCTTTCTGGTTTGTTGGCTGTTATTCGAGTATCGATATGGCTGGTTGGTTGATTGATTGCATGCTGCGCCTCCTGATGGCTGGTGCGGGCTGGTGGAGGCTGGCCGGCTGGCAGGAGAGGCATGGCATGACATGATGCATGTTTCGGAAACGGTGCTTCATCTCTTCCCCTGCTACGCATGTTGCCGCATCCAGTACTCCGTACGAGTACCAGTATTGCAGACACTCGACTGCAGGTTTTGTCGAGCACGCAGAGGCAGGTCGGGCTGTGGATTCCAATCATTCGCTCTACTGTACGGAGTACGAGTACGGAGTATACTGTAAACCACTGTTCAAGAGTGCTCTTGCATTCGCTCTACAAACTCCTCAACTCTTCGACGGTACTCTTGCACTCACTCAACTCGTCGGCATTGACACTCTTGTTACTCACTCACTCACTCACGCTTTATTGTCTCTGACCTGCTGGTCATCCTACAACACACACCGCTTCTGTCACAGCCTGCTCTAACAATCATTGAATTGACCTCCTGGGACGCATTCCACACGGATACACACACTGTCCCTCTCTTCCTCAGCTTGGACGTTTGACACGTTTATCCTCGCCTCTATCTCCTCGACGCCTCACATACCAGCCCGACTGAGGCAACAGACAATAAAGAACAAATTCGCGAGAGCCAGCAAGCAGAATGGGCAACCCAACGTTATTCAAGAGACAGGCGTCGAACGACGACAACAAGGATACCGAAAACTATGTGTGCGATGCTTTTGGCTGTTACGAATACTCCCACGTGAGTTCCACGCACCCCTCCCACTCCAGCCTATAGCTAACCTGCGCGGCTTGTTCTACAGACCGCCTACGCCGTCAAGTGGGCCATCATCGCCGGCATCTTCCTCATCTTCTCCCTCTACTTCATCGGTGGATATCTGCACGCTCAGCGGAGGATGAAGCGGGGCCTTCCGCCACTGGCATACCATCGGGTAGGAAACCCATTGCCCCGAGATCTACCGCGCAGGTGGCTAATCTATCATGTACATGCAAACAGTGGCTCGTTACACGCCGTCAAAAGGCCGCCTTCGTCCACCAACACCCCCAGTATGCCGGCCAATTTTCATTCTACCGGGCACAGCAGGCCCAGGCAGGTCCTGGCGGGTATGGGTACGGACGCGGACAATCGTACGGATACGCTCACGGTCAGGCATACCAGATGGGTGGGATGTATGGGCCACCGCCCCCGGCGTACAACGAGCCTGAATACGTCCCGCCGTACAGTGGACCGAACAAGGTCGACCCGGACCAGCGGTACAGCCCTCCAAGTGGACCGCCTGCCGCTGCGGCGACGACGACGACGACGGCTCCAGCCGCGCCCGAGCCGGCCAGAGTGGCTTCTTGAGGGGGAGGATTTTCTGCTACGAAAAATACACGGCACGGCATAACATGGGATAACATTGCATAGCGTAGCGTAGCGTGGCATCACATGGCGTGGCATTGCCTGGCGTTTAGAGGCCCCATCCACGAACGGACACTTTACATGGGTTTAGAAACAGTGAGACCATCATTTGACATCCAGCAAACTACGTATGGAGCAGTCAGTCAGCCAGCCAGTCAGTCACTTTACCTGGGTGGGTAACCATGGGGTTTTCGGTGGTGTTTCTGGCATGCTGGCCCTGCCTGCATAGCAAAACAAGACAACCCATGGAAGTTTATGGCATCAGTCTCACTGAGCGAGCGAGCAGGGGGAGGTTACACAATCCCCTCGAGGGGCGCGTCAACACCGACATACTGTAACGTACCAAGGGGCGTGGTTCGATTCCGGTTTCAATATATCGCGATGGCGGTATGAGAAGAAGACACTGGGGAGCCGGGGGGAGGAAAGGAAACGAGGCTGCGCCTAGCAGGGCAAAAGGTCACACATAATACGAGTACGAGGGTGATATGGATTAGAGGGAGGGAGGGAGGACAGACCAATGCGGAGGCGATACTTGCATCGAATGCACTCGTGCGAGGACGATCTGGTGCTGGATGAGAGCCACGTATGTAGGGCGGACGCATACAGTAACAAACAGCGCTCCAAGGCCAATACTCCAGATCGCACCGAGTGCGGGCTGCATCTACATGACTAAATCTCAGTTCGCGTGCTTGCTAAAGGTCAAACGTCTCTCGTTGTGAGGTCATCAAATCAAAAAGGGTCACTCTATCTCCATGGCATCCGGGTCTGAATCAGAATCCATGGGGTTCTCGCGGACTCCGGCGTCCTGGAATGAGTGATCGACCATCCCGTCGTCCCAGTGTTCCTGGAGAGCCCTGGTTTCCGCTTCGCGCGCATGCCGCTCCCTCTCGCGTTGCTCCTCCGCCGCCTTCTCCCTTGCCCGCCTTCTGGCTTCGATGATCGTCTTCCGGACGACGTCCTCCTCCTCTGGCACCGAGATACTGCTCGGGTCTCTGTATAGGACCAGCGCGGTGTTGAGGTTCTCGGCTGGCGGACGTCCCAGATCCAGGTCCATCCGCAGTGAGCCGTGCCGGTCGTGGTTTTGCCCTTGCTGTAATAAATGGTGGGGTAGGGTAGAGACCTTCTTGTCGATGTCGGGGAGGAACAAGGTGGCGTTGTGAGCCGCCTCTTCTGCTTCGATCTGGGCGATTTCAGAGGACAGGTCGTGGATGATTACCCTGTGGGGGGTGTCGTCGATGGTCATGAAGTCCGTGTCCGCGAGAGTCGGGGGCTTGATGGTCTCGATCGCGGTAGGTGTCGAATGAGGTGCACTTGGGGGAAAAGCGAAGTCATGGGTGTGGATTGCCCGGTCGAGGGCGACGGGGTCGGATTGCGGTTGTGGTGGTGTTGGTGGTGGTGCGACTGCAAGGGCGGGTCGAGCGTCTGTGTTGGCGATGTGAGGGCGGAAGGAGATCGTTGGGGAACTCGGCTGCGCGTGGTGTAGATTGTACGTCGACGACGGCGGTGAAGGCACCGCCGGAGCTGGGTAGTGATGCTGCGGCGTGTATGTCTGCGAGTGCGCAGTCGCATGCGTAGGCTGGTTCGCATGGTTCTGGTTCAGCCGGAGTTTCTTGAAGTGGGAGGAAATGTGTGATTGGGACTCAAAGTCCTCTTCGGCCTTTCGCTTGGAGTGGGAGAGGATGTTGCTGCGATGCTGGTTTGCGAGGGCGGGGTGCCATTCTGGAGATGCTGTGTAGGGGGCGTATTGGGCCATTATACGAGGTAGACCGTCGAGTGAGTCGAGATCTAGGTGGTGGTGCAGCGACGCTTGCGGTTCTATGCGGGCAATGCAAGGCTGACGACGAGCAGTGCCAGTGCGAGGGAGCGAGGCTGGCAGGATTCGGGAAGGCTGCCTCGTTGAGATCGGCTGCAAATCAGTTTCGGTCGACCTTTCTTTCACCTATCACTGACTATTTTCTCTGGCGTCACGGACACAGCTTGCTTCGGGGTCGGGATTCCAGCTTGACGTGATTTTAAATCTCACTTGACGAGTCGCGACATCATAAGTCTAAAAGTCCATCTTACCTCACCGAGAAAACAAGCCTCGGGTGCTTGGAAGGTGCTCGAATCGAGAAACAGTTGAAAGGGGAAGGTGAAGGGAAGGTGAATGCATGCGGAGCACGGGGCAGCACATTGGGAGAGCCTTCTCTGCGGGCTGCCAATCGGCCACGGCGCTCACTAGCCGCACCCCTCGATTCCCAAAAATTGCGGGCTTGACTCACGTTTTCAATACAAAGTCGCCCAAAGGATTTTGTGGACTGTCGCGTTCACTTCGAGTCGGAGAAAGGTCAAATTTCACTCGGTCAAAGAAGGGACTGTGTTCTGCTAAGTCCACAAGTCGAATACCCGTTGGTGCCCCTCCGACCGCCTTGCGCTCGGCTATTGTGCGTCGGCACACGACCTCAACCATGGCGTCTTCGACGCCTGAAATTCCTCAACAATGGACCGCTCCTAAAGTTCGGGAAACGTTTCTCAAGTACTTTGAGGAGCGGGGACACACGTTTGGTGAATCCGACCTTCCTCAGAGCTTTGGCGGCCAGGAATACTGACTTTCCAACTAGTCAAATCCTCCCCCGTCGTCCCCCTCTCCGATCCGACCCTTCTCTTCACAAATGCGGGCATGAACCAGTTCAAACCCATTTTCCTCGGCACAGTCGATCCCAGCAGCAAAGAGGGCCAGTATAAGCGCGTCGTCAATTCTCAAAAGTGCATACGTGCAGGCGGAAAGCACAATGACCTGGACGATGTCGGCAAGGACAGCTATCACCATACCTTTTTCGAGATGCTGGGGAACTGGTCATTCGGCGATTACTTCAAGAAGGAAGCCATCACTTTCTCTTGGGAATTGCTGACGAAAGTCTTCGGGCTCGAGCCGGATAGGTTGTACGTCACCTACTTCGAGGGCAATGAGGCTGGTGGGTTGGAGCCAGATCTCGAGGCCAAGGAAATATGGAAGAGTGTTGGGGTTGCGGAGGACCACATCCTGCCAGGGAACATGAAGGATAACTTTTGGGAGATGGGCGATCAAGGACCGTGCGGGCCATGCTCAGAGATACACTTTGACCGCCTCGGTGGGCGGAACGCTGCGCACCTGGTCAACCAGGACGATCCAAATGTGCTGGAGATCTGGAACAACGTGTTCATCCAGTACAACAGAGAACCCGACCGAAGCTTACGGCCGCTACCGAACAAGCATGTCGATACCGGCATGGGCTTCGAACGGCTAGTCAGTGTCTTGCAGAACAAGTTGTCGAATTACGACACGGACGTTTTCACGCCCCTCTTTGCTCGCATTCAAGAGGTTACCGGCGCGAGACCTTATTCAGGGAAGTTTGGTGAGGAGGACACCGATGGGATCGACACTGCGTACAGAGTTGTGGCGGACCACGTGCGGACATTGACGTTTGCCATCAGCGACGGTGGAATTCCGAACAACGAAGGACGAGGCTATGTCGTTCGAAGAGTGCTGAGACGCGGTGCCCGATTTGCCAGAAAATACTTCAATGTGGAGATCGGCGACTTTTTCTCAAAGATTGTGCCCACGCTCGTCGAGCAAATGGGCGGAATGTTCAAAGAGATCGTTGCCAAAGAAGAAGAAGTAAAGGAGATCCTCAACGAAGAAGAGGAGTCATTTGCGAAAACCCTGGATCGTGGTGAGAAGCAATTCGAGGTCTATGCTCAAAAGAGTCAGGTGCAAGGACAGAAGAGTCTGCACGGCGCTGATGTATGGCGTCTATACGACACTTTTGGCTTCCCCGTTGATCTGACACGGCTCATGGCGGAGGAACGAGGTCTGTCAATTGACGACAACGAGTTTGAAGCCGCGCGATTGGCTGCCAGAGACGCCAGCAAGGGACAGAAGAAGGCGGCTAGCGATTTGCTCAAGCTGGACGTCCATGATCTTGGCGAGCTAGAGAAGATGCCGGGCGTCACGAAGACGGACGACAGTGCCAAACACGGCAGGCAAAATATCACCGGCACCATCCAGGCAGTATACCACGCTAAGAAGTTTCATCCCGGCACAAAGAACATCCCGGAAGGCGATCAAATAGGTCTGATCCTCGATCGGACATGTTTTTACGCCGAGCAAGGTGGTCAAGAATACGATACCGGCCGCATCGTCATTGATGGACAGGCCGAGCTTGATGTGGAGAACGTCCAACTATATGCCGGCTACGTGTTACACACCGGTTACATGAAGTACGGCCACTTCTCACTCGGCGACAAGGTGATATGCGAGTATGATGAGTTGCGGCGATGGCCGATACGGAACAACCATACCGGTACCCACATCCTGAACTTCGCTCTACGGGAAGTCCTAGGCGATGGTGTCGAACAGCGGGGATCGCTGGTTGCTCAAGAGAAGCTGAGGTTTGACTTTAGCCACAAATCGGGCGTCTCGGATGAGGACCTCGCCAAGATCGAAGATATCTCAACCGATTATATCAGACAAAACTGTCAGGTATATGCGAAGGAGGTGCCCTTGGTCATTGCGAGGGAAATCGCAGGTGTGAGAGCTGTATTTGGCGAGACATACCCCGATCCCGTTCGCGTCGTATCTGTGGGTGTCGATGTCGATGATATCCTGAAGAATGTCCGCGACAAAGGCTGGGAAAAGGTCAGCATCGAGTTCTGTGGTGGGACTCATGTGAGGAGCACCGGCGATATCAAAGACCTTGTCATCCTCGAAGAGAGTGGTATTGCCAAAGGGATCCGAAGAATCATTGCTGTCACTGGCGAAGATGCACATGAGGTACAGCGGGTGGCTGAGGAGTTCTCCGGCAAGCTCGAAAAGCTTGAGAAGATGCCATTCGGCTCACCCAAGGAGCAAGAGGCAAAGAACATCCAGCTTGAACTCAACAACCTCTCAATATCCGCAGTGAAGAAGTCACAATTCAGAGATCGGGTTTCGAAGATTAGCAAGGAGATACTCGAGCAGACGAAGAAGCTGCAGAAGGAGCAGACGCAAAAGGCCATCGACACGATAACAGAGTACTTTCAGAAGAACGAGAATGCTCAAGCTGCGGTGTTGAGGTTACCGACTGGTGGCAGCTCCAAGCTTGTCCCCGAGGTCATCAAGCACGTGCAAACCAAACTGAAGGACAAGAGTGTGTACATCGTCGTCGCGGACGAGAAAGACCCCGAGGGCAAAGTATATCATGGTTGTTTCGTTGGTCAGGTCAGTTTAGTGCACCACTCGTGTCTGTATTTGGTGATTTTGCTGACTGTTTCCAGAACGGCACCGCAGCCGGTTTGAAGTCCCCAGAGTGGTCATCGACTGTATCCAACTTGGTCGGCGGCAAGGCTGGTGGAAAGGCGCCTGTCGCCATTGGAACAGGCACGGATCAGTCCAAGGTGGATGAGGCGTTGAAGGCCGCCACGGAATATCTCGAGAAGTTCAAGCTATGATCGCATGGAGCTCGAGGTTGGAATTTACAGGCCCAAAAGACTACCAAGATCTGTTCCGGGAACACCAGGCAGGTGGGTATCGTTCTTTGCATGTTGCTGGTGCACAAACGTTTCGCGATTGCCGGTCGGCGTCCCCTTTGCCGCCTGCTCTCCTCATGAAGAACACGCAAATTAGGAGTTGGAGATATCAAGCAGGAGCAGCGACAAGCGTTATGACGCGGTTGTTCGTTCCGCTGGCGAATCAGGCGCGCCCGCCTGTGCCGTTTGGGAAATATGACGATGGAGGAGCAAATGACGTGGGCGATGCTCACAGTGAGTTGTAAATGAACAGGCCAATGTACTCGTACTTTGTTGCCATCACACTTCAGAGATATCAGCTCGAAGCCTTTTCTGCTCGAGGAATGTTCAACCCGAGAACGATTTTGCTATCGCAAGTAGTGCAGCGTCTGCCATCGCGGCTTGGTAGGAGGACCATTCGACTCACAATTCCGGCCTCGACTTCATCTCCAGCTCTTCCACGGGCGAGAGCTCTTTCAGCACAGGTTAGTCTTGTACTCACCTTGTCCTCCAGGACTCTGCTCGTAACCTCAAGCCCTGCTTAACTTGTCCTTGAAGGTGTCAACCTCAAATTCGCGGCAGTTTCACACGCAGCCCCGCTCCTTTAAAGAGGCAGCAACAACGAACACCATGCCTCAAACAATCCCAGGCGGCTGCTACTGCCGCAAGATTCGGTATGAGATCACCCTCGACAACCCCGATGAGCAGGCCCGCACCTCCATTTGTCACTGCGGCAACTGTAAGAAATTCACTGGCGGCGAGAACGGCATCACGAGCAAGATCCCAAAATCAAGCTTCAAGGTGACGGAGGGGAATGACTTTATCACCGTCCATGAGGCGGATAACGGGACCGGGACGATATTGCATCGTGAGTTTTGTAGGGAGTGTGGAGGCCCGATCCTAGAGTACGGGGTGAGTTAGCGCCATTTTTGCCTTTTTGCACTGTCTTAAGTGCTTTCGATGGCGTCTGCTCTTACTGACCACATTCTCGCTGGGACTTCAGGCAAACGCAGGTGACTTCGTCTACATTTTCTACGGCTCACTCGACCATCCGACAACTCTCCCTCCTAAGGGAGAATTCTTCACCAGCAAGCGGGACTCATGGATGCCAGAGGTTCCAGGTAAGTTCCAGTTCTCGACTACTTTCTAGTCTCCGTGTAGAAGCTAAGCACATGCATGCAGGGTTGTTCCAGAAGAAGAAGATCAAGGAATGAGTGTCCAAAAGGGACATCGACTGTCGGAGGTCAACGGTCTTCGACAATGACAGCCGTGACATGACCAAACCTAGCCTGATGCGATCAAATTGCGAGTTGGGAATGCTTCTGTCCATAGGCGACGTAGTTCCTTGGAAAACCCTGAAACTTTCGATACCAAAGCTCTTCCCTCACGCCTACCAACTATATCTGTTGCCAGTGAATGTCCCCTCTTGCGACTCTTGTTACCAAAGACCGCTGGACATGCGCCAAAGGACTTCGAAATCAAAGGTGTTGATACCGTCCTATTCCCTTAATCCTCTGGACTCCGGCAAATGGTTGGTTACGGCACTTATACCGGACGGCAGTCGCCCTAGCCCCCTCAATTTCGAATTTGGTCAGGACGTGGACGACAGTGGCTAGGCATCTTCTTTGCGAGTTGACATACAACGCCACGTTGGTTGCCCAGTTTTCCCGGCCGGTACCAATGCGCGGGAGCGGGGAGCGCCAGCTGCCAGCTGCCAGCTGCTGGTCGAATTGGTCAAGCCTCGCCAATGGCGTCAGCGGACTCGTACAGCAACGGACCAACGGTGAGGGGTTTGGATCGCCATCTGCACGTTCTGATGTTCCACTGGCGGTAGATCTGTTATCAGGTATCATCCAACGCTTAGGGGGGGATACTGCATTGCAACCACAACGACTGCACACACCAACATGGGCCTGTTTCACATTTCACTTCTAATGCTTGTCAGTCACCACGATCTTGACACATGACCATGGAACAAGATCAATCGTCCACACATCTTCTGTGGGTAGCCGCACTCGCGTTCACGGGCTATCTGTTCTGGCTTGTGCTCTACCGATTATATCTATCTCCATTGGCTCGATTTCCAGGACCTAAGTTGGCCGCCTTCACGGCATGGTACGAGTTTTACTACGATGCAATCCGACATGGAAAGTATACATTCGAGATTGCTCGGATGCATCGGCAATATGGTGAGCGTCTGCTTTCTCTGCCATGTCTATAGTACACTGACACTATTTGTGAAGGGCCCATCGTTCGCATCAGTCCCTGGGAGCTCCATATCGATGACCCGGAATATTATGAAGTCCTCTACTCGTATCACGAACCTCGCAACAAATACAAGTTCTATGCGAACATGTTCGGAAACCCGAAGGCGGCAATCGCCATACTGGACCATTCTCATCATCGTCTCTTACGATCCAACATGAATCCGTATTTTTCCACGAAGCGTATACGCTCACTAGAACCCGAAATCCAAGCTTTGGTCGACAAGCTTTGCCATAGACTTAATGAGTTCAAAAATACTGGCGTGCCGGTAACACTCCAGCATGCATACACCTGCTTTGCCACCGATGTTGTCTCCGACTACACCATGGGGACCGGCTTTCACTACCTGGACGAGCCAGATTTCATTCCGGATTGGAGCGACACATTGAGCGGTATTGCACAGGGCAGTGCCTGGTTCAAACCTCTATCCTGGCTGTTGACGCTGCTGAAGGCCCTGCCGCAGCATTTCGTGAAGAAACTCAATCCGGGTATGGGCCTGATGTTTTCGTTCCAGAATCGCTGCGGTGTGCTCATCAACTCTGTTATTGAAAATCAGAGGACCGGAGAAGAGAAGCAACAGTACAAGCATCCTACCTTTTTCCACGACGTGCTGGCGAGCGATCTTCCTCCGGAAGAGAAGAGCGCCGAGCGATTAGCACAAGAGATACAAGTCGTGATTGGTGCGGGGGCGGAAACAGTCGCGAAGATGCTGAGCTGGACGACGTATTATCTGCTCGAGAATCCCCAGAAGCTGAAGAAGCTACAGGAAGAGCTGAATGGTTTCGACCCGGACCGAAATGCTACGTTGGTGGATTTTGAGAAAATGCCCTACCTTGTGAGTTTCGGATCGCTCCAGCCTCCCCTGGACTTGTGAGTTTAACTCTACATCACATCAGACATCAGTCATGCTGGAAGGTTTAAGGTAAGCACGCACAGCATTAACAAAAAAACCGGTGTTGATCGGAACCCTTTACCCCCAGGCTTTCGTACGGTGTGAGCACTCGGCTCGCCAGAATAGCCCCTGACCGCGCTCTAAAGTACCGGGGATACTCCATTCCAGCTGGGGTAAGCTTCCGCTCGCGGACAAGCCGTCTTCCATTGACTGGAATTGATACTTCAACAGACTCCCGTCGGCATGACGAGCGTTTTCATGCACCACAACGAGAGAATCTTTCCCGACTCGTACAACTTTATCCCGGAAAGGTGGATGGACCTTGACGGGCGTCAACGACTCGAAAAGTATCTGGTCGCTTTCAGTAAAGGGTCTCGACAATGCATTGGATTGAAGTACGTTGTCCCCCTTTCCCGATCATCCCGATGCCTGCCCTAAAGTACTAATGTAATTCTTCTAGCCTCGCTAGAGCTGAGATGCTCCTAGCTATGGCCAAGCTCTTCCGCGATGTGCACTTTCAACTCTATGAGACGACGAGAGAAGATGTTACATTGGCGCATGAACTTTTCCTGCCTTTGCCTAAGGTCGGGAGCAAGGGTGTTCGAGTTCTCGTGACAGACTAGAGGGATTTATTTTAATCTGGGCACTACACATACTACGTTACACTGCCAACCCCTAGTACATAGTTTGAATCTGAGTCAGTGCAGTTCTAGTGCTCTACAAATACAGCATCTAATCCCGTCTCAGGTCCTTATGTTAAAACTATGACACCTAAAATCGTGCTACAAATTTCTCAAAATAGGGCCTAGTTGTATTATGAGTAAGTGGCTTACAGTAAGAAGGTTAAGTAGATTAGAGTTACTTGGAAGTTGCTTATTCGCTCGCGGTCCATAACCACTGACTAATAATAGTGATGATGGGAGTACATAAATATACGCGTAGGCCTGGCAACGCTTGTATTAGCTCACAATCGTGTACCTGCTAATCTGATTGTAAGCTCCTGATAGTACAGTATATAACCGTATAAATATCCCCCCTAGCGATCTGTAGACTGCTGGGGCCCGGGTCGCCTGCGGCTTATATACTTTATGCTCTCTGTTACTAATCCTTCCTTGGTTGCATTTGTGTCTCTGGCGGACCTCTATATAGTACGTATGTATATACGTAAGTGTCACTCTATGATCCCCTCCAGCGAGTGAAATGTAAATACTAGTAAGTATTCCCGCTAGGATCCCCTGCAGTGGGGGATTGGAATGGGAAGGCACGCTGCAAGCGCCCCCGACAAAGAACTTGAAGCCAATGTCCTCGTGGCTAACTGTCATATACAATAAAGAAAAGGAACCAGGATAGCTGTCAGGACCTTAAGCATGATTACTCGAGGGCCATGCCCAGGTCCTCGGCGGCAATGACGCTCCCAGTCGCCGTGGAAGGGTCGTCGCCGCTAATCATGGTCGCCAGATCGCGCCGTCAATGTCTCAACTTGAAGGTCGGTCCTCCTCGTCGTAGAATTACCCTATTAAAAGCTCCTCATGATGTAAATTCAAGTTGCGTAGGGTTAGAGTCGCCTTATATTCTAACACCTGCAGCTGCAGTGAGCAACATTAAAATTGACAGAGACATCCAGTAAGTAAGTACTATGTAGTATGTATGTATAGTTCTGTCCTAGCTCTGCCGGCTCTTTCTTTAGCCTGGTTCTATGGTACGTATTGTTCACCCCGCGGTGGGGTGTGTACACATGTAGGGGTTCGGTCAACATATAGGAAAAGTCAGGCGCAGATGAAAAGCCTCTTCAGCCAGCGTCGGTAATGTACTGTTGTAGAAAAAGTGAGTCACCGACGACTCGGTTCGCAGGAAGATGTGAAAGGGTGGTCTTGACGCTGTTGGGGAACGTCGAGTCATTGGTTGCACTCGTTCGCTTTGGTACATTTAATGATGACTTCGACTTGTCCTCGGCGTCTTCCATTGTCCTTTGACGCCTGAAGGTCCACATTGAGACTGAGAGTTCTCGAGGTCTGACTGGTGTTACGACATCTCTCGTTGACTTGTGTCGAGCAAGGGAGGCTTTCCCGAAGGAGGGATCATGTACATCGAGTTGCGCCCCAGCTGCAATGAAGAGTGGTGGTTGCTGGTCTGGATGGTGCGGTGTTGCAGGTGCGCTTGTTGCCGTGAAGGTGCTGTGCTGTACGTGGGAATGGCGTCCACATGATGTCTGTGGTTGAAAACACTCAACCTGGAGCCGCTGGCGCCCCTTTGCATGCGCGGCAACGGAATACCATGGGATGCAACTGACGCCTTCCCAAACTTGAACTCATCGTACTGTGCTTAACAACTTGAATCCCCTGTAACCTTCAATTTTCACATCACTTTACACCAGAATCCCCTCCCTCTCCCTCTCAACACATGGCTCCCGCGGCGCCTCTTCCACCCCATCGCAGCGCCGCAACCCGTCTCTTCCCACGACGTACACCTTCGACCTCAGGACGCCAAACATCCTATCCGAGCACGGCCTCGTGTACGCGACGCCACCCAGGTATTTGAGGTCGTCCTCGCTGAAAGACTCGGTCGACGACCTGAAGCGCAAGATCTCCGGCCTCATCGAGGTCATCCGCCACCGCAGTTTGATCATGAACGAGAATTGTGGCAGGTGGATGAAGTATCGGGCAGAAGGACCATCCATTCTGACTTCCATGGAGACGACGTACCGCCCCGACGCTAGAAAGAAGCACACGACATGCGAGGCGAGCGTCCGGGCAAGTCGGTTGATTAGGCCGACTTGGCTGTTAGAGACGGTGGCAGCCTGTCGGCGAGGTGGAGGCGAAGGTGGAGTTGTGGAGGCTTCGATTACAACTTCCTCCAGACTGAATGCGACAACGGAGCCCATTATGGTGAGTATATTACTGAGGTGATGTAGTGGAAGACCGGGTGTGGCTGCTAGTACTTGTGATGCGCTTCCAGCTGTTGAAGGGTGCGTCGTTTGGATATTCGACAGCCGTTGTAATGCAAGTATTTGTTAGTAGTAGTCCGATATGGGCGTCTCTTACATCAAACCCGCCAGCTGCTGCGTTTATATGCTACTAGATGGACGTATGTGAGCTACACCGGTTATCGAGAAGGCTTTGCTTGTATTGATTGACGAGGACCCGTCTGAGGACCTGGTGGAAGTAGACCTGTACCGCATCGTGGTCGAACATCCATCCTTGCGGCGTCTGCGTGGAGTTTAAGGACCATGCAGGTTGAGGACTGGCATGTAGCTGCGAACCAGCGTGCATTATCCATCCTCCCAGCATCGGTTGAGTACTCTAATGTAAGTGTCTGTGCGTTGAGACCTGGCCGAAATGGTGGTTGAGCCGTATAATCATGTTCGCCGTGAGGACCTCACAGTATTGAAGTGGGGACCCGAAAAGAGTGCTCTAGTCACGTATAGGACGTAGTATTCATGGTATTGATAGAGGCACGAGGAGGATTTCGATGTCGAGACCACGATGTGAGAAGAGTACGTACAGAGTACAGTCCCGTAGCACGAAGGTTTGGGTGCGGTGGTAACGTAGCAAGTAGATACTTGGTCTCGGTGATGCAATAGATGAAGAGCCTCAGCCTCAGCCTCAGCCTCAGCCTCGTCAGTCTCTTACCCCTGCCGAGCTCTCTCTCCTTAGGTGCATCTCCAAGCCCTCTCCCCATTGCATGCTCTGGCCGTTTATTTTTGGACTTTTGACGAGTAGCTACAGTAATCAACAGCCGAGGCACATCAGGCTCGATCCACGACAGCGACAGCAAGCGTAAGTGGTTGCGACTAGCACTCAACCTGGATAATATACACCGTCTTATGTACAGTATGTATTAGTGATCTTCCAACCTAGGGCCGACGTACATACTATGTAGTAATGCGTGCATGGCGTGCTCCTCACTCTCTTGAGACCTGACTGCTGCCGCCACGGCCATCACTCAGGGGGTCCTTCCTAACCTACACCACTTGTTATATATTATATACTCCATACTACGTACAGTACCGTACTTCTATATACTTTAGTCAACTCGTTTTGGCATCTCTATACTCCGTACAACCTACGACATTGAGCCTTGGTTCACGCAGCTTGTCAAGACACGACCCGGCGCAGCATCTTCAGGGATCAACACGACTGTATTTTCGCTGACAACTCTTCACGTCCCAGTCGCACCCTCTTCGCGATGGCCGCGCAAAACAAACAAGTGTGCCTGATCATTGGAGCGAGTCGCGGGATCGGTCGTCAAGTGGCCATCGATCTCGCGAGGGAGGGATACTATGGTGAGTGAGGACCACCATATCCAGCCAGTTGCCTCCTGTGCACACGTCTATTTCGCTCCACGGAGTGTTTGTCTATATTTCATCCGTGTCTCACTGGCTGGTCTATTGCACCACGATGTCAACACACGCGCACCCACGCACCCACATATATGCGCTTTTATCGAGCGCATCTGCTCCAACATAGATGATTTGATTACATACTCACGTACTATGTACTTACTTCCCCAGTCGTCGTCTCGGCCAAAACGACGTCGGACGCCTCTTCGATCCCGCCGTCCTCGTTCCCCCCGGACCCCAACTCCCCAGCATCGACAATCAACACGGTCGCCCGCGAGATCACCGAGGCGGGCGGGTCGGCGCTCGCCCTCCGCATCGACGTCCGAGACGTCGACAACGTCAAGGACGTGGTTGACGACGTGGTCCGCCGACTCGGCCGCCTCGACGTGCTGATCTACAACTCCGGCGCGATCTGGTGGTCGGCCGTCGAGACCACGCCCGTCAAACGATTCCTGCTCCTCCAGCAGGTCAATCCGCAGGGCCTGTACGCCGCCGTCGCCGCCGCGCTGCCGCATTTCAGCACCCAGCACCAGCACCAGCAGCAGGGCTGCTGGAAGGGGCGGATCATCGTCGTCTCGCCGCCCATCTACTCGCGGTTTTTCCGCGGCAAGACGGCCTACGCCATGGGCAAGGTCGGCATGAGTGTCTTGACCAAAGGCCTGGCCATGGACTTTGTCAGGCAGGGGAGGAAGGACATGGCCATCACGAGTATCTGGCCTGCGTCGGTGAGTTGGCCGAGCCCCAAGTCCTTGTCTTGGTCGTGGAGACGTGGATTCGAATCAACATGTCAAAATACTGTACTCCGGCAAAGCGTGTGTGTACCAGTACATGGTCACCGTGGCTAACCGCGCGAGGATTGGCCAAAAAGTCAATCGAATCGGCGGCCACCCGAGACTCGACCAGACGAGAACCTCACCTCGCCAAGGATCTGAGACACGCTGTGAGTGCTGACTGCTAGTACATACATACCCCGATCCCCCACGGGCGCAGGTGGCAGTGGCTAACCCCGAGGCGACCGTGGTTGCGCGCCCTTTTTCTACAGACAATCTACAGCGATGCCATCCTCGCAATGCTCCGGTCTCCGGCCGAAGAGGTCAACGGTCTGCTCGTCACGGACGAGGACTTTCTCCGCAAGAAGGGAGTGACGGACTTTTCAAAGTATAGTGTCGTCCCTGGCTCGACGCCGCGGCGGATCATGCCGGCCGAATTCCCGGTCTTGGAAGTGGCGGAACAGGATGATGAAGGGAGGAGGGTCGATAGTGTGGTGTTGCGGCAGGGACGCGACAAGAGCAAGTTGTAGATACTGTGTAGGAAGGAATGGAACTGTTGGAGTCTGGGATACCCTGCTACAGTGGAAGGTGTGCTGGGGAGTGGAGTTCAGCTGTACTTGGTATGTAGGCAATGTCGAGGAGCGCCTTTATACCCGACAGCTCCTGGAGAGCTGTCTGCCTGCAGCAATCCTACTCGGCGTCAACCAGTCGACTAGTGTCAGTATGATACATGCCCAACAGTGTCTCACGCGCCTTTTGGAGGCTGAGACCGTTAATCCTCTGCTGGATCTCCCTTTGGCTACGCCGCACCTGTTCGGCCGTCTCCTTCCACTCCATCGGCCCCATCTTGTCCAGGCTGACGTCTGTAGCGACGAGCTTTCCGCCACGCTTCCTCAGCACCCCGTTCACAATGACGTGCTCGATATCAGCAGCTTCGCTGAATCGTACAATCGCAACAACAGGATCGTACTCGACGGCACTCAACATACCTACACTGCCCGCTGCGTCGAAGACGACCAGGTCGGCTTTCTTGCCCACCTCAATGCTCCCTATCGCATCCCCGAGGCCGAGACACCTGGCTCCACGTATTGTTGCAAGGTTGAACGCTTCCTCCGACGTGCCGGTGACATTCTCGGAGGGATAATTCCCTTGTGCGACAATCTTGGCGTTCTTTCCCACTCGCGTCAGTTGTAGCAGCATGCGTGCCTGCAGGAGAATGGAAGAAGGGTCGTTGGTGTGGCAGTCCACGCCAAGAGAAACATGCGCAGTCTCTCTTGACTTCAGTGCTGGGTCCAGGCCGACAGGGAACCCCATGCCCATCTGAGATTCCGTGCCGGGGGTGCTTGAGATCGGCGTCCCTGTCGTCGCGAGCATGGACATGTCCTCGTGCGAGATGCCATTGCAATGTGATAGAAGCAAGTACGGCATGTTTGCTGACGATGCCAACGGCGGATAGGGGCTCCGCAGGAGATCGTAAGACTGGAGTAGCTGGACATGGGAATGGAGACCTGCAACGGGTCAAGTCAGCCACGACCAAGGGAAATATGCCAGCAAATAATCTCACCCATGAAGGCATTGCGCCCGACGTGGCTCGTAACCAGTCTTAATCCCTTCTGTCTGAGAGTCTGGAACGTGCCCAGGACCAATTCCTTGGGGAGGAACCAGAGGTCGAAACCCAGGCCTATTTCCACCAGCGATGCGGCGCTGTTATGTTTCTGGAGCAGATCGCCCAATTGCTGAACCGCCCACTCGGGCATGGGATCCTGCTCAGGAACACACTGGGATTGATCCCACTGCGCCACGCGTGTGGGAACGGTGTACCCGAAGATAGCGCGGATGCCCGAGTCGAGAGTCGCCTGCAGTGCAGATGTAGCTGCAGGGGGTGGTTATTAAGTTCTTGAGAGGCAGGGTAGGTCAGGCCGATACATACCGTGGTCGGGCGTATACGCGCAATGCGCATGATCGAGGACCGTTGTTGTCCCCGCATGAATAGCCTCCAGACAGCCCGATAACTGACCCCAGTACATATCTTCTGGTTTATAGGCATAGGACATCATATTGCCTAGAGCCACAGCCCGTCAGAATCCGGCGACCATACGAAAGAGAATTCATGTATGACCATACCCGAATACATGTATGCGACGAGCCCCTGCTCGGCGTGCCGACCTTTCAGCTGCGTCTGCCAGAGATGATGGTGGGTATCCACGAAGCCTGGAGAGACGATCTTCCCTTTGCAGTCAATAACTTCCGTGGAGCTGCTGGGAGGATCAATATTTTTTCCGACACGTTCGATGATGTCGTTGTGAACGAGAACATCCGTGTCACGGAGGGCGATGACATGGTCAGTCTTGTCGTGAGTGAGGACAGTCCCACCTCGCAGGAGGATCGATGAATTGGGAGGCTCGGTCGTCATCGCGACGAACGGTGATGAATACTGCGGCTAAGAACCAGCCCAAATCTGAGAGGTCCAGGAGAAACCTGTTACACAAATCAGCAATAGTTCGAATCTCCTCCAGATATAGTCGGATAGTTGTGAATCAAGGAACTCCGATGTCCTGGCCCATGAAATCTTGAGAATATATCCCCTCCAGCAAGTTTGTCGTCGACATGGAGCGGAGGGTCAATGTCTCCGCAGCATCGGAGGAACTCTGCTTCCGCACACTCATTCACAGGACGGCCAGCCTTTGGAACGGCGAACCACGGCGTCGGCGTGACGCCCGACACAGGGCACCTTCAGTTCTTTCTGAGTGACCTCGGCCTCGTACAAGGGAAATGACCGAGCTGGAGGTTCATCAGGCCATCTCGAAGATCGACAGCGGGACGGACGCCATCGCAACTGAGGCGGGGCCGGACGTGTTTACTGGGGCGCGGACGCTTCCAAGTTGAAGGCAATGAAGATAAGCCCACGGCACGGCGGGTACAGCACAGCAATGACCTCTCAGACTTGCAGAAATTGGTGGACGTAGATAAGTCAGTGAGACGGAACTGCCATGTCAATGAATCGCGAGTCAGTTCGTCCTGGCTCGACTGCGGGCAACAGTGAAAAAGCAGTCGCAGGAACGAGACTGTAGCGGTCACAGCTGCTTTTGGTGCCGGGTCAGTCGCGTACTTCATACAGAACGATGATGCTGAATCTCCGATGAGACTTGCATTTCTGTCGAGGCGCGACGCGACGCGACGCGGTGCAGGAAGAAATATCTAGAGGCTCACACGCTTCACCTGCCAGTCAATCAGGCTTTACTCCACGCTTCTCTCATTTTCCTACTCTTTTGGAGTACTCGTACAGTACCTACAAATCGTATCACCGCTTCTGCAGGAGCCGACGATCATATTGCGACGCCTAATGCGTTTCTTTGCAAAGGCGCCAGCATCGTAGCCCGCCCGGCAGTGGTCAATGGCCCTTTGGGTCGATTGTGTTATCCCGTTGCGGAAAGTGTTCGAGAAAATAGTGTCCGTGTGCAAAAGCGACCAGATACTGGTACTCGCGTACTGGCGTACTGGTGTACTGGTCCAGTAGAATTGTATTGTGACGCTTGCCCATGACTGAGTTGTAGTGCTTACTTCGGCAAAGTCACCATGCTTGAACCGTCTCGTCTCGCCTTTGCACTCTTCCAATTGAAAGCTGACGTCTCGTCGGTGCTAGACATATTCGTACGATGCGGTGTCATCCAATGCTCTTTCGACTGATATTCAATACAGAGCTCAAGCCAAGCCCTATCGTGTTGCGATACCCCCCCGGCAAAGCACTACTCGTGACACTAACACCCTGCACCCTGTACCTGTACAGACTATATCCTAGGCGGCATGTGGTCCCGGTCGTGGAACGCAGACGTGAGTCCCCGCTCACCGAGGAATTGTCTACAACTTCGCATCATGTGCCCAGGGCATGTCGCCACCCGACGTTGCACCGTCCACCAAGCAAGCCTTGTCACCGCCAGCCGATTGGGAGGGCATAGCTGCAGCCTCGCTTGGAGGGTTCGAATATCCTAAAGGAGCCATAGCATCGCGTGCTTGACAACGCAATGCACGATGGGAAAGACCTGTTCGCGGTTGAGATCACCTGTATCGAGGTCTATGCGGCGAATGCGCTCAGTGTGTACAATAGGAAGTGCGGCCAAGAAGGGGTGGTTCGTGTATGCCCTGTCGATCACCCATGCCGCTACACCCCTGGCTGCTCTGGTCAAAGTGTCGGGATTCAAGAAATCAGAAGACCCCATCAGACTACCACAGTAATGCCGTTTACTGAGTCAGTCGTAGGGACTAACCACAGACGGGCATTGAGTAGCATAGACAAAGTGCTTACGAGAACGTCTTTTCGGCGTTCTCGATCGGGCTCTGCTTACCAGTGGTACATACTGGCCCGCCGTGGCCGGCCTTGCTTCGGTAGATTCAGACCGACATCAGTCGGTATGCGAGTCATCTCGTGTTGGGCCACCTAGGGCTCGCATGTTGGTCCCTGACCAGTGCGTCGCACATGTTGACTAAGCCCTCGCAGGATCTGGTCCTCACGGTGATCGGGCACCGGAGCGAGGATATGGGACGTGACTGGCTCAACTGCTTAGGGACCAGGGCTCGCACGGGGTGAAGGATCAGGATGAATCCTGCAACGTTTATGATTCACGCATTCCTGTGTAATGCTGAGCATCATGGAGGCCAGGGGATGTCCCCACAATCGGGTTCAATTGCTTAGTTTCGGACTTTTGTTCGACACTCCAGATGGGGCTGTTGTCCCTTGCGCTAATGCAACCAATCATCTAGGATGGTATGTTCCGTATCAATTGATACAGCCGTATCTGCGGGACCGGTTCGCCGCATACCCATGCCGCGATGTATTGTCATCAGGCCCTCCACCGACACGGCAAGCACTTGAGCCACTAGGAGGGGGCTCATGGACTGATGCGTTGCCCTGATCGGGGTATTTTGTACCTCCGATGGAACACGACTGCGCCCCTACCCTGGACTGGGTATGGCAAGACCACCAAGATACCAGGCTCCATGTGATGCTGAATAGTTCCATCGATGACATGGTTTGTTGGCATTTGTGTCGCTGCTGGCGCCACTTTGCCAGTCAGATCGTTTCCCGGTCATCATTAAGCCTCTGCCGCTTGTGCGAGGGATCCTATCCACCCTTGCGTGCAGCCAAAATTGAACCCAAGATGTCTCTGCCACCAGGTCCAAGAGGGCCTGATTGACCCGAATGGTCTGCGGAAGCGACGTCACTATCGTCCCAATTCTCGCTCTCCATGCCCCATCCTTTCTTCTTCGACGGTGGCTTGACCTCCAAACCGGCGTTCACGACTTCAAGTCTGATCAGCTTCATTCGAGCCTCGCGAACAAAAGCGTCAACCATGTCGAGGGCGGACTGCTGGGCCTCGGCTCGTTGATTGTGCTGGACGGCTTCAAGCACGCCGCTCTCCATGTCGATCCGTGCATCCAGCCTACCGTCCTCGATGAGGGCAATGATCTCCTCAAGGAACACCCGTCTCGCTGAAGCTTCGTCGGTTGCTCCGCTCGAGTGTGTGGGCGAGCCAAACATTTTCTCCATGCTTGCCAGGGTAACTTTGCTGAAGGGCTGAAAGTATTGTACAATGCTCTTCGTCCGAACGCGCTTGTAGATGTCTGCCACCAGAGGCTGCAAATAAATGTCAAGAAGATAGTCCGCTCGATACGACTCGAGAATGTCCAGGCATTGACTATACTTACTCCCACAGAAGAAGGTGATGGCTCGACGAATGTGCGGTTCCAACTCAAGGAAATTACGGAAATTACTGTTCTCCAGAACTTTGCTCTGAAGCTCAGCACGAGACATGGACGCCAAGGCGCACAGCCCTCCATATACGGCGATGTCATTGCTCGTGACCACGTCTCTGTAAGTGTCTCCGAGGCTGGGATCAGTGTGGATAAAGCTGATGGCAGCTTCATGGTAATCAAAGGTCGACATCTGCTGGAGGCCCATTGCTGCCTGTATCTTGGGTTGGTTCCTGGCAGATTCCTCGGGCTTCAGCTGAATATTCCGGACTTTGTGTACCTGTGACTGGACCGCCAGCCAGTTTCTCTGTTCGATTGCGACAGCGATGATTCGGAATGCGGTCGACGCAATGTGAGCAGCAGTTGTGCAGTAGTCACGCATGCGGGAGTATGCTTTGACAGCGTTGTTGAGATCGCCGATGGTGTAGTAATGTGTTCCCAGGTCTTCATTCCCCATCTGTTTGTAGTCTTAGCAGACACCCCGCGGCTCAGGACCAGTCTCATCACGTACTCGAATGCTCTCCTTGATCAGGTTGTTCTTGTAGCCCTTCAATTCGTTCTCCAGGCGAGCCGTCTCTGCGTTGTTTTTCTTCTCTTGCTGAGCAGCCCATAACGGGTCAAGAAGATTGTCTAGGTTCTTGCCAGCTGACACCCACTTAAGCAGTGCGACAGCCTCTTGATAGTTTCGGACATCGTTGCCTCTCTTCGCCTCAATCAGAGCCAGTCGAGCAGCCTCCTCGGCCAGGACGGTGGAACATGATGCGATGAGGTGGAGGCGGCGGAAGACGGTGCGGCCTACGTGGGAATGTTAGCACAAGTCACAGGACTCGGTGAAGAGTCTGGCGAGCCTTTGTAGTTTGAGATGTACGCGGCCAGGTCGAACTTGGGAGCCTCATGAACCACGACGCCGTAGTTATATTGCTCTCCCAGAGGGACATCATTCGCCATCTCCGAGGGAAAGCTGCGGCGGCCCTCGCCGCAAACAACCTGGTCAGCAGCAGTAGTAGATTATGGCCTCGGTCTTGGTGCCAGAGCAAACGCTAGAAGTTTCTGCAGTCGGTGGAGGCCCGGCGAATTTGAGGCTGGTTGAGGAGAGAGTCAATCGTCAGTAACTTCACTCTTGAGTAGGCAGTGAGGTCGTCGCGCCGCTCGCTTGTTTGCCGCGTGCCGATGACGGAAAGCTTGGCGTGTGGTTCTTAACTAGAGTTACTGCCTAAGGCAGCGAGCCGGCAAGCCCAGGCCCTGCCCAGGCTTACCTGGAGACAGTCTGGGGGCCAGCGAAGGATAGCCACGGATAGCCCACAACCCTAGCACTGTACCGAAAAAGCCAGCAAGAACGTTTGCACCGTTCGTGGTCCATTCATGGGTGTCTCGAGTGAGAGACTCAGTTCAGTCATATTCCGATGGCTGCATTTGATACCACCAGCGCTCAGCGCGGTTGCTGCCCTACAAGATTATCGTACACAAGCTTTTGCTCCCTTGGGGAGGTCATCGGGTATCTTCTTGTGGTTTCAAAGACCGAACCCGTCCGTTGCCAGGCAATCCCATATTCACAGTCGGTTCCAAATCCTCATGTCGTCTCAGTATTTTGAATTTCCATCGACATCCATGTGGTCATATTGAGATGCTCATCATCATTAGAATGATAAAGACAGGAGCTCTGTT